GTGAGGACAGAATAGTCAAGCTCAAGACAGATGCGCACCTGCTGCTTACTGCCACGTTTAGTAATAACAGTGAACTGCATCACGGCGTCACCGTCTGGCTTGTTGTCGCCGCCAGCATCGACATCACCTTCGTCAGCCCGTTTCTTGCGCAAATTAGGGGCGAGAACGGCAGAATCCCACCAAGCTGTCTTCTTGTCAACCTTTCTAGACTCGGCTGAAGAATCTGTAATAATCTTAGCAAGCTCTTTCTCAAATTCGGCTTCAGCTTCCTCAGATGGTCCGAGATGTTCTTGTGTGGATAGGACGATAACAGGGTCAGGTGACGCTGTTCGATCTTCGTTCTAGGAGGCACGGTCAAATCTTGGTTATTGCACAGATAGGATTCAGCCAAGCTATCGCTTACCGAAGATTCCTGACCAGTCGTATCATCATCGTCTTCGTCTTGTTGTTGAGGCCGTTCGCCTTCTTCGTCGCTGTCTTCGCCACTATCCTCACCAGTTGATACTTATTTCGAAGTGTGAGTTGAGTGCCCACGACAAAAAGTGACAAACAAACGTACAGCCAGCGTTCTGCAAAGCAGCATTGAACATATCATCGACAGCTACAGCGGCTTCCTCTATTGTCTTATACATCGTCATCTTGGGCCGGATAGCCTGCAAGCAAATTGAGATCAGGTGTGCTGTTCGAAGCAGACTCACTCACCTCGATCGAATCAGAGAGCATAAAGTCAACGTCCATGGGCAGATCTTCCTTGCATAAGATATAGTACTGCAAAGCCATGGTGTAAGCCGACGCAGATGAGATATCTAGCAACTTTTACCTGGAAGAAAACAAGGAAATTATCAAGTTTCCGCTTCTGAGTCCCTCGGTCGAAGCACATGCCAACAGTGTCGAGCAGGACGCAAACGAGGCGAACGCGGAAAAAATCGTTAGGCATATCCAGTGGGCAAGGCTGACGGGGCAATGGATGTCCTTCAGCTGTGAAAAGGAGTTAGTTGAGGCATCCAAGTCGTGTCATGCACTGACGATGTCCGAATGTGACCAGCGACCACAATGTATCAAACACTAGGATCGACCCCAACAGCCGGTAGATATAGAGTTCACCCAGATATTTTATGGCGGCCACACGGCGTTGGTTCGTGCTATAGACGTTCTGTTCCAAGCCTCTTCGAATGTCTTCGAGAACCTGGTCCACAACCGATATCGCGAAAGCAGGGTGATAACGTTGGAGGTCGTATGTCAGCATGGCCAACAAATTGACGTTGCTATATTTGATTTTCCAAGGTTTGGTGAAAACTTTATGCAGAGCGCGTTGAACAATTGGATCATCCCAATCAAGCTTGCGAAGGAGCTTAAGGACCTTATCAATGGTCTTTTTAGCTAGAACGTCATATATAAGATGGCGGATAAAAAGTTCCAAAGGAGTGCGCTCCTTCTGTTGTCTCGGCGTTCGTTCAGGTGGGTTACACTGCATCATTTGTGTGAGTAAGGTTGATCGGCCAAGTGCAACGAACTGACCTGATAATATGCGTTTTCAAGTAGAAGGATTTGTCTTTGATCAAAGTGTTGCATGCTCTGCTTACGCCTCATGAGCTCAAGCTGCAACAAGAACATTTAGCGACTGTCAGCCTGTATGCATTGTAAACTGACCATAGTACCAAATCTCTCCCTAGTCTCGTCACTGCGCAATAAAAAGCGACCGCACCCTTCAAGGAGGATCGAGATGTTTTCGACGTTCGTTCCAGAAAAATCGTCCAAGCATACTTTGAACATGTGGAGGACAAGATGAGAAGGCACGACACGAAACTTCGTCAAGCTGGACAAATATAAGATATTCTTTCCATCTTAATTAGCATAGGGGGAATAGTGCGAGCAGATCATTGGTTTACCTTCAAGCGAACCTCTGCAAGCTCTTTCACCACATTTTTCTTTCGTTGCAAATAGCGGAATTCTTCATCCAGCTTAAAAAATAGCTGTGACGTAGGACCTTATCGAGCTGAGATAAAGCTCACCAGTGCCACAAGCTCGGCACCAATGTCCGGCATATATCTGTTCAAAGTTGCTACAAACCTTGCATAATGAGGAAGCAAGTCGGTTCGATTCTTTGGCACGGCACCCAAGAACTACGGAACTTTCAGTCAATCTGGATTGGGAACAGGCCTGACTGCTGACCTTTATAAGTCTCTTCCTAGCCGCCTTGGAGTTCAAAAACGCGAAATCGATTGCAGCTTGGTCAATCATGGTACGATTTGTTGCATCGGGGAGGCGTGCAAGTAAAGCAGTAAGTAGCTGCGATGGTCCCTGAGGAGCGAGTTGAGGAGACAATGGGGGACTTGAGGCCTTAGTCGGGGACGTCGGTGTCGGTGTGATTGTACTAAACAGTATAAGTGACCCTGCAATCTTGAATTGACTAATAGATAGACAGACACACCCATCTGGTTCTTCCTCGCGCATCTCAACTTCGGTGGTACCGTCGTTTCTTCCATTTACTCGATCACTGTCCAATTTCAGGCCCTCCAATTCCTCTTCTAATTTCTTTGCTTCAGCATCTGCTTTCTCCTTCTCCACCTTTTCTCTCTCTTCTGCGATCTCCTGATCTTCTTTCTCGTCGCTCTCAATGCCCAAAACTGACTTTGGCACAAAGTCCTTTAGGTCTTGGATGTCCTCAAAGAAGCGACGCTCTTCCTCATCCTCCCATTTACCCCCAGAGTTCGCGAGAGGATCTTCTTCATCGCCTGAGACGGCATTTCCTCCAATTTGGATGGAATCCGACTTCTGGGACGCGGTGGGCAATGACGGCATGGGCAGGTACATCAGTTCCGAGAGTCTGAGAACAGATACATCAACTGTTGTAACCGCTGGAAGATTAGTTCCAAACCGACGTTTGGCAGCTTGCAAGTAGTTTCTCGTAGCCTTTTGTCATCTTCTCATACGCTTGTTGCCTATCCTCAAAGATCTCCCCAGACCGGATATATGCTTCATGATTCCTACGATCTTGATCTTGCAGGCGCTGCAAAATGGAGGATTATTTTTTCTGGAGAAAACCTGCATATATTTATATAGATACATACCTTGTGCTCTATGGTGAGTTTCTTGGAAACGCTGTCAAAATAACCTTCGCACATGCGCTTGAATCGATCACGAATTTCTTGTTCAACGAGTTCCTCGTCCTCATGCAAGGGCGTCGGGAATTCTCCTTGGGTGGCGTTCGTAGTTGTTGAAGACAAGGTTCCAGGTTCTGTTTCAGCGGATATCTGCTTGCTCTGAGGAGGCGTCAGGCCCAAATAGGGTCTCGAGTATGACTTCAGAAATATGGAGAGAAGGGGTAGAGATGACAAGGTTGGATCATTAGACAGCTTGACAGACATCAGTTATGCCCTAAGCAGTAGTTCATATAGAACCTACCAATTCCCTCAATACTTTCATTATCCATTCACCGCCACTTCGCCTCTGTCCATCAGTAATGATTCCAACTAATGCGAGCTCAGAACAGACACGGAGAAGGGGACGCTGTCGAGAAACTCGGGCAGAATCCTCCTTCTCCCGCTGTTCAGGAGGTAACGCAGAGAGGGCTGCACGAGAAGGGGCAGCAAGTGCGGTAGACAATGATGAAATGAAAGAAGGAGTAAATGCTGCGGGGAAGCGTCTGTGGAGAGCTGAAATAACCTAAAATTGTCGAGCGGTTAATGTATGCGGCGCCCATGGAAGTTCCTTCTCACCTCGACAGCACTCCAAATATCCTTCTCCGTCTTGCATCTCATGATTCCTTCTAGTGCGGCCCCAGCTATCTCGTCGATGTACTTTTCCAGCGACAACGAGTCTATGTCCTTGAGGATTTGGTCACGATGATCAGCACCAAGAGACTGGCGCATGCGCTTGATCAAACCAGTGTGGCGCTTCAAGGTGGAGTCCAGCCTAGACAACTCTACTGTTGTTCATAAAATCATAATTAGATGCCTCCGGGTATGAACGATCGCCATGACTCACCTTGGATGTCCATGGCAGCGTTCAGCTCCCTAAGCTTTACACGTTTAGCATGGCGTGCCTTCTCTTCGTCGACTCTGAGGAGTGCCGAATCCATTACTTGTCAATAATACACTGAAGGGCGAACAGAGTACAGCACTGAAGTCTAAGCGGAAGCAGCAACGAACTCCTGATTGCCTTTTGAGGACTGAGTACTTTCTCATTGGCTGGTTGTGCTTACTAGGCCACATGCAGGCTCCGGGTCACCGAGAGTCTTTCACCTACTGTATTACTTCTTAGGCAACAGCGGCCACAAATATCAATGTGCTAATAGCCTCTAGCAATAATGCCCAAAGAACGTTATGGGGAGGTCAGCTTCTTTTATTGTAGCCTCGGACGAACTGTATGGAGGCCTAATAATAAGGTCATGCTGCGGCGATACTTCCAAAGGTAGCATTCTAGCGGCGGCCGCAGGCTGACGCCCAGGGACCAACGAACTTACAGCGTGATGATGCTCAAAAATCACTAGTGCCAAATTTTGACTAGAAGCGTCCGCTTGTCACCTTCGTTACGCCGACACTAGTAGGTCATACAACGCGATCAGATTGAATTTCACCCTCATTCACCCCCACTTCCATGTAAACAGTTGGCAATCACGATACATGTCATTGGAGACTCTGAATCAACAGCTATGTGATGAAAGCAACGTGAAATACAATGCAACGAAAACAACAGTGACTGCCGGCATAAATAGTACATTATAGGAAAGGGCTATGAACGAAACCTGAGAGAGGGGGAATGGAATAAATGACGCACAGGGGAAACAACAAATAGCGTTAAAGCATAAAATAACTCGGAGAATATCGGTATGACACGTAATGCGTGGATGGGCACGCATGATGGATGTGTCGGAACGACGTGAAAAGATAACGTACGACATGGCCCTGACGCGCGCCCCAGTCTCCCAAAAAGGGTTACCGGCTACCTCCAATGAGGGCGTGAAGGCCTTTGAAGGCAGATAACAGCCTGTCACGGTCTCAGCCAGACCGCGTGGCATCCTCAACCTCAGCTCCGACAAGGGAGGGGAAAGAAACACTGTCAGCGCCACGTCGACGTCGTCTGTCCTCACCAGAAACACGAGTTGGTGGGTGTCGCGAGACAGGATTGCCAATGTTTCCGGTATTGAGATACCTATAGTGACCTGCGCCGGTGCTGACACCAGGAGGGTACAACGTGCCACGATTGTACGAGCTGCGCTCCTTCCTCCGGATATGTGTAGGCTTTGGAAACTCCTCCGAAAGTCCCTGATTCGGCCCGGGATCGGAGAAGAATATCTTTGGACGCCATTCCTCACGTTCATCCATGATGCAGGAGTTCTTAAATTTCTCCACGAGGGCTTCCTTTCCCCTATATCATAGGGCTCAACTTAGTAGCATCAAAGAAAGCGGAGCGAGACGTACTGATAGTTGGCATAGCTCATCTGAAGTACCTTCTCACTCGAGTATATGTTCCTAATGATAAGGTCAGCACATGTCATTCGCCGCATGGTACACATCTTACCACTTCTCATTTAGACGCGCCTTCGCGAAACGTAACAAATCCTGCACCGATATGAAATTGACGAAGGCGTAACCAACGTTGCACCCTGCACTCACTGTATCAGTATCCGCTGAAACTGTTAAAACCGCAGACACCATACCGTTCTGGAAATCCATCCTCAGGTACAGAAAATCGATTCTCCGAGGACATACTTTGTTGATGTACGTGATAAGTTCCTTGTCTGTCATTTTGTTCGGTATATTTTTGACCATCACGGTGGTCCGTGTATCGACACCGAGTTCGATCTTTGTGATGTCCAATTGATTGCCCTCGGGCGGAGCGCGAGATGAGGAATGGGTCAGCGATGGCGGGCGCGTGACAACAGCACCTGGCTGAAGCGGAGCAGAAGATGCAGCATATGGAAAGGAATATTCCGCTACCGGGTGCGATGGCTGCGGATAATAAGGTGAGGATGTGTACATGGTCCATGGTTCTAGAACACCGTGCGACTGGAAGGTCACCCAACCACCGCTCATGGCATCCCAATATACGGGTGGAGCCGACATGGGAGATTGGGGAGGAGCAGGATGCATCGCCATAGTGATAGGGTTTGGGACCGGAGGTGATGTTACCCAAGGTGGCTGGTTCATATCGAATTGAGCACCATGATAATACTCCGTCGTGTAATATGTCGCCAGATGTGGTGCCGTACCCGTCGCTGCTACAGTTAAGCCGGCAGTATCACCGACTTCTTGCTCGTGATCATACATGCTATGCTTCCGGTGATCTGCATCAAATAACTTCTGATGAGAATGGCCGCGAGTAGAATCGAATGGGTGATTGGAACTGCGCCTGCCGTACTGTCCCTGGGGGGCGGAATTGTCAACGATGTTGATGTCAATGGATTCACCGCGGCTGTGAGAGTGATGAACGGGGTGAATGTCGTGAGGTCCCGCAGTGGATCTCCTTCTGTCTTTTAACGCTTGACTACCAGCGATATTGTCACGGGAATCGAAAGCGGGTTGCTCACGCTCTGGATAATACCCACTTGCACCGACGTCATTCAAGACGGGAAACGGAATTGCAGTTGGGTTGGACGTGGCTTGTGGCTGCGATAAATAAGTAGTCGCCGTGGGTGTCTTCGGCTCCGCGGTATATTCGCTCCCGATTTCGCATTCTCTATTAAATGACGAAACTTCCTTCTGGGCTTCTGCGGAATGATCACGTAAGGATGCCTTGCTGAAAAGACGAAGTTTCATGCTATCCACAACACGTCCGTCCAGCTCTTCCCAAGCAGCATCCGCATCTCGGACGTCAAAATATTCCGCTTGAAAAATCTAGGTCGGTTAATAGGTTAATGAATTGTCAATTACGGGAAGGGTGACGTCGGAAACTGAGTATCCGAAAGGGAGGCCCGTACGGTAGTAGGCCAAAAGTGCACGCTACGGGCTGATCGTAGCAAGTGGATAACGGAATACAGACAAGGATGGGCAAACGGTGAGAGACTTGCCTGAGTCGAGCTCTCTATGTCTTCGTTAATGCAGTTGAAGGCCTTGACGTCCCCATATTTTTCCAATATACTTTTGATTTTGACCGGAATAGCAAAATGCCTCTGGGTTCGAGAAGCAGAAAAATCGGGAGTGGGTGAAGTATCATTAACAGATATGCAGAACGCGCCTTCTGTTTGTGTCATAAAAACAGGAGACAAGGTGCCCAAAAGCTTACCGCAAGCGTCATATTAGCAAACTACAGACATCAACGACAAGATGGCCTTACCTCTGCACAATGACCAGTTTCTGCAAGACAGCACGTTAACGCCTCCTGCCAAGCAACACCAGTAGCTTGCGCACTCGGGATAGTTTTACCATCATCTTGCATCCGTGTAGACGCCCTTGACTCAATGATACGCTTGGCGCGTTCAGCATCGCGTACGTCATGGAATGCGACTATAAAATCTCGATTTTCCGGACTCCTGCGAAAAATGTTTTGGATCGGTTTGGGCGGAAAGCGGCGCGCGGAACGCGCCCTGGGGCTAGTGATGGTAGGAGATGAAAGACTCTTGAAATATTGAGCAATTACATCCTCGGATATATCGCTGGGTGCATTTCCGATCTACATGAAACTTAGCATGGCTCTCAACCAATCTAAAAAGTCCTTACGATCAGAAACCTGCTGTGCTGATTGCTTTCGGGACCAGAATCAGCGAGCGTGAGACCCTTCAGATCTGCAATGGGAATATTGAAATCTGTGGATTCATGATCGGTGCCATCGCTTTGAAGGGATGAAGATGGCGTGAGAGGTGGTGTGAGGTAATGGCTTGTTGCTGTAGGCTTCCTGGAATAAGTCTTTGAACGACTGGTATCTTTGGTAGTAGGGGGCTGCGGGGGTATTGGAGAAGCCGAATTACGCAAGTTTGATGATTGCGGGGGAGCCACGTGGCGAGATGCAACCATCTCTCGCGGACTTGGTCTGTACCAAGGGGTGAGCGATATTGAAATAATGATGACCGGCTTAGGAAAGTTCTCGGCTCACCGTAAATTGGGAAGGGAAGGCGATGGCTGGAGTCGCGGGGGTCTAGTTGAGCACTCTCTTGTAGTGCGCTCGAAGAGAGACATGGTGGACGTGGTGAGAAGGACTGGAAAGGTTGTTTTCGTGTGGAGATAGACGTTTATAAGAAATGTAAACGAGAAGCTGATTGAAAAGGAAGAATCGGAGAAAGGAGAACTTGAAAGGCGAAATTGATATAACGACTTGCTCAGATTGACGTACAGAGAATCATTATAAGACGTCGAAGGGAGAAGGCTCGTGGAATCGCCGTGAAGGGCTCACGCGGGAGACAGTGATGGAGAAAAAAAGAAGGAAGCGCTTGACCAGACCTGGTCAAATCCTGCAGTCTCCACGGGGAATTGAAAGCGCTGCAACGTTGCAGGCTTTGTATTTGAAGGAATAGCAAAAAAGAAATAACGAAAATCCGGAATGCAGGGTAAAGAGTTTCCAGGCCGGCACAGCAAATGAGATGGGACAATCACCAAAAATTGTAAAACAGCCCTCTACGGGAGAAGGCGTCAATAAAGATCCTCCAGCGACCGAAGATCACTTCTCTGTCAGGACAAGAAGAAGAAAAAAAGATATCACAGACGATCCACTGCGGCGCATTTCCTTCTTACATTTTAAAAAGCTTGATCATGATGAGAGCTTGTGCCATGTCGCTCCTCGAGCTCGATTTCGACAAAATTTTTGATTAGATCGCGTATTACATCTAAAAGTTTGGTGAACCGCGCGTGGAATGGCCAGGTGAAAGAAAGTTTCAACTTGTTTGGCTGCAAATCGTGAGACTTTTCATTAGGGATCTCCGGTGGCCAAGCCACTTACGATATACCTCCGGAGACTTGGTTATTCCACTAGTAAACCCTCGAATCATCAAAATATTAGATCAGGAAGGCGATCCTCTTCAAATCACCCCGAATGTCGCGAAAAAACCGAGCTTCAAGTCAACAACCCCGCGGAGACCACCGTATGCTTTGGCGACTATATCACGTTTCAAGTCCGCGTTCAGTAGTCCAAGCCGTGTTCTTGACGCCCTATGTACTAGCTTTCACGCGTGAGGCGACCCTGACTCCCACGAGATACTTTTTAAGCTTAATATTGGTTGGTCAGGAGGCTTGTTGCTGAAGCGCTGGGGAACTGCACCATGAATTTGGAAACTCGCCGGCTACAGAACTGCTCCAGAGCAACGTACATGCACCACAAGTCATATCGGCCAGATGCGGACGTTCTTTTTCGACAGCGAGATCAAGATTTGAACGAATTTCCATCGGAGGCCAGCTTCGCGGCCGGTATAGTTGGTTAACGGTGTGATCCGAGACGTTGAAACCCTGTGCTCTACGTTCAATTTGGCCGTTCAGCCCTTTGTCCTCAAGGAAATATAGTGCTTGTTAGTGAGGATTTTCACGTGGCACAAAATCGTACACGTACATCTGATCGTGGCCTCCTCAGTTCTTCGTGCTACCAAACGTTTAATGGCATTGTGTCCTGCGAGCCGAATCCTGATTTCGCTCTGAGCTTGTCTGAGCTCTTTCTGAGTTCAGAACATTTCACAAAACCAGACTGCTTAGCAACCGTGTTCATTAATCACTTGTCTTCCCATTTCTGTGTGAATGTGATTTTGTAAGGGCAACACACACTCCTCCAGTCGGACCAATACAAGGAAGATCCACAGCGTCTGACGTTCCTTCATTGAAGAGAATAACATGTGAGTTATTTCATCGTTGTTCATGGTCCATGGACGATATCCTTTGTTATTCTACAGTGCTCTGACTGGTGTTGCCAAGGCCGCCCAAAGCTCCTGCAACTTCGTTTCATTGCACGCAGCCCCTTCATCAACCAATGATTCCGCAGTCTATTGCACCCACTGCTACGTCGTGGGCGACGGGGTCCCTTAACTTACTCGCTCATCCCCGATTTTCGCAATCGGCATTTTCCTATCATTAATCTTCCATCTCTGGGGCGTAAATCAAATCAACGTATTCTAACGATATGCGGGATAGGTGGCGAACACCAATACGATTGCGTCAGTTCTACTGATTCGCGCGAGCTTCGCGATATCGAGTCATGCCTGCACTTGTGCGTGTGGTAGTACTTGTGCCTGAACGCATTGCATGAAACTCATACATCAAATGATCTGCTCCTAACTTATGATACACCCTAGAATCTTACTAGTACGACCTGTGCGGTCGCATGTTCCGATACACCTTTGTCGCCAAATAGTAGCCGACTTGTAGCCGACGTTTCAAATCATCGAGGCATCATTTTTGCATACCTGGGATGGTTTTTTGATGAGGTTCGGTGACGGATCACATCGATAAGGATTTAGTTGTTGTGTATCTACGTTTCGACACGTACACGAAAGTTTTGAATCGTTGGATTGAGTACAACAGACCATCCATAATGGTATACCTTGACAACTTCGCGAACAAGCTAGTACTAGCTCTGCTGCTGCTAGTGCATAGAGAATCCGAGAAGATGATCGGATCTTCGACTAGAAGTAGGACTTCTAGATGTTATTATTGTGCCGTCTCTCACGGATCTGAATTATCTACGTTGCAATCGTTCGAGAGTCTGATCAAATGACTCGGAAGCAAGACTCGTTCTGCTGTATGGTTTGCTTGCAAACTTCCGGAAGACTCCAGGCTGAAAACGTGGAAATATTTTACCACGGCAATTCTGTGTACGCCGCCGCGTTTGACTTGGCAAAACGGTGAGCAGCACGACCGCGCTTCCTGAGATCGTACCTCTACCATTACCTAGGACTTGAACGACTCCGTCAAGATGCCACTCTACCAAATGTTCTGCATCGCCAGTCATTTTAGGGAATACGTGAGTCGCATTCAACATTTCATTTCATGGAATTAGCATCTCATGACTATGAAATAGAAACACATAAAAGACCTGGTGACTATGTCTGCAATGCATGTGATGAACGAAGGCGGCGTAGTGCGAAATATCCAGTTCAACGGAACACAGACGCTTCCTGAACGAATGCGGCGCCATAAACAGTATTACACCATCGGAGAGTAAGTCTCAAGTACTTTATGTTGAGCTCATGGTGACGTTGCCGTTTTACCAGTTATTGGACGATGCATTTTGACACTTCGCCTCGCACACTACGTACACTAGCTGGAATGATGCGCCGAGATCATCGCGTCATAAGGTGGACGATGTTGAAGTTGGGTGAGAAGGCGGAAAATGTGGTCACTTCACCTGAGCAGACGGTGGAACGCCATTTACCAGCATCACCGAGCAAAAGCAACTCTCATTGGTCCTCGTGACGTATTTCTTTATATCTTATTCGCCTTCTGGTCTAGAACATTTTGTAGAGTCGATTTGTGTTATTAAAGACTCTAACCCAGCCAACGACGGGCAAGCTCTCAAGTGGTTTGCTGTTCTACCCACTTTACCACCCCCCACAGGTCGCTCACTACCCGTACACCTTGGAGATTTTCACCCTCCTCCTTGTGTTCACCGTCACCTTCTGGACCGGCCCTGCGCAACAGCAGGGCATGCATTCCAGCAGCCCGAGCGCCATGATAATCACTGAAAAAAGAAATCCGAAACGACGTGACTTTGTGAACATTAAGTCATACCTTTCAAGTTCGTCTCCTACGTGAACACCGCCCTGCATTTCCGACGGGACTGACTCAGACCGCATGCTGAACGCAAGACGGAATATTTTGGCATTCGGTTTCTCTATTCCCACAGCCTCGCTGAGAAGAATCGAACCGAGATACGGAGCAATTTCAAGATCCTTCAACACAGATACTGCATGGCAAGTTAGCTAACGCGGAAATGAAGCTTCCAGAAGACATACGCATACGCGTGTCCGTGTTGCTAATCAACACTGTATGAATCTTCATTTGATGCAGTCGCCTCACTACGTAGCATGCAAAAGCATGGCCATGAGCACGAGCTGTCGAAGAGGGGCCCGATGATGTACATACGTACAGGGAGGGAGTCGTGGAAGAGTTTGTATCCCTGTCGAGAACTGAATCTTTCCATAAGACTGGGAACGATTTGCGGCAATGAAGAGTCTACGGCTAGAAGGTGGTTATTAGACTTCCACAAGGACGTTGACTGGGCATAGAACCTTGTGGGTCGGCACCAGCTCCGATGGCTGTCCGCTTGATCACTTCAGACCACCATCCTTCAGCGCCAGGATCCCCCTTATATGTGGGGTTTTCTTTTTGTACCTGTGACAGCGCTGAGGGACCTGAGCCCAAGGACTTGTCTGGCAGAAGGTTATCGTTGACATACCAACTTTAAAAGATTGTTTGAGTAGCCCTGGCTCAAGTACACCAAGATATGGTGCAAATGTCTGTGAATACTGGGCATAAATTGGTAACCTGGGCGTTACGAGCGTGTGCAACGCATCAAAGGTCACCAGCCTGATGGTCATCTTGCTATCGTAGTAGCATAAAGCAATTAATGAAATTTAAAGAAACAAAGTTGGCTTTTATATATGGTGTGCTAGTGTGGGATGTAGTGACCGATGCAGCACTGCCAGTTGCAGCTGTAGTACGACAGCTGGGAATGCTTACTATGGCTTAGGGCAACTTTTCGTTCTTGGCCACTTACTTAAATCCTCAAAACTCTCAATATCTGGCCTGACTAGAGTTCACATCCATCGAGTTGTTGTTGGCCAGAGCTGAGTGTTCAGGTTCTGATCAATCGCCACGAGTCGCTTTCAGGCTCCACCAGGGTCCATTGCTCATCCACGCAGCAGGCGTCAACATCGAGGCAGGACCCCGTTCCCCTTTTTCCCCAACGCTCATCATGTCGGAGGCGCTAGCCGTCGATGCTCAGTCTCTAAGAAGAACTCAGTCCACTGGCGATATCCACCCACCGCCCAGAGCCCGCCTTTCAACGTCACATCATCACTCCGAACAGGACGGAAGGAATTTCAACGTTAGTTCGTCACCAATTGCAGAAGGGACCACCGAAGAGTGAGTAGTACACTGCCCAGCATGAAAGTTCCTTTGATCGATGTTCATCTGCGCTGTAGTACTCCCCGTGACCCCTGGTTTACACCCGACGCATCCCCTGCAGGGCAACAACAGAGTAGAAGATCCTCCACTTCCACTTCTCAAGCACACCTTTCCTTAATCCCGAAAATCAAAGCATTCTTTGGGATTGGTCCTGATGCATCAAGAACACGTAAAGCTCTTGTATCAGTTGTGTGGGCTTTGGCGTATGGTTTCTTTCAAGTCTGTCGACTTTCTCCGACTCGAGGACTGCACTGAATGTTGTTTAGATTGGGGCTATCATCGCCGTACTGGGTGTGGCCTCTGTAGTTGCCAGCCCGACGGAGGCAAATGCCCATCAGATCAATGCTTGTGGGCGACCACTCGTTGCCTGGAATTGCATTTGGATAGTGAAAGTCTGTTTGTCATCCACCCTGGCGTATTGGAATTTTATCAGAATCCGAAATGTGTGAGTTGCATGGATCCTGTCCATTTGGTGCCTGATAGAACGGAAACAGGGAGCGTACGGGGAGACAAGGTGATGCTGAGTCTGGCGATCGTTCTCGAACATCCAATGATGGCGGATCTCGTCGTAATGAACCCCCGAATCGTCGTCGGCAGAGAGATCCTCGTAGACGGGCCAGGAACGCAAGTTCCAGTGCTACAAATCAAGAAGAGCCAACACCACCATATTCTTATCTTTACGCGCGGTATGCATCAGCTTCTTTTGCAAACATGTGAAAATGATATTAATCTTTGTGCCAGCTTGTCACTCCTTTCATCCATGCTTACTCTGACATGGTTCCTAACTGCGCACATTTTGGAATACACCTCTGTCGATTCATGCCGACTTTCTTCGCCTCTTGTTTGGTGGCTTACTTTTGGGATTTTGTGCACAATGTATTTCCTGGTTCTCGAGGTTTTGGTTTTCGGTTTTCTTGTTTTCATGGTTTTGCCTTTCATTATGGTGAGCCTAGCTTCTCTTCGTCCTGTCCATGTACTGATAGGCATTCTGCAGCTTTTCTACAGTATTATTCTACTATGCCTGGGCCGTCACCCACTCCAGAACCCTCACTATATCAAGCCCGAAATCGACAAGCTGCCCAAAGCCACCGTCGAACGTATTCCTCTAGTCATCTACATCCCTCCTCCACCGGAAGACGATGGAAAGGCACAACCGATTTCTTTGCCAAAACCTGTGCACAGCTATCCACCCAAAGCACCGGCTTCGCGAACGCCAAGGAGGCGATTTGCATTCTTTCACCGTAGACCCAAGAAGTCCGAACAAGGCGTTGATATCCTTGACGGCAAACAGAGCACGAAGTCGGAGCTCAAAGATCCAGAAACTTGGGAAGATAACTGGGAGCAATGCGAGTATCCCTTTGTCCGATTGGAGGGCAACCGAGCTGCCTGCGCCATCTGTTTGATGGACTTCGAGGAGCCAAAGAGACTTTCCAGTGCTACAGAATCAAGCACGACAGATAAGGATGAAGAACAAGCTCCAGTTACGTCCGGTGAAGACAACCTACCCCGCCAGCCTGAGGAGCAAGTTGAAATACCAGTGGAACGCATCACTGAAGAAGAAAGAAGTGGCCTTCCTCACCTTGAAGATGCGGGAGTTGGTCCGCAGCCTCTTCGACTGCTTGCTTGCGGTCACGTCTTCCATGTACGCCTAACCAGTCTGACCTCACTTCTTTGTAATTAACTTATCGTCATGACAGAAAACATGCATCGACCCTTGGTTAACCGACGTATCAGGCCGGTGTCCGGTGTGTCAGCGACCTGTCGAATTGGATGACATGGACCCGAAGAAGTCTAGGCGAAGACGTCGCTCATGACCACATACGTGTTCCGCTTTCCTCGAATATAATGGTTTAGGTTTGTGAGTGATGAACTACTACAGTAGGAACCGATGTACAACATACATTGATATTGCATATTCATTGGACGATATCCTGCAAGCTTGCAAATAGCGCTTACAGCTTACATAATACAATCCTGACATTATGCCAAGCATTGCTTGCACATCAGCTGACTAACGCCAGTGACAAATGTCAACCACCGACGTCAGGACATATGGTGAATAAAAGGTTTCCTCGCGTTTTCCATTTAATCATGTAAAATTCCCTGCGACAATATATGTCTGATTCCTACAGTCAAGAGAACTCATACCAGAAGCACGCGGCCGAAAAATCAGAGGCTGCCGCGCATCGTCGTGCACCAATAGCGCCAATCACAACCCCTGTCGTACCTGACGCCGAGGACAAACCATTCTCACATGGCCTTTTCGACAACGATCCAGCGACAACTGCTGCAAGAAAGGGCTGGTTAAAGATTAGCATCTTTGGTGTACTGGTTCTTTTCGTTATGATCTGGGGGGTTCTACCCATCTATTGGGCTGCTCTTGGTCGGTCGTACAATAACGTTCACAACCTATCCGGATATGTGGTGGTAAGGCGTCTTTATATCACGACTTGGCGCTTCCTGATGTTTGTACCTGCAGGACTTTGATGGAGGCGAAATTGGGCAAGCAGTAACACAGGCGTTCAAAAACATAACTGGTTCACAACAAATGTCCTGGCTGATACTGGATGCAGCGCAATTTCCTGGTGGGCCAGATGAAGTGGCCCAGGCTCTGCTTGATCATAGATGCTGGGCAGCTGTCACTGGTGCGTATCTCTTAAGTCCAATTCATCATTTCATTACTAAGCGAGAACTAGTCAATCCCCAGGCTTCAACTAACTTAAATGTCTCGATCAATGCAGCTAATGCATCGTATAACACAACCCAAGCCGTGACCGCATACCTTGCCAGTGGTCGCAATGAGAACATATAGTCAGTTTTTCCCTCCCTTGCCCATGATCCACATCTCATTGCATCATGCTTACAGTCGAGGCACCATCACCCCACAAGCAAGTCATAGATTCTAGGCATTCCAACAAATTAACTGACAAGTGATATGCTTCAACAGGTCATCTCGATATTGACCAACATATCACATACATTTTCACTCTCCTTCTCTCAACTTTTAGCGTCGAGGTCAGATATCTCGACACTCCTCCAAACTGCGCCTATACTGGTAATTCAACCATTGGCCTTCACCATCAATGATATAAGACCGTTCAATGTCCCTGTGTACGCATTTTTGTCCGTGATAATCGTCATTTCAAGTTGATTAGTTATGTAGGGCGTCTGCGGTAGACTATGTTGGACTTATCTACCTCCTGATTTTGGCGGTACGTTCACGACGTTCAAAGTTGATAAGAATATGTCTAATTCTCTCATGTCTAGTTCGTATTGACGGTACGACATTTACGATGGTTCCGGACGATGTTCATTAATATGGCGTGATGATTAGAACCAACTTTTGGCGGCTCGCGTTGAATCAGGCTTTGAGAAGCGTTTGAGGTTGCGACCTCTCATCCTTATTCGCCTGCTATGGCCAGTCACTCTCTACTTCTTTGTCTCCGTATGGTCTTTTACTCATTTCCTGATGATTGACTGAGGTGTGTCATTTATAGCTAATGTATTCTTTCTTAAGTTTGGCGTTCGGAGTGCCATTTGGCAGGAAGTGAGTGTCATATTTTTTGATGTAGAATTGCGATCTGACCTTTGCATCTTTCTAAGATTTGGGCACGCAGGCTTTGTCATCTACTGGATGATGTCGTGGTGTAGCATGTCCGCCTTGTGAGCTTTCAGCAATGATGAAGCGATCCACATACTCACCAGTGATTAGGGGCCTCGCTCTCGAATCTATGATCACCCTCCTCACCATAAAATTCATTCCAATATTTCTTATCCTGTGGATTATATGTCTGTTTTTCTCTCATCTCAATGCTCTTCGCTGACTGACGTCGGATGATACAGCTAATGTGTCCGTAGCCTTTTATCCGATAGAAGTGCTGCCGGCCGTCTTTCGCTATGGTTTTGCGATGCCGTTCTACAATGTTTCAAGCACAGCTCGGACGATTATTTTTGACACTAAGAACGAGAGTATGTACCCTCAGCCTATCTATATTTAACGCCACTGTTAAACGAGCACTTATCACACAGTCGGACTGAATTTCGGTGTCCAGTTCTCGTGGATTCTTATCTCTTGTATAACTCTTCCAATATTTCAATGGCTCGTCAGACGACGACAAATCAAGGCCTGGGAAGCATCTCAAAGAGCTGCGCGAGAGAAGGCATAACGCGTGCTTCATATCCGCATTCTTTGTTTTGGCGATTCGAACTCTGGCTAGGAGGGCATCAGGGAAACGTAATTCACTACAGAGTGCTACAGAGCACTCTGTAGCATTCTGTAGCGCAATCGAACCCGCTGATGCGGTGGACACCTGGAGCCCACAAGCCCTGTGCTGTACTATATAGTAACGGCACATATTTGCAAAGTATACTGCATTCAAAGTACCTTACATTTAAAGGGCTCTACATTTGAAGTACCCTACATCCAAAGTATTCAACATTCTACTACACTAGTTTGATGCACTCATATAATTTTAGAGTACGGAGATACTTATCATTGAAATCGAGGTCGGTCTCCGCCTTCTACTTATACTTATAGTATTCATAGAACGTAAGGCTGTCCCAGAGCAGACTATTTTCGGTCGTGAGTTGATTAGAATAATAAAATATCAACCTCAATGCCATTCCCGACACTTGGGTTCGAAGACTTGTGTCATAGATAATACATACACGCGCAGTGGCAAACTGAAAATTTCAGAGAAAAGATGGGTTCTTAAACCATCAGCCAAGAGGAAAATAAAAGTGACATACCAATATGTAGAGAATGATGTAAAAAGGGACTGAAATCGATGGTCCGATAGATGTAGTATGAGGGTATATTTCGTTAGCTTAGCCTAAGAAGTGTATCACGATGTCATTCGTGAATGGTAAATTCGGCGGCATTTTCCTTGTGTCGTACTACATGGGTGTGCATTTGGCGCCGTTGCTGAGGAGTCGTAAATTCTTGAGCAGCGGAGCCTGGAGCAAGCATGAAGATCCACGAGCAGACAGAACCTATTGCCCGTTCTGATTTATACTCGTGTGTTGTTGCATTGATGACTCCATTCACGTCGGTATTTATCCGTGAACAGGATGAGGAAGGACAAGGATACGACAATATCAATATCAAACAAGTCATTGTGAAAAGACACGTGACAAACGGTTTTGGATGTTAGAAGTTAATGCAGACTAAGTCGTCGCTGTCGAGTATGGCCGTTCAGGGCAAGAATTTGTGGGATAGACCGGCACACTTTCCCACCGTATAGGCCATAAAGGAACCCTTGACGGTCGTATGGAATACGTCTTGTATGGTGTACGGTCTGGCCGTACATTGTACTTGTTTGCCTCCCTTTGGAGGCCCACCGGTACGGAAACCGCAGCCGTCGACGGTCACCGTACAAACCGTCTATGACGCCAACGGTGTGCAGCCCTATTGATGGTAATCCGGGAGGCGACAGCTTGAATCAAGGCGGCAGAGATCATAATGAATTGAGATGAAGGAATTTGGTTGGATAAATATCAAAGGACTAGAATGCTTGATATCTTCTACGAGGGTAAGCGTGAACTGAACCCGGAGAGCGACATACCACAGTAGACTTTCTCATAACGCATACCGTCGGGACCCCTCCGAGGTTATGCAAATATTGTTATCTGCTTTGCCCCATGGGTCTGGGCACGCACGTACGCATGTTTGAGGTAAAAGAAGACAAGTTTTTGACACCTGTATTCGCTTTAGCTGGGAGGCTGTAAGTACATTAAAACAACCGATATGAACCAACACTGCCCCAAACATGACCCGATCCGGGGCCCAAATAAGGCTTAAAGCTTAAGCGCTTGTGCGTTATGCATGCATATTACCTACATCCCACAGCGGGACCCACCAAAATATTACCTTGCTTGCAAGGTCTTGCCAACCCGTTAATTAGGCGAATCGTCCACATGCACAACTACAAACAACGGCATTTTCCGCATTCTCTATTCGTAGTCCTCACTCATACATTTGCTAGGCTAGTAGCTACGATTGTGACGAGTCTCTGTCCTTCCAAAATACCGTTTCAAGTGCGCTTGTTCCCTTCGTCTTTCCAATTATAAACGAAAGCAAGATCTTCGCCGGCGACGGCGCCTAGTGAGCAAGTCTACCGTATAAGTATACAACGATGCGCTATACCAATTATTTGTGTGGATTGTCAGTCACGTGCTTGGAAAGTCAACGATGGCTATGCTGTGACGGCTTGTGGTTGAATGACGTCATTTAACTTCCGAGACTTCCGCTCTGGACTCAGAGTCTGCTTGTCATCCGACATCCCGAACGTATCAGACGAAGTTCCGCTCACAGTTTTAAGGACGGCTACTCAGAGCTATGCATCTTAACTCTTCTTCTCAAATATCTCAACCCACACCAGTACTTTGAACGCTAATCGCTCCACCATGTTCGAGAAGTTTACAAATAAAATTGTCCACTCATTATTGGGCTCAGACGACGAGGCCGAGCGTCAGTCTATGGATAGACAAACGGTGGGTCGTCATATGTTCGCCGATCGCAGCCTTCTTATGCTCAGTTGTGGCTAGGCTTACATCGAGCCTGATGGTGCCTACATTCGTCCTGACATTGATAGTCACTGGGCGTTTGCAATGGCAGACACAATTCAAGTTCTAGGTTGTGTCTGTATCTGGTGTAGGAGAAATAGCGAATCGGTGAGCACTTTTTTCATCAAACATCCCTGAGACATATTGATGTTTGTGCAGGATGGTGACTTGCAGGTGGAAAGGGGACAACCGAGTCAATCTCCACACCCTCACATCCGCCCATGGAAGGTGTGCGATTCGCCAATGGCTACTACAAGTGAGGTTTTGGAGGTGCTGTATCCTCTATCATATCTTGACACCCCTACGGCTCTCGACCCCGAGGCTAGTCCTCCCGCTTACGAGCTGCGACCCACAGTACCTCCAAATACTCCGCGAGACCAATTGCCCCCGACTCCTTCCCGAGATGGCATGGATCTCATCCCTTTTATCCCTCGTCCTCCGCAACTCACTCCTTCCACGGATCCTGTGTCATCTTACCACTTGTCCGATACTCCTCTTGACATCGCTGTTCCAAGCTCACAATCTTCTCGTCGACCATCAACAGGGATTGCGCGGCAACCAATCACTGGGAATTTACTGGAGTCTCATGAAGAAGTTGATAATGTCGAGCTTCCGGCATACAGTCAGTTCGATTCTTCACGGCCCCAGTTCCCAGCTGCTTCTGACATCCTGGGACCATACCCGCATATCTCGATGCTTCCCCCGAATCTTGGGTGATCTAGGGGGGTTTGATATTACATTATTCTAGAACGAGGATTTGTTGTATCAAAAATATATTCCATGTATCCGTAGCTTTGCAATGTTATGTAGACTGGTCGACCCCCTATATTTCCGTCGTTGGCTTAGTCAGTGATCACTAGTGAACCTTGTTTGAGTCATTCGAAAAATGACAACATATTTCACAACAGGAGACAACTCTACTACATAGCATTCCTGGAACGTAATACAATTATTTCACAAAAGTCGCATATATCGTAGGGTAATGTGAATATTATTATTTCAACCATAGTTTGGTTCAGTTCCACTTGAAATCAGTTGTATTCGGGTGAATTCTACCATAAATGTAATATTTTACACTATCCTGACCGTTTTGGCCGCGCCGCCGGTCAGCGCGTGTGATAATTTCGCAGTGTTTGCATAAGTATAACTTGCGAATTCCGATAGGTTCACGGAATCGTGTCCTCCCGAATTCACTCTGTGATACCAACGCACGATGTTATATCATATTGGCTCTGTCAGGCGAATGGCTACATTGCACAGACCTTCGTTAACAGGGAAAAGGTGTGCTAGTCACATCGGACATGATTCAATTCGTTAACGCGAAATTCCAGTCCTACAGGTATGCATCTGATACGTTTCTTCTCATGCATACTTAACGCATGGTGTCTCCGTCAGCCATTGTTATGTTGAACATGGGAGGACCTTCGACCGTACGTGAAATATCATCTTGTCTCAATTTCTCTCATACCATGTCATACCACTCTCTCACAGGTACCAGAGACCTATGACTTCCTCAAAAACCTGTTCATGGATGGCGACCTCATTCCGTTACCTTTTCAACGCGTCATGGCTCCTCTCATTGCCAAGCGGCGGACCCCTCAAATTGAGAAGCAGTATGCTGACATTGGCGGTGGTTCTCCCATTCTCAAGTATACAGAGATGCAAGGAGCTGGTATGTGTGAACTACTGGACGAGCTGCACCCAGAAACTGCTCCGCACAAACCTTATGTCGCGTTTCGTTATGCGAACCCGCTGACACAGGAGACCGCTCAGAGGATCAAGGCAGACGGTGTAAAGAGGGCAATTGCGTTTACCCAGTATCCACAGTACAGCTGTAGTACGACTGGAAGCAGTTTGAACGAACTTTTCAGACGGGGGAGGGCAGGCGAGATGGGGGACATCGAGTGGAGTGTGATAGACCGCTGGGGTACCCATCCAGGATTCATCGAGGCATGTTCATATTGTCTTGTGCATTTTTCAGGGTGCTGACAACGACCTTCGATATCAGGCTGTTGCACAAAACATTGAGGCTGCTCTAGCCAAATTTCAACCATCAGCACGTTCAGACGTGGTTATTCTATTTTCGGCTCACTCATTACCCATGTCAGTAGTGAACCGAGGTGACCCATATGTCCTCGAGGTTTCCGCATCTGTCAACGCCGTTATGGACAGACTCGGCCACTCAAACCCATACCGTCTTGTCTGGCAGTCGCAAGTTGGACCTTCCGCGTGGATGGGCATGCAGACAGGGGAGGCTATCAAGGGTCTTGCTCGCCTGGGCAAGAAGGAAGCAATTCTAGTCCCCATTGCATTCACGAGCGATCATATCGAGACGCTTTACGAACTGGATCTCGAGTATCTGAAAGAAGGAAGGGAGGTACGTTGGGCCATGAGTAAATGCTTTAACGACTCACCCATGTGTGTCCTATTTATTTTTTTCGCAGCTGGGGATGGAGCTACATCGCGCAGAGTCATTGAATGGATCTCCTGTGTTCATCCGTGCGTTGGCAGACATTGCGGCAAAGCATCTGCGTGACTATTCCACGAGGAGGATTGGGCCCACGAGTGTTCAGATGGGGCTTCGGTGTCCGGGCTGTAAAAATATGACTTGTGGCCAGCAGAAACATTGGTTCGCTCGTGCTGGACGTTCCTAGCCGTTCATTCCCAGTCAAAACTCACAACAGGCTCAGCCACGCTCAGACAGCCCGCTTAGGAAACCTGGCTGAGTGTGGATGTTTGAACCACCTCCTGGATATCCCTATATGACTTCGTAACTAGTTTACTGCCTGGATAGCCCTGTATACATGTGGGGGTAGCAAAATACAACACGAACGCTTGCATTGGACAGAATGAACAAACAATGCAAACAACAATCGCGACAAGAACAACAGCTGGTAGAATAAAAAACATAGGGGACGACCAGCATGAATTGGATAAACCAGTATACGGAGAGACTCGCGCTGGATGGCCTGACACGACACAACCACTTTCGTCGACAAGATAGGATGTGGAGCCAGCGCCGTCAGGACGCTTGACTGCGAGGATAACGACCACCCAGATACTCCTTTGTCTAGTCACTCTTGAACCTGTAGTACACCATCGTAGTCGTATCTAGAATTAGAGAAGAGCACAATCAGTTTCGGAGGTGACAATGTGAAGAAAAAACTACCTTGATAATATCTCAAGTTTGCGCTCAAGAGATACAACTTTGCTGCTCGAGCTTGATAATCATCTGCTCTAGGGAACGATTCGCCTTCAGTGTAGACACCTCATTTTCGCTGGAGTCGTGCACATATGCTCTAGCTCACTGTCTATACGCACGTACGAAGTTGGACTGAAGTCAGGAGGATGATACAACAACGAAGATGAGTTGTCTGCGAATGAGTTTCTGCTGCGAGATGTAGTATCCTGTGGTACTAGTTAGGGACACCTCAGTGGAAACACGCACACTTGGATGATAGCTATGATAGGTGAGCTACGAGGAGGCTCAGAAGGTATCTGGGAAGACGCGTCCGATGCGCTCCTGCCGCCAGAAGGCTTGCTCTAGGTTGGCATGGCGTGACTTTGGCTATTCGCTTCATCGCGAAATTTTGCGGTGGCTTCTGTAGATGCCCCGATAGGTTGCGGGTTTTGACTGGAGTTAACGTTCATTGTTGGCTTACTATGGAGAGGAATGAAGGTTGTATCGTGACTCATCTGCCAAATCACGAATCGCATGATTCTGAGGGCCAATCAACGTGTGCTCTGAAGAATCATCAGACCCGAGTACAGCTGCTGACTCAGCGACAAGCCCTTATACTTAACCGTATGATGTCTCTGGATGTACAAATGACACCATGTCTACTATCGTATCAGCGCCGGGAAAAGTACTAGCAGCAGGAGGATATCTTGTCCTCGACCAGCAATATCCAGGGGTAGTGATCTCTACATCTTCGCGATTTTACACTGTTATCCAGGCTTCGTTGGGTTCTGCAAATCAGATCGTAGTCCGATCTCCCCAGTTTAATCAGGCCGAGTGGAGATATACCGTGACTTATAATGCTGCAGGCATTCAGGTAAATCCACAGGAGGACAGGTGAATAACATTTCTATGACACCTTGATCACGCCTCACGTATATCTTGATCAGCATTGGGGGAAAGAATAAATTCGTTCACCTGGCACTCCAGCACACCCTGAATCTCGTATCGGAGATCCATTCTGTAGCCCGGGTGCAAGAGAGGCTATTCAATGGTCTCGATATAGCTGCTGTGGGTGATAACGACTTCTACTCTCAGCGCGCACAGGTAAGCCTCCTTATTGTTACAGTCATGGTACAAATGTGACCGCTGGCACAGCTGGAGTCGTTAGGTCTACCTAGAACGACGGAATCCCTCTCGCGAATCACCCCTTTTTGTCACAACGGCGTGAAACTGACCGATGTGCATAAAACCGGCATGGGCTCTTCCGCAGCGCTTATCACGTCGCTCGTCTCTGCGTTGCTTCTCCATTTTTCAGCCATAACTGAGACAGATTTTGCCAACCTAGAAGGGGATGGCAGACGCCTCGCCCACAACGCTGCTCAATTTGTGCACTGTCTTGCCCAAGGTAAAGTGGGCAGCGGATTTGACGTATCTTCCGCGGTGTTCGGCAGCCAGATATACAGGCGATTCGGCCCTGCCGTCTTGGACCCCCTGATGAAAGGCGAAGTATGTCATGTTTGGGGCATTTCCGCTTCCGGCGTCCGCTGATTCTTCTTAGTTTGCGGCAGGCACATTGAAGAGTGTTCTGAACTCTAGTGCCTGGGATTACAGTTTCCGGCCGATCCAACTTCCTCCGTTGACAAGACTGGTACTGGCAGACGTTGAAGCAGGAAGTGATACTCCTTCTTTGGTCGGCAAGGTGTTAAAATGGAGAGGGCACGAAGACAGCTGTGAAACAGGTACGCAGTAGAGCTATAAAAGTCAGTCGGATACCTCATTATTATTGTCCCATGCAGCGAAGGATCTATGGACACAGATTGACGAATCAAACCAATCTCTAGCACGGCAGTTGGATGCCCTTTCGCAGTCGTATGTTCAGAACAAATATGTATACGAAGAGACCATCAGACAACTTGCTTCTCTGCCTGCACAAGAAGTGAGTAGGTTTCTTTTCTTGCAGTCATTGTTCCTCATCGTGTATTGCAGTGGGAGAGTATCTCCAAAGCGTTTTATGATTTGCATCAGACTACCCAGGTAAGGAAAGTTCCTCACCATCGTGCATCAAGTTGAATGTGCCCTTTGTTTCTAGCGAATACGTAACCTTATGCGGAGAATGGGCGATCTCGCCGGCGTTGAGATTGAGCCTGAGCAACAAACCCACCTACTTGACAAGTCGATCCAGCAGGCAGGCGTGGTCGGTGGTGGTGTTCCAGGCGGTTAGTTATGTTTTTTCGGGAGCTGGACTATATCCTAATCTGAAACAACGCAGCTGGCGGATATGATGCCATATGGCTGCTAATCTGCAGTCCGCCAGGTCTTTCGGACGAGCAACAACCCTTGCGCCAAGTTGAATCCGTATGGAGCACCTTCGATGAATCCAACGTGACTCCTCTTCTTGCTCAAGAAAGCGTCGCCAAGGGTGCTCGTGTTGTGCAGCTCGATGAAATACCAGGGCTTAAGGAAGCAATTCAACGGCAATGATCAATTTTAAATAGATGTTCTCAATCCAGTGTCCAATCTGTGCATTATCTACTACTCTAGATGTATAAATGTGCAAGCCCGTGGCTGTATTAAAAACGAAGGTCACGCCATACACATCTTTGGCTCGCCCAGAGGCATGTACGCTCTTTGGATCACTTGAAGGAGGGATACGGTCATCACAGCCACTCCAAATGCAAGGCAAGCTGCGGCCGGAAGCTTCGCACGGGAGTGCCACGGAACATGTGGGTCGGTCAGTTTTAGGTAGCATGCAGCAGGAAATATGTACGCAAGCGCTGTGGCTGAGACACCGCCGGTAATCTCTAGCGTGACGCCCAGATCGCAGGTGATCAATGAGACTGGTTCAAAACCCGCGTTAGCTCTAGCTGTGGTGATTGGCATAAGAACTCACGAAGCATCGATGAAAAGAGAATAGTGGAGGTGAAGAAGACGTGTCGCTGAATATTATAGCTTTCGTGCGAGAAGAAGTATTGTTCTATCACCTGAAACGGTTGAGTTAAATTTTGTCCTGAATTTGCATACCATCAATTTACTTCTCTGCAGACAAACAGCTCCAAAGGTAACGTCGTAAACATATTCAGCCCAAAACAGAAACGGGCGACATTGATCAGCGCATCGTTCTGTTCCGTATATATCAGATGTCAAGCATTCAAATGTAGAGGAAAGCCTACCCCAGAGAAGTTATTCAATATATTCCCCTGAGTTCTATCTGTAAAAACCCAGAAGCCTGATATAGCCAAAGTACAGCACGCCACGAGTGAAATGATCGTTGATATACGGGTCACTTGAGCGAACCGATCTAGGGTGGGGGTCTTCAAGCTCCCGTAGATGAGTAAACTATTGTGATGGCACACAAAGGCAAAGCTCATAACGCCGATTGCTTGAAAGACCCCCGAGCCCACCACAGTGAGGCGTTTCGATGGATCGCCCTTGAGATTGGGAGACACGTGCGATCCTTCAATCAGGACCGCTGAAACGATGACGAGCATGCTGATTAATGCGAGCCCGGATGCACGCGAAAGCTTGTGAATGTCGCGGTAGAGCGACAATGGATAAGAAACACAGGTTGTGCACAGGGTGATGATAAATTGGCGGTTGGTGAGGAGCGAGAGAACAGGTATCGTGTGCAAAGTAGGGAATATTGAACGAATGACATGGGGTATCGTATCTCCTGGAGAAAATGTAAGGTAGGAATATAATACACCAGGAACCCTGCACTTGCCGATAATAATACCAAACGCACACATGCCTGAAGGAACAATCAATCGGAAATACAGGGACGTTCATATGGATTACTCACCACCAAAAGCAAATGAGAACTGAAAGAATGAAACGGCTGCACGACCACTGGGGCCAAAACAACTGTTCATGACTTCGATGTAAGAGGTTCTGCCGCTGAGTTTAGCGTTGATGACAACCAATCGGATAGTCCAATCGGTGACAGCACAAATGACGACCAGGAGAACAATGCCAAGAAAGAAGCCTGCTTGATTGACTGCGTACGGCAAACCTACCGCAGTATTAGCCAAATCTGTTGCTGAAATTGCAACCTGACCAACCAATAATTCCTGTTATCCATTGTCAGCACTTTGGACATCTAAGCAACCAAAAGTTTACCAGCTCCGAGGATTGAATTTGCCATATTGGCAACCGAGTTCAGTAGACCTCCACCCGACCACTGTTTTTGAGCAAGGTCATCGAGGTCTACGTTCCTAAGTTCTCCATTCTCCATACTATCTGTTTCATACATAGGAATGACTGTGTCTGGCGTTCTCCTTGCAGCCGAAGCATCCATGAGGCCAACCAGTAAAGGCATGGTGCGTTCTCGTCGTGGAGCCCCACGAGAGTGCCTTTGTTCGCGTTGGATATCAGCTAGTGAAGCATCATCAAAGTCGTCCGAGTCCAATTCGTATTCTGCACAGGCACTGATAAGGTGCGTTGAATTATGAGCACCAAGATACGCACCCGCCTCCCGACTCTGTATTGTGGACCGTAAAGGTGGACCAATGACCTGCACTTCTTCCTGAAATCTGACACCCGGTTCTGTCCTCCGCACTGCCGACCAGGGCTCTCCATTACTGCTTTCTGAGTCCTCGTCATCCACTGAAAAGACAACTTGGTTTGTATCCGCTGAAACATCCTCGTGTGAAGCATTCAGCAGAGGCTGCCTAGCCTCTCCGTCTGCTGCCTCTCTTGCTCTTGAGTTTGCGGAAAACATCTGGCACTGTCCAGGACCATAGGCCAACTGAAGAAATTACCGTGAAAAGGGTTAGTAAGTTACAAGTTTGATGCAGAGGCGAATCTAGCGACAACGAATAATCCGGATGATCCTGACTTGACTTGAATGCTGTATTTATTTGGCTAACTACCGATTATAATAGCCTTAACTACTTAGTACGGGTAACAAGCACAGGTTTACTGTGTTTGGCTATGCAGATAAGTATGCAGGTAGTATTGTACAAAAAAATCAGCGCAGTCGCTTGATTCTCGCAATGTTGAACTTCGACATGGAGCCCTGAATCGCACTGCAGGCAGGACGTAAAGAGGCGGTCACGTGATGCGGCCAACACGCGCGTGTCCCTGCACGGGCCTGGGCCTGCTCCCCCGGTGACCACTGGCCTAGTGGTAAGTTAGTAACTATTAAGTTGCTAGCAACCGAGCCACCACCATAGGTTCACCCCCATGCTCACTGTTCTGTCACTTACACTTTTTTTTCTCCGGTTATCAAAGACTCATGTCTCAGCGGCTGGCCAAGTTCCTCTCTCATCAGTAGTTACGTCCTTCTCGTTGACCACGAGTACCGTGATACCCTTTCCTTCCGCTACTCAAAGTGCATCCGATGCATCGTCGTTCATTACATCCCAGTGGTCGTTAAACAAAGGACACATTCAGAATGGCGGTAGCAATGTTGCCTTCGTGGACGATCCCTTCCCGAACTCACCAGCTCCTGGTGCGACCGTGTCAAATACCTCTGGGCCCGTCTTACAAGTGACATATGCTGCTGGTACCTACGGAAGTGTAGATTCTGGTGCTCAATGGTACTCGCTTTGGAATACAACAGATGGATCTCAATTTCAGAGCATGTTGCTCTCCTACGAGCTTGCGTTTGATTCTAATTTTAACTGGGTTCAAGGGGGTAAACTTCCTGGTCTTAGAGGCGGTTCCGATGTCGACGATTGCTCTGGCGGAGTGCAGGCGAATGGCACTAATTGTTTCAGCGCCAGGCTCATGTGGCGAAAAAATGCGCAAGGAGAAGGTTTAAACGCAGTCATGCTCTCGTATCAGCACTGAAGTCTTGCATATAGTCTATGCATACACGTTGACTCCTAACAACATTTGTTCGGATAGCAATATAATTTGTAACTCTGATTACGGAGTAAGCATCGACCGAGGATCATTTGGCTTCGAGACTGGACAGTGTGTATTTTTCAAGGCTATGTATCCTGACATACTCGCTGACGACTGGATGGCAGCTGGAGCCGTATCACAATTCTTGTGCAACTGAACAATGATTCCCTCGTTGCGAATGGCAACATTATTTTATAGTAAGTAGTGTATCATTCAGGCAGCCCTGATGTAAAGTTCGTCGTCGTCGTAGCTTCAATGATGTTCAAGTGCTATCACAACAGAACTTATACTTCAGGACAGTTAACAATGTCACTATTGGGGGATTGTACTTCTCGTGAGTCGTGTTCTTCTGTGAATCGTAATGTACTGCTACTGACTTTATGAATATGTAGGACATTCTTTGGAGGTCGGTTTTCAGTATACTTGTCAGATTCGCATTGAAGGATAACTCTTTTTCACAGGGGGCGACTCCAGCTGGGCAACACCGCAAACTGTTCATACTTATTACCGCAATATACAGATGTGGGGCAGCTCCTCTCCATCTTTACTTGCTGGACAAACGGTCAATGCTGCACTATCCTCATGTTGCAAGCTTGGAAGCATGGGATGGACGTTGTCTGCATCTGTTCTTCTCACTCTTCTCATGTATCTATAGGCTTGGATGACACATGGACACTTGCTGCACGCATTATGCGCACTTGGAGCATTAGATGGCGTATAGGCTGTGCGACATTATACCCCACGGAAAGTACCTTGGACCTTGGTCCCTAGAGTACTAAAGGTCCGAGGTGTCAAAGAAGTCGTCGTGGTCGACGAGGGTAGCCTTGGAATTGATCGAGTGGCGCTTCAGCTTCTCAATCGGCAGTAGTCTGATGGGCAGGGTGGACGGCGAAGTACTGCAGTATTCGCTTGCGATTGAATTCTATAAAGAGAAATCACAGAGAGTTGCTGGTGGGAGGTAGGTTGGGCTCGGCTAAATCATGCCTCGGATTGCATGGCGAGTGGCCGCAAAGCAAGGGGTGTGCACGCGATATCGGCCATGTCAATTTGTCGCCAGCAACATGCATGATGCTTATTTTATGATGACACGGGGCTCTGGCCAGGTGTGCATGCATGTGAAACTTGTAACTGTGACATCTAATATATGAGCAGACGTTACGCGTTATGGCCATCAAATACCATGGCTTTGCAGCGGCAGCCCCTATTTTGTCGTCTCCTTTACGATGGCCACCATAGCCTTCAATGACAGCTCAGACCCACCTCCCTCGTATGATGTGTCCGTGTCAAAATATTCCGTCCGGTCTAAACAATCGGTATTTTCATTCTTACAATCCAAGCAAAAACGCCGCAAAGCTTCTGCTCTATCTCTCATCCATGAAATTATCTCTTCTCCTGGTCTCGCTGTTTCCTCTGTCGCCCCGATTATCAAATCCTGCGCTGCTGCTCTCTCAGCAGCAGAGTTCTCAAAGCTGCTTCAAAAACGCAATATAGAGAACCACACGGCGCTGTATTGGGCGATTGTAAACAACCGGCGAGAAGCCCTTCTGGAGTTTGTTAAATTCATCCCCAAATTCTCACGTGCTTGTTCTGCCGACTTACGTCTTGCATGTATGGCAGTGAACGACCATGGTTCATTTATGCTACTGCATCTGGGAGACAGTGATGTTAATTGTACGTCCAGATACATGATGTCCTAAAAGTAACTCACTGCGTACTATTAGCCAAGGATAGGTCTTTGAGACACATGTTGGGTTGTCCGCAAGATGACATTCAAGTCCATGAAGGGGATTTCCTGAGCGTGGACAGTCACGAAAACAACTTCTTTGTCCATTTTGTCTTTAGGATGTTCCAGAAGCGTCTGCGTATTGCACGGAAATTGGAAGTAGAATTTGTTGCCCAGGGTATGTAGTACATGATTTTGGTTTGTTCCTCGCACTGATACCAACATCTGACTCCCTGAAGGACGTATATGGGTGTTACGCTTTGATATGGATATATTGGGAGGGAATTGGCTTGTCGAGTTTGGTATTTCTCGAGATAGCTCGCCAGTGCGCCCAAATGCTGTACTTGAGATTCAGGCCAACAGACTGTCACCTGGCTCGGATACCATGCAACCTCTACGCCTCGATATGTGTACATCAGACGGCGTTCTTGCACCTGGGGGGTAGGTCTATCATTCCCACTCATTCGAAGGCATACTAAAGTTCACTATTATTCATACGTGGCTACTCTTTACTTGCTCTGGCTAATAAACAGAGTATATCGATATTACATGGATCCGTCCAGCACCAGACGCACAGTTCTCTGGCAATTGAGTGATTGGCCAATGCACGAGTAAGCATTCTTCCTTAGTAATCCAACCTCGGGCTGACTTGGACTATTTTGCTTCAGTAATACTGCTTGTGTGGACTACAATGGCACCCTAACTGCAGAGCTTATGATGACAATAAAGCCACGCTACCCTTACTGAGGCTGATGCTGATAGTAGGAAAGTCAATACACATGGCGCGCGCACATTCATTCCATAACACTAATAAGTACGTCAATATGGACACTAATGAGAATGCTTATGCCGTCCTATATAATTTTGGGGATGTGTTTATCCGCACATCCCCTCCGCCCTCGACTTCACGATGAGTGTTTCACCCACCACTCCTCGATCTTCTTCACAGACTCCGCAGGGACTTCCAGATATGCCGAAGCACTGGAAGGTTCCGGAGGACGACGGCACTTTGCTATCAAGCATCAGAATACTTGCGTTTCGTGTACTCTGCCTCGTCTCGATCGCTCGTCCCTCCCTCGGCGTTCACTGTTGGCTTTCCAAGAATGACGAGAAAGAGTGGGGGAAACATCGAAAAATGGTTTGTGGTGCGTCGAATGTTGCGGTTAGTGTTTGCTTGGGATCTCACTGTTATCGCCGTGTATGAATCTTGTGATAGAGAGTGGACTTTGAAGGTTAGCGATGATTCATGCTGACTCGGCAGGCAATTAACACTTCATTGCGCAGGCCCTCACCTCTGCTCGCGTCGCTTCCGTGTATGTTGCACTCTCGTGATTATAGCGAGTCCCAGCCTTTCCCTCGTCTCCATTTTCTGTCTTATGGCCGGCGAGACCCTCGGTACCTCTGCGTAGCCCACTGACAGATTGCATGTCCCAGCACCCATGATCACTGGCCTGACGTCCGGCGTTTGGTTCATCCGGTTAATCGTCTACCTCGAAGTCGCATGCTGGATATGGATACCGTTTGTTTCCTATGATGTGCTGTTCTAGAGGAGTTTTGGGATCCTCACTTGCAGTTGATCAACTTGAAGGTCGAAGGTGTCACACATTCTCTGATGCAAGTCCCTGGACTCTGGTGTAAACGATGACAAGGATCGGTGTCGTAGCTATGAAGGTGGAGAATCATGAGGATCGTGAGGTAGATTGGATAAGACATTGGACGAGGTAATTTACTATGACACTAGCTTCAGGAACTTCGTAGCACAACCAGGGGCTCACAGCACATACCAGAGTTTAATCAAATTTCTTCACGATTAACTAGAATAGATCTCGCATCATTAGGCGAAAGCAAAACTATCTCGAGTGAAAGTGGAGGCACCTCCAAAGTTCGAAGGAATGAGAATGCAATTTGAGCGAAAAGCCCTACAGCTTGGTAGAAAGGAAGGGTTGGTTTGTGACGGTGATTCATTGCACTGGCGGATACATCGTGACTCATGCTGTGTGATTGATACCTGTTAAATATAAGACGCCACACATACTAGGTCGAAAGAGAAATCGCACATAGGAGACGAGAAGCCTGAAACAGGCAAGAAAGCCCGATTTCTGATTGTACAGCCTCAGTCAGTTGCCATTGTATTTCAGTGATGTTTTGCAGTGCCGACTTGAGCAGGAGCCGGTAAAGGTTGCGAGCTAAAAGCGAGGTCCATCAGATGAGCAAAGAACGCCATTGTCAGACCTCCATCATACTCAGCAATTTCATGGGCAGGCTATGAAAGTCGCATCGTAGTCGGATGCTTGCACATGCATAGCGATCGTACAGATACATCGTTGCTTCAGAATCCTTATTCCACCTTCACGAGGTGACAACAATGCAAATCCGAAGTGGTCACATGTCGCAACATGCAGATAGGATCGCATCTTCACGCGAGGAAGCGCACGGTGACGATTCCATTCTCCATCTTCGTATGGAAAGCCTCAGCCTCGATGCAATTACCATAATCTAGAAGACTTGCCATAAAAATGTTGCTGCACCGTATATCCGGCCTTTTTGTGGTTCTCCGAGCGTTTCAAATGCACAGATATTAATGTTAGGTGGGGTTTGATGTTGATAGTCTGTCGTTCGAGAAGCTTAACTGTTGCAGTCACTGTCCTGGCTCCGGAATTCCGGTGTAGGTCCATGCTGTGTTGGCGCAGATCAGTGACATGGAGTGTTGGATACATGAAGCTATGATATACTTACCTGTGGCAACACCAAAGCATGGCGATGAATCAATTAATCAATATTTGAATGCGTTGTGAAGCGATACAGAGCGATACCCGCGGTCCCGCGCCTCTACAGCTTTTATCAAGACACCCACAATATTAATCCCTCCGCGAATCCACCTCGATGTTCGATACCATCAATATCTCGTTCCTAGTCGAAAGTTTGTAGCGCCATAACCACAGTTGCAAGACAAGCGTTATGTTGAAGAAGATGCAGGGGAATCGGCGAATCGCCAAGTGCGGGCACAGAAACTGGGGAGTATCTCATGATGATCGACTCTCACTGGACTTTTCCCTTGCAAGTGGATCCATGGACGAAGTTTTGGAGCAGCGCAACATGGCAGATGCAAGTAAATCCACCGGCAAATAGCAAACTCAAAATTTACCTTTCGGACACGCGAAGGAATATTTGTCGACATGCCTGCAGATAGCTTCGACTTGAATTTACTTGCACACGCCTTCTATTGATGTGCTATCACCTTAGTCAAGTGGGGTGCATCAACCTGGAAGCAAACTGGACAGGTCATTACCGAAAGTCCAGAAGACAGATATTACAGGTTATGAGTGTTGAAAAGATGACGCCTACCTTATGTGAGTGGGCGCAATAAGCGTAGTAAGCCCTCGTGCTAAAATTAATGCCTGGCAAGCCCTATTTGCAACCTCACTCCCCCACCATGGCCTCCGACAACAGTGCATCCACCGTTTTCGATGCACCTCCCTCATACGATGCGATTTATAGCATCCGTATCAACAGATTCCACTAGGTGTAAACGATCAGCATTTTCATTCCTACAATCCAAGCAAAAACGCCGCCAAGCTTTAGTTCTATCTCGCATCCATGAAATTGTCTCCTCTCCTGATCTCAACGTTTCCTCTGTTTTGTCGATTATCAAATCCTGTGCCGCTGCTCTCCCAACAGCAGAGTTCTCCAACCTGCTTCAAAAACGCAATATCGAGAGCCACACGGCGCTGTATTGGGCGATCGTAAACCACCAGCGAGAAGCCCTTTTGGAGCTGGTTAAATTCATTCCCAAATTCTCACGTGCTTGCTCTGCCGACTTACGTCTTGCGTGCATGACAGCGAGCGACCATGATTCATTTATGCTACTGAATTTAGGGGATAATTTTGATCGTAAGTGCAGGTACATAATGTCCTGAGAGTGTGTTATTCGACTCACTGCGTATCATCAGCCAAGGATAAGTCTTTGAGACGCATACTGGGTTGTCTACGAGATGACATTCAAGTCTATGAATGGGACACTGCGGACCGCAGCAAAAACCATTTCTATGTTCGTTTCGTCTTCAGGATGTTCCAGAAACGTTTGCGTATTGCACGGAAATTTGAAGTCGAATTTGTTGCCCAGGGTATGTGGACTATGACTTTGGCTTGTTGTCCATGCTGATACGAATACCCTATGCCCTGAAGGACGTATTTGGGTGTTGCGCTTTGATATGACGCTGACAGAATACTGGTTTTTCGAGTTTCGTCTTTCCAAAGATAGCTCGTCAGTGTATCCAGATGCCATATCTGAGATTGAGGCCCACAAACCGCTACCTGGCTCGGATACCCTGCAACCTCTATGCTTTTATTCGGGTGAATTGCGCAAGCTTGTACCTGAGTAGGTCTATTGATCCCACTCATCTAATACTGAAGTTTACTATCTTTCTTATATGGCTACTCTTTCCTTCCTTGCTCTGGCTAATATAGATCATCTTACCGTCTCCGGCCTTTGGACGTAAGAGAAAGAGTTATCTGGCGATTGACTGATTGGCTGATGCATGAGTAAGTGTTCTTCCTCAATCTTTCCCTCTTGTAGTGCCATTCGTTTACATTGTCGTGATTTGCGAGTCTCTTCAAACGCATGCTGATTCGGACTGTTTTGCTCTAGCAACACTCCTTATGTGGACCGTCATGGCACCCTAACCCTCGGGCTTACGATAACTGTGAACGGCGGGAAACGACTTTGATCAGCATGGCTCGAGCTTGAACGAGGACTGATACGAAATCGCGAAGTTCGGTGAAGACGTTGTAGGCCGTCCCACTGGATTCTTGTGGCACTGAGAAGTTAAAATATGAACCGGTGGACATATGTCTGCTCGCCGGCTGGGGTGTAACATTCGGGAGTACCAGTTGTAGTAGTATGCTTGCTTGTAGTGTCGGGACTCGTACGATATGATAAAAGAAACAGATGCATCATACGTGTGATCCTGGACAGAATTCCCGGCGATACGGTGCGCGGAGATACGGTTGTGGTTAAGGAAGAATTTGATCGAGTCATATACAACTTTTTGATAAAGTATGTCTGCTCGTATATATAAGCAGTGTGAAAACAATTGATTTTTCAATGAATACTCTTACCGCATCACCGCACTACAACGTGGTAAGCACGTGAAATAGATTCAAATGCGCTGCAGAGACTCGTGGCATCGGGCCGATTCAACTTGTACGTATGTGATGGTCTGTTGCAAATTGCAACAGAGCATTACATACGTACATTGTGGGCTTGCTTGTACACTTGCGCTCGTGAGTTTTTATACTTATATCCCATGTTCCGGCTGACGATTACTAGCATGCGCCCGCACAAAAGTAGCGGCGACTAAGTAGACGTGCATCATAGGAAGTGCGATCCACGAGGAGCAAGGAACCCTGACCCTTAAAAGCAGCCTCTCTCGACTGTGCTGGTGCGTATCCATCTTCTGTGCCACATAATGTCAAAGGTTTCATGCAGCCCACATCCTCCCAGAACCCCGTCACCTCCTCCGCCACCCGATCCCCCGCAAGCCAGTGGATCTTGTGCCACTACACCACATCACTGAAAACCAAGATCTATGATAAACCCTTATATACACATTATAATCCCAACAATGTGTATAATCGTATAAAATATGGCAGTGCAGAAGCCATAGTCTTGTATAGAAATATATTGTTATCCCTTGCGACCAATCTTTATCATGATTACCTGTGCCCGGCATTAGTTGAATGAATTTGGCTGTGTAAAAACTCAAACGGATTGATAAACACGCTAATTGCTGAAAACAAGATATATATGTGTAGAACGCTATCCCCTATGACCAATAATCATCAAGATGGTTTTCATTTAGCATTAGCTGCATGAATCATGTCGTGACAGTACTAAAACTGTACTGAAGTGGTGAAGCATGTTCGAAAAAGTGTCTCTCATTTAGCATTTCTAGCACAGAGGCTCTCCTGTCAAATAAGTAAAAGAGATGGAAATTCTTGCCATCTGTACCATCATATGGACAATTGTTTCATTGGCATCATGGTATTGCGGGTTTTATACTTGATTGGCCAGGAAGTCACATTGGGTTGTATAGGATTATACAGAGACACTCGGTACAATACATGTAGTTTATCAATGCCTCGCCAATTCTCTACCCTAATCTCATCATCAACACCATCTGCAGGAACAATAACATGGGTTGAACCACAACAGATATCGTTAGTGCCTTGAAGTCCAATGAAAGCAAGGTGTCGCGGCAACTTGACACTATTGTTTCCTTATGCAAAATTTGCACTGCTCAAGTGGTTGACTGAGTTTGGCGGTGCCAGTGTACAATCAAGCTCGGCGGTGCCAGTATAGGATCAAGTTTGGCGGTATATAATCGAACTCGTGGTACCATAGGATGTAACAGGATCGAGTTCAGCCATAGGATCGAGTTTTTGGCCATGGAATAGAAGTTGGTCGCAGGGATCAAATCCAAATATGAGATCGAGTTCAGCCATATCATCGAAGACCAGTCATCCTTAGACAGAAACATAGACCACGACATGACATATCCTGTTGCCAGACCATGTAGTACAGTGCGACTTTCTGGATGGCATCCTGTCGAGAAACTTGCAGGAAGTAGCGTTAATGAGTGATTGAAGGCAGAGTAGGTGATAGTGGGGATTGTAAATAAAATCTGAGTCGGATCCTTACTTATCAATGACCGGAAGATATGCTCGGCCGGTGGTGACTGAGGTCTTGACCCTTCCCAAGGGAGTTGTACCTCGTTCGTTTTGAGATCCGGTGGTCAAACTATTTCAGAATAGGAAAAGAGAAGGAGCAGGGTCGGAGCCGGGTAAGGCTGCGAGCTTCGGCGTCAGTTGCAGACAGCTAAAACCAACAGAGATAACGGCAGTTTCGAGCATCGGTCGAGGACACATGGCCAATGTTGACTTTGAAGAAAGGCCAAAATGCAGAATAGGTTTCAAGTGGGATTGAGGGATCATCCAGACCACCATTCACTACTGCCCGATCCCAACAACCGCCAGTGCTTAGCGCACATGCCCAGCACATGTCAGCAAATGCTGACGTGGCTCGAACATATGCGAACCACACCGGAAGGCGCCAGAATGAGAGGAGTGGAGGAGGGCGAGAAGGAGATGAGGGAGAGGTAAGTTTAAGTCTTGAGTACCTATGGAAATGAGGTAGTTAGCAGCATAAAAATGCACAATACATATTACACGCACCTCTGCAGCTTAGAGAAAGGTACCCACAATCCCTCGGCCGCGTTCAACACCATCAATCTCCAGTAAAATGTCACAGCTCATTCCAAGCACCACATCCCTTCGAGCTTTTGACAGACCGGCAGTGCCTGTTCGAAAAGTCGGCTCAATGTCGAGTAAGAGATGTTAGGACCTCAGAAGCGAAGAAGGATGGCACTGACTGCGTCTTGAGATGAATTGTTGAATCAGAAAATATGACAATGACAAGCAAATGTAGCGAAGCCATGGAGGACGAGTGCAACTCACAGTGGTGTGTGTGAGTTTTGTGTCTAGAATTTTTGAATAGATCAGCGCCATATACGTTGAGCGTATGCCTACAGCATCGACGTCTTCCTATCATTCTGCACTGCTATATAGTATTAAGCAATTTTTACGCATGAATGCAAAAACTATACCACCAGCTTAGAATTCGACATACTGTTAAATTAATGTGTCGAAACGACAAACAAGCTCACGGATCAGGAAAATGATGCTTGATAAGTAGGCCAATACATGGGCATATAAGGACAACACAGATTTCGCCAACCTTATAAGGTAAATATTGTCATACCGGGTTATCCGGTTTTCAGTGATGCATTGGGATCTGTGCTCGCGCAAGAGACGTCAATCTCAAAGAGAATGTTTGGCTCAATGCCGTTTTCAGTCTCTCAACCCCTCTCGCAGGATGACATCAAAATTCTGCTTGCCGAAGAAATGAAAGACAGATTCGTAGGGCCAATGCCCGCGCAAAAATTTATGGATGACTATCTGCCGCGACTACCTGGCCAGGAATGTCCTCACGTTGATGAGCAGCATTTCCGCAAAATACCAGAAGGTGCATCCGAAAAGTCATTCTACGTGCTCCTGGTTGGGTTTTTAAATAGTAAAATTATTTGAAAATTGTAATCTGATAGTTTTGGTGTTCGTCAGGTAGATGCTATGAAGCCATTCACACCCGGCTTCGAGGTCATTGACACTAGTCAGCACCCTAGCAGCGGCCTTGAATACGGCGGTTTCAAATTAAGACCTGACGTAGCACTCTATCCTGAAAACTGTGGTCGAACCAAGATCATTTGGCGGTTCAGCCTGGCCAGTTCAGAGAGGATGGGGTTGGACCAGTCAGTAACCGAGGTCGCAGCTGATTTTGATGGCCGAGAGATTTGCACCAAGCTCAAATTGCCACCGTCAACCAAGTTGTTTTATTATGGGGTGCCAGATGATGACATCAGCCGCGCTCAACGAGACGATCCTGATCTGACATCGTTACATTGGGCCGCGTCCTCACGATCCGTCACGATCCCTAATAGGTTGTGCCACGCGTTCTCTCCCTGTATACGATCCAGTAAAGGACCGTGTTGTATACCTGAAAGACACACGGAGGATCGAATCCAATGATATGCAGAAGGAAGGCGATACCTACCGCCAACTGCACAGTTATCAAGTCCCTCACATCGCGCCCTTCGAACGTGGCAACGACTTAGAAGGTTATGGGTCACGTACAGTGACGCATGACTATGTAGAAGAGTCGTGGGTGTGCGGTATGCCTTTTGCCACTGGTCGCATATACTATCCTATGGTGCTCGGTGTGGTTGGACGCGAACTGTCAACATTCCGATCCACACGTGAGCTTGTGAACGCGGTGGCCGACGCCTTGGAAGGTTGGTTTTCCAATCTCACGCCTCCCTCCACGGATATTCATTTCCCCTGCAGCCCACGAGGATGCCTATCATAAGGCTGGTATTTTGCACCGGGACGTGAGCGTTGGAAATCTCATTGTCACTGACGATGGGGAGGGTCTTCTCATCGACTGGGATTTGTGTCGGAAGTGTGGTACAATCCAAAAGAGACGTCATGACCGGACGGTAAGTGGCGTTTGTGCCATCTTTCTTGTCATAAACTTACGATTGCCATAGGGCACTTGGCAGTTCATGTCAGGAGCGCTATTGAGTGATCCAACGAAGCATCAGGACTTCGAAGATGACCTCGAGTCCTTTCTTCACGTGCTGACATGGACATCAATACGCTACTGTCCGAGTAATTTGACTGCTCAGGAGCGGTCTTACCGTCTTTCATTAATCTTCGAAGAAGTACACGAGACGAATGGTGTATATATCGGCGGTGATTGCAAATGTGGTGGTCTAGTAAGAAACAAATATCTCCCGTCCGAGCTGGTTGCATTCTCAGCCGGTTCGCCTCTCCTCGACCTCCTGAGGGAGATCAACCCTCCTTTTGCCGTGCGTTACCAGGTCCCTCCATCCAAAGAAGACTTTCATACCTATGAAACGATAAGGACTTCCGTTGAGGACTCGACCACTCCGTTTTGGGTCAATATCTTTGCCAACTTGACCTACGGACGGTATCAACAGAAGCTTGAGAATCTAAAAAGGCGTTCTTGGTTCCCTTTGATGATTCGTGCTTACCTGCAAAACCCAGACCTTGCATGGCCCACGGATGACAAAGCCGAGCGCTTACCCGTAGGAATCAAGGCGATATTCATGATAGACATTTTCGGGGAGCAGGGCTAAGACTGCGGGAATCCTTCGAGCGTTCGTTGCAAGCTTAGTCTTGTTCCAGGACGCTCATTGCGCATGCTCGTGGATCAGAGTCTCTCCCTTGTTTACTGGGCCCAGTTTTTAAGTTCCCGCTGTCGCTGAATGAGGCCGCTTGACATTTTTATTGCAATCTCTACCTTGTTAATCCAAGCATTTTGGTAATACGCAACGGATGTTTCGGGATCGTTGACAATAAGTTTTGCAATGCCTGTGAATATTCGAGCCCTCAACATTCAACATCAACCTCATGTAGATGTCACCTGCCGCTCCTTCCTGGGTATGGGCCTAACACCAAAGTCCGTTCCTCCGAGTCCGCAACCTCTGTCAAGGAAGCCAAGTCTCTCAGAAACGCCTTGCTAAAGCTGAGGAAAATGGCTATCAGGGTTTATACTTCATCCCTCAGGAAGACGTATCAGGGACTGAATGAGAAACTTGGAATGACGAGCGAACTTGTGGTGTCAAGAAACATGTTATACGAGACTGTCAGCCATTTTGGCTGATACTCACGATACTTGAGTCAAAGATAAGACTACCCTTTTCTTTTTAGCATCGTCTTCATTCATGGAAGAACTAGCACGTGCATTTAGAACGTACCTTCTTCGCCCGTGGTTCAACATTGAAAGCATTAAGAAGGGCATGACCCACATGCAACGGAGCAAAGCAACGCCGAACCCTAGTAAAATATTCATATTCATACATTGTCGCCAGCGAGCTCGAGGTAGTGAGCCGGTGGCAGCTGGCGTATAAATAGCCGCTGAGAAATTCCCGCGCGGTAGCCAAGACAGCAGGATGAACGATAAATGATTTTCATTGGCTGACTACACTCGGGCACCGCCATATAGTAAGTTGTCAAGCTCATTGAGCATGTGGAACATATAAGACTGGATCATTGCAAAAGTGGGAGATCTAACGCAAGCGGCTGTCATAAAAAGTATTCAGCCAAGTCCACGACACACAAAAATTAAAACTTACCGAGCTTCACGCTCACTCTCAAGAAGTGCAAGGATATCCTCCTCCCGCACAGGACCCTTGACGTTACGGATAATTGTTCGCGTAGTGTCATCCATGAATTCGACACGGACTTGCGTGACTCCACCACGGGAGCCGGTGCGTCCAAGAACCTGATACCAGAAGTTGCAATCAGTACAAATTTTTTGCAAGGGGTCAGCATATCTAATAGACCTTGATGACTTTAGCAAGTTTGACGGGAGCTTTTGATGAATCCTGGAGAAAGTGAGTTGTAAGAGTGGCTTGAGAACTTGACGGGGCTTGCTTACCATTTTTATTGGGGTTATCGACAGCGATGGGCGAACTTGCGGCGTATGTAGATGATGAATGTTTAGAGTTCAAGATTTCAATCAAACTCCGACGGCATTCTCCGTCCTTCCCCACCCGCTGCACTGGTAACGGGAGGAATTTAGAGGGATTACGTGATACATTGTCATGAGATCCTTCTCTACTCTCAACTCATCTTGAATGGCATTCTCTGGAGCTCTTGTGCGTGTCCACCAGCATTTGAAACTACAAAACATCTGATTTACGCAGAGCAGACACTGACTGATCTTAATGACTTCCTAACCCCATCTCAAGCATGTATCAAGCCCGTTGAGCAGGTGAACGAGACGCAGGAGATCATTGAGCCTGGTGCCGCTACAGTGCGTTGTGCAGCGAGTTGCATGTCAAGGATTACACTAAGTATTGATTCCAGACCGAAATTGTGATTGACTCCCGTGGATCATACTACGAAGTCTCAGCAAACGGTGTATCCACTAATACATCTTCCAAGGGCACAGAGCGGAAGCTCCAGCAGGCCCAGATCAGCTTGAACGATTGCCTTGCTTGCAGGTCTGTCATCGCATAGTTCCTTCCAGCCCCATCGAATGACTGCTGACCATATTCCCGATACCTAGCGGTTGTATAACATCGGCCGAATCCGTATTGATCACGCTACAATCCCACACGGAGGTCCTTAACTTCTTGGACTCCAATCCTCCAATTTCCACGCCAGGTCACAAGATTCCGGTGCTCTCCATTGCGCCACAGACCCTCGCGTCACTCGCAGCGTCCCTCTCGTCGTCATCCGGTTCCCATGTGAGCCTCCGTCAAATACTAAGGAAAGTGCGAGCATTCTCTACACGAATACTTGGGTTCGAGCATGTTTACGACATCACGTTTGCTCGACATATTGCTTTGCTCGAGCACACGCAAGAATTTTCCGAGCGGAAGAACGGAAACGGGAAACTTCCGATGCTAGCGAGTGCCTGTCCGGGATGGATATGTTATGCTGAGAAAGCACACTCCGAAATGCTACCTTTTATCGCTAGGACGAAGAGCCCCCAACAGGTGATGGGAACTCTGGTCAAGTCATGGTTCGGAAATCGTTGGGGAGTGCAGTAAGTCTCGTTAGTCGCTTCGATTCCATTGTGTTGATTATCTTGGGTGATAGACCAGATCAGATTTACCATGTGTCAGTCATGCCGTGCTATGACAAGAAGCTAGAGGCTTCTCGGCAGGACTTCTACAATGACTAGTATTCGACTCGGGATGTAGACTGCGTAATCACGACTGGAGAGCTCGAACTTATGATGCGCGACAAAGGCTGGGATCTTTCACAGACAGTAGAGAACGAAGGTATCCCTGATGTCGACACTGAAATCCCAGAGCTCCTGTCACACCCTGGGACCAGCTCTGGATCTTACCTACACTCTCTCATCAATTCTATCACCGCAAGCTACACGTCCCCTGTGGACCTTACCATAAAATCCATCCGTACATCTGATTACGAAGAATTCACTCTTCGCGCTCGGGACACCGGCGAGGTGCTTTTTAAAGGCGCAAAATGTTATGGTTTCCGTAACCTACAGAATGTCGTACGTAAGGTAGGTCGTGAGGCTGGTGTGCAAGTTGGGAGGGGTGCTGCTGGAAGGTTGGTTGGGATGCGTGCAAAGAAGCGTGGTGGGGAGGACGAGAAGGGGTATGATTATGTCGAAGTGATGGCGTGTCCGGGCGGGTGCGTCAATGGTGGTGGACAGTTGAAACCCATTGCACAGGTGGCAGGGCAGAAAGAGGATGAAGAAGGGTTTACGAGGACCTGGGAGGAGAGCGGTGTCCAGATGCCAGTACCAGGGGAAGATAGTGCGATGCAAGGGGCCAAATGGGGAAACAGAGAGTGGACGAAGGAAGTTGAAAGGGTGTATTGGCACGACTTGCCTACACCGCCTCCATCACCGGGACGTCATGATCGGGATCTTGAAACCCCATTCGTTTGCGGAGACCGTCTTGCGGCTCAGGTCAAGATGGATCTTTGTCACCCCACAGACGGAAGCCTGGACGGAGGTTGGGGTTCCATCATGGACGAAGAAGCAGAGACACGACGCCGTGAACTGTTTCGGACTCAGTATCGAGCTGTTGAAAGCGAGGTAGTCGGACTTGCTGTGAAATGGTGATACACGTGTGTGTCGTTTCACTTGGGTGGTATTACAAGACAAGACAAGACAGTGACTAGATAAATAATGCGTAAGTAAAATATGCGACAAGTAAGCCTAGAACTACAAAATGACACAGCAAAGTGGTGTGCAAAGCAAGGCGTGACTAGAGTGATAATTAATAGAATAAAACGGCATTATATATGCTTTCTCGATAGATTTAGCGAAGAAGCCACCGGGGCCGTCGAAACCATCAAGGTTAACGACGCTGGGAGGCTCCGTCCTTGAACCAGTACTGACAAGAAACACAGTAATCGGCTGTTCTGTGGGTGATTGTTTCTCTTGCGTCGGGACCGAAGTACTTGGTGTACGATTGAGCACTGGGGTATGAGGTTGAGTGCGGAGTGAGACTTACACGTTCGCAATGGCAATCAGGACAATTCCTGGGATGATAGACGGAGTGGATGCAATACTGGTTGTAGCAATCGATCTTCTTCAGTTTGCGCGTCTGAAAGAACGTCAAAAATAGTTCTAATAGTAAAAAGACATTGATCACGCACCACCTTGTAATGCTAAACGAAGCATGATTTGAGAAATGTAGGTTCTCGATGGCGTGAGACACTTACCCCACATCCAAATTTTGTTCCTTCGCTAAAAAAAGGGTCTGAATCAGCAAAGGTTCTTTCCAAGGCCTAGACTTGACACGTACGTTTCGAGATTGCACATTCTGAATGACGGGATAGTGAAAGGGACACCGGTGAAATGTTTTCCTACGTGTGAGAAAAAGAGAGGTATTATTCTGGGGAATTAAAATGGAGGACGGAACAGCATACCGGTGTGGGGTAGGTAACTACGGGGGACTAAAGACCAGTGGAGTAGAAGAATGGGGGATCAAAGGATATGAATGGGGAACTTTATAAGATTTTGAATATTGGGATCGAGTTGTAACCGATGACAGGGAGGAGCAATCACAAGACCATTTGGGCGATCGGGCACGATGTGGTAACGAGAATAAAGAAGCCGGCCTGCGGGAAGCAAGCGGAGGCGTGATTGATGGTAAATGCAAGTGTAAGAGCTCCACGGAATTATTATTCCGGTTTCCGACCAAAACACCTATTTCGGACCATCTCTTTAGCCGGACAGCTTTATTATTGTATATTTGTACATCAAATATTAGTACAAACAACCCCATACACAACTTCCTCTGGCATGTCCACCGCAGGCTCGTCGTCATCGCCAGCGACGCGCTCGAGAACCCTGCTCTTTATCTCATTTCGTGATTCAAGAGTACCCTCAACACGTTTCTCCCGTTTACACTCATCCTATTCAGATGATCCATATGATGAAAATGAAACACTCATACATCCTGGCTCCACACTTGACTCTCAGTTGCCTCCCAAATGGTGCGTTCCATTTTGTATCTCAGACTACCTTTACTCAATTCGAACAAAGGGTTGATCTGTCCGACCAAGTCGAAGAGATCTTGGGCGGAACACAAGCTAAAAGTGTGTTCCTGGTATAGTCTCTTTGCGGCTTCAATGACATCATCTCCGTCCTTTTTACCTTAGTCGTTGCTCTAGAGAAGCTCCATGCAAAGCATGTTCTCCCCGGCTTTGCGGACCGGACGGCAGAGGAGCGAGAAATCGAAGCGGCGACCACCGAAATAACCAAAGTACATCCATCCTCCATGGACTTCCTCGTGTCTTACATTCGTCCCTTTCTTTCTCCTCGTGGATAGGATTTTCGACGATGCCACACTTTAATTCAACGTATCGGTACTGAACAGGACCACTCATTTCCCCCTTCAACTCAGAAAACTCAGTTTGAAGTCCTCGCGGCCAAAAATGTGCAACGAGGCTTAGCCGTGAGGGTTCAAGAACTCAGCTCAACCTTCCGCAAGAAACAGCGTGTCTATATGGAACGTAAGTCTTCTTCCCCATCATGTTTACGCGAACCGATCATTTCTATGACCGCATTTTCGCCTTCATCAGGTCTGCAAGGGCACGCGATTAAGAATCAAGATCTCCTGATTGCGTCTGGGACTATTTCCTCAAGAGGATCCGAGGGCTTGACTGCTGTTGATGAAGACGTAGAAGCTGCGGTGAGCAACGATCAACGAGCATGTCTCCTGTATAGCTAAATTGTTATTCCCCCCCTGCAGCAAGCTCAGATTCTAGATAACACGCAGGATCATGATCTCCTTTCCCGCGACCGGGAGCTGACAGAAATTGCAAACTCAATAGCTTCTCTAGCCGAATTATTCAAGGATTTGTCCGTCCTTGTGATAGATCAGGGGACCCTTCTTGACAGTATTGAGTATAATATCGAACAGACTTCGGTAGAAATGGCCGAAGCTGTGAAAGAGTTAAACCATGCAACACGGTGAACCATATATGCCCATAGTCATCGTAGCGCCCTAACACCCTCTCTTACAGATACCAAAAGAATACGGGCCGTCGGAAACTTATTTTCCTTCTCCTATTGATCATTTTTGGGTTAATCGTTGTCCTGATTTTCAAACCTCGTCGGTCATCCTCTTTAGGTTCTCCACCTCCTCAAGATTCAGTGATCTCCACGGATACTTTTGTTTCACGTTACTTTCATCTACGGACATCCCTCAGTCGTTACGTACCGAATAATACTTGATTGAGGGTCTGGTTACCCTGAACGGCATGATTTGTGTGGACAATCTGCATCAGTCATTCCATGAAAGCGGACGCATACAATGCTGGGCGTCAAAGGTCAGCTTATATTAAAACTTGCCCTTTTCGTGCTAACCGTCACCCCTGACGTTTCATTTGGTTATCACGAGGTCTCGCCACTTTGAGCACTTGGCCCTCATCGATATGAGATCAGTAGCGCTTTTGGTGAGGCTGCGTGCCTTGTATGGCGAGCTCGTTGACACTATTACTCTCTCTAACACATTTCAATTCTTAATAGGTAATGCTGCCCCAAGCATCTGGGAAGGTACAGTCTGCTCATGGTCAAACTAACCACCATTGCCAAGTCGAAGACGTGGCCCTGACCATTTTTACTCTATGCAGGATGGTACGTGTAAACTGCGTTGCCCCCAGGCATCGATAGCGATGCTTCATTACGTCGGGTCGCAGGTCCTTGCGCTCTTCTCTTGCGACCATCACGTATGCCCGATGACAGATCCAACCCAACTCCCAACCCTCAAACTCAACGGAGCAACCTGAACTCTGTCACTGCAAGTTGGATCGTGTTCGACAGAAGTAGAAGGTCTTCCCTACCTCGGGCGCCTAGTATGCCAAACCTTCTGTGCTCCGATTCGACATAGAGGGATTCTATATTGCCCGCTGCATCGTGAGTACCATACCACCGGCTTCTGATCTGTGCTGATGCCCTTCATGCTCCTGATATATACGGAATAGGCAGAGCATGATGGAACGCAAAGGAAATGGTGTGCCGCCGATGGTTTTGACATCTGAGACATTGAATGTCCGACATGGCGTACTCTCCTCCCTTGACCCAAAGCGGTCGAGGTGTCAATAAGAGGGCCGCAAGAAGTGTCGCTGCGACAAGATCGTGTAGCTTGGGGAGGCCCCAATCGTGTATTCCCTCACCTTGCACCCTCTGATCAGGATATCGTACAGCTTTGGCTTTGTCAGTGTCGCAATCCTGTATTCTCTACGTTCGCAGCAGCGATTGGAAGATTTGCAAGACATCCGCCTGCGCCGGCGATCCGAGGGTGATTTCTCAAGTTCCGGGACTTGGTTCCTTGGGATTGAATGTGCACATGGCGATGGGATCAAACTGTATCACAAGAGCCATCGGTAAAATGCTCTCTACTAGTTACTCTCGGAGGCGGAGAATCACTTGCACAAAGCACGAGTCACGACGATGACGTAGGTTCATCTTGCTCATTGGTTTCACCAAGATCCGTCCACTGATCGGTATAGTGGACATCGGACGAGTCTGTCCGCAATACCCGCTGGGCGTAGAGTCTTTTTGTTCACCGAGATCCGTCCATTGTGCGTCTATCCTCAATACTCACATGACAACGAACATTCTCGTGTTTGTCTAGTCGACGATGATACAAATACCGAGCGACAGAGAGCGACGCGGATTCTGTAAACCCGACATCAGATCCGCGGCAAGTGTGTCGTGATCATGTGGGTCCACCCTCAACCCAGAAGAGATCCCAATAAACGACCGTATTGCAGAGGATGTGGTTGGTCAATCAGCGGCGATCAAGATAGACCATATCTGAGTCTGACGGTGTCTGATAATCTGCTAACCAAAACTAGCCACCTCAAGTTCATCTAGTCGAGACACTGCGTCATCGTCATCATTCCCTTCACCCCGGGCCCGATTTACATTCAAATCAAGGCTTGACGATTGGGTCGCTGCTCAATGCTCATTCAAATTTTAAAAGTCCGTCTGGTCATTTCGTAAGTATAGTTCACGTATTTCGTATTATCATATACAACACACTGAGTACTTCCCAGTCGAATGTTCGATACGCATGCATAGGCAGTCGTGTCTATGATAGACTCATAGCGAGGGATACTAGTGGCTTCAAAGTGGTCGACGATATTTGATACAGCACTTCCAGCCTTCGAGATAAATCCCCCGGGATGGTACGACTTCTTCCCGGGCCAAGATCGGAGCTCTGTTTCATAACCCCAAAACACTTGCGTGTGCTGGACAATCAAAGTATGTAAGTGATGCGATACTTGATAATGATAACCAAACTTCTTTCCTAACGGACATATGTACACATGATTATCAGAGGCGCTATGGATTGGTACAGGCGTTAGTCTTCTGTGTCAACGTGCCCTTGCCCGAACTCCACACACTGAGTCTACGGTCCGACGTATCCATATGTGATATGTCCTTTAGGCTTTTTACAAAACAAAGTTTCCATCGCGTCTTACGCCACGTGGCTGACAAGAACGGGATGCGCAAGATTGTGCTATCAAACGAATCATCATGTGCAAAGACATGTTCCTGCACAAAGACGTCAAATTTACGTTTTGCCCAACGTTACTGTTGTAAGTCGGGAAGCTTGGAAGTCGCAAACAAATGACCTGTTTATTTCAATTTGCTGGAATGGTCTGCATGCACAGATCCAACACCGATATTATCTTATATGAAAATCGTATGACAACTAACAAAAATCCCCTCCCCCCGATGCATTTTCGCGCCTTCTTTGCCCTGGCAACATTTATCACGCTCTGCTGATTTGATCATCGAATATTGGTGCACGTCGAACCCCTGCCCGCTGGTGCCCCCACATGCGAGAGGTGGATAACATCGACTGATAATGTGTTGATCTAGTTCTTAAATCCTGCAGAGAATGCGAGCCTGAGGGACACCAGCATGAAGTTACAAGCACTCTGTCAGACTGAACGACGAATCAACGCCTTCCGAACGTAAAGTACTGTGTATACCTGTCGCATACGGATATGAGAGCATGTACATGTTCTAACGAAGTGTGCTCTTCTCCTAAATGTATTGCCAGCATGAAACGATGTTATCAACGTTTCAACACCTTCAAGTCATCGATTCGAATTTGCGCCGATCTTGATTTGTATGATGACAGTCATTCGGGTCGTTCTATGTATATCCCATGCACATGATTGAGCCACGCGTCAAAGTACCGGGTAAGCGCCGTGTCCTTCCATATATTGCGCATGCACTCCGCGCATCGTGTAAAAACCCTTGTCACCCTTCAAATGCACATGCAATGGTCTTAAAGTATCCCTTCAGTGCTCGTGGTCTCCTTACTACCACTTCCCGTCCTTCTCGAGTCACGTCGTGCCACAGTCGTGGCCCCGGTCTGTTTAGCACAACGGGAGCCGCACGGAACTTGTGTACAGTGTCGTTCTGCGGCCACATCATATATTTCAATTCGCTGTTCTGCACAATGTCAACTGAAACAGATGGTCGACTGCAGTCAGGACAAACGACACGACTTGAGTTTTCTCCTCGGATTTTGTCGTTTATTGGGGTGCCTCACTGATTGGACAGTTTGGGTGTGATCGCAGGACGAGGGCGTGCTGGTTGTTAACCGCACCATTCTGCGACCCCGAAAACATGGATAAAGGTGGTATGCTCCCTTCGTTCTGTCTCTTTTCGTCTTTTGATCGTTGACTAGATCATCGGCCGGTCGGACATGCAGCCTCCAAGAACAGGATCTCGTGTCGCAAGAAGATTGTTCATCGTGGCTCGTGTGGTGTATATCAAATGATAGCCGTTATTATATTCGGACACGCCCAAGCCGTACTCGCACCCTGATATTGACGTAGCGATCCTAGAAGAACTGCTAGTAGGCATGCTATCGTTATGACTCCGTTGTGGCGACGTAAGAAAGCTGCTGTGTCATCTGCGTCAAAGGGAACTTCAAGTGATCGGAAGCTCGTCGAGGGCGTGCAATTTTTGTCATGGGCCTAAATCGTGTCAAGATATGCAAGGCAACAGGCCCTCGTCGTAGTTCGGTCTCCATTTTTGAGTACCACAGCCAACGAGTCCACTAACCTCACCCACAAGGTTTTTGGGGTGGCATTCATCAATCTACAAACATATGAATAAATAGTACGTTTGTAACATCAAGATTACTTGAGGCTAAGGTATTCATGCCAAAGCACCCTGGGTAAAACGATCAGCATCTTGCATCTACGAAATAATAATAATGTCTTACCATGGGGTCCCAAGCAGGTAGCACCACACTCTCCCCCGACTCAAAGATCTTTACGTGCTCCTTTGTCGCGAAAGACTTGTGCACCACGACCTGGAACACAAATTGGTCGAACCACTTGTCACTCATCACATTATGGCCTTTCACGCCACTGTCTTCACCCCAAGAGTTCTCCACCTTGAACCGGACGGGGCGACCAGTCTCCTCATCCACATGTACGCCGGAGATGACCATCGCATGTGTCATGGCAGACTCGTTGGTATCCAGTCGCTGGGCCTTGGTAAGTCCCAGCGTGATATTGAATGCTTGCTGTAATGGGAAAGAAAGGGTTGTAAAAAAACTGTTATTCGTATGTTAAAATCGGCTTACTTCGTATTCGAAGTAGTCAGTGTCCATGATACCGACGCCCTTGCTGGAGTCGGAGAATTGACCTACGTCACAACCAAAGAAGACTGGCTGACCGGCCTTGATAGACTGTGAACGAGGTCAGAATCAAACCAAGCAAACGAAGGATAAATTTCTTACTCGGACTATGGCCTGCTTGAGCTCATCGATCTCAGTGTTCACGTCTGCTAGCGGTCAAGCCCCTGAAATGCAGACTTGATGAACACGACTTACACAGAATAGGACGTCCGCCCCAGATGTTGCCAAGCTTATTCACTGTGTACAGTTTGCTATACTCATTCCGTGGGTCGTTAATGAGGGAGAAAGACTCCGCCGGCTTGAGATTTGTGAATGCATATTCATCCAGATTGTTAAATGCACTAACCGAGAACTTGGCCGTGAAAGCCTTGTAGAACTGCAGGGGAGTACCCTCCCACTTCGCATACTTGCCATCTTCAGTGTAGTACTCCCAGGTGAAGGCAGCGTCGGGCTTAGGAGGAACACCTAGACTTGCACTCATAATGGTATAAACTTCTTGCATAAGCTCCTCCTTCTTCGCACGAAGAGTCGAAAGAGCCGATTCCGGCGAGACACTGTGATCGGCTTTCAATGATGAAGAGAGCGCGCGAAGAGTGAGAGCATGCTCTCGGAGCTTCAACTTCAGAAGGGTGTTGAGGGGACTCGAGGCACTTGAATGGTACGACTCGGGGTAAATCGGCTGAGGAACGAGACCATATGTCTGGAAGACGTTGAAAACATGCCACACTATTGTCTGTAAGGAAAGCGTACCTCGAGTAAGTTGAGAGCCATGTCCCATTGACCACCGTCGCTAACGGGGTCTCTCGCGAGGAAGTTGACCAGGCGATCATCGACAGGCAGGTCTGCATTCTCGATGGAGAGCTCGAGGTAATAGTTGGACTTGTTCAACTTATCCCAGAAGAAGAGGTAAGACTATAGCACTATGTGAGTGAGAGGTAGCGAGAACCAATGATCATAGACGGTCACCTGGGAGAGCTGGAATTCCTTCAGCTTCAGCTTCCTCATGACTTCATATCGAATGACATTGGTCGTTGCAAAGAGCCAGCATCTACCGCTGGACTTCTGGCTTGTAACAGGCGCGGTTTTGAACTCCACCTCGTGATTGAAAACATGAGGGATGGCGACCTGGGCCGGACGACTGACAAGGGTCGTCCTCAAGTTGTTATTGGCAAGGATTGTGCGGGTAAGTTGGATTTTGGGGTCCGCAGAAGCGGCAGACTCCCAGGCATCAACATTAGGCAGTGAAATTGAACCGTCAGTTGCCAAGGGCGACGAAGCCACTGTGGGTGACGCGGATCTCTGTGAGCGAACAGAGCGTTTCTCGTCGAAGGACTCAGATGAAGATGTCGCGTTCGGGGCGCCCGAAACTTGAGCAGGAACCTTAGATACAGATGAACCCATTGTTGCAAAGGACTTGGAAGAGTTGACGCGCGTCACAGTGTGGGGTTGTAAACAAGCTGCAAACCAAGAGCAAGACCTTTATAGCCTTAGGTCGCTTTGTATTATTATTGGGATTAACGCGATTGGGTATGATAAGGTTCGGAGCACGCTGTCCCTTCCCTGGCTGGCCTGTGATTGGTCCGGAGAAAATGGGTATTGCGTTGGCATCACCTACGTGAACTGTTTCAGGAACTTGTGTAAGGACTAGTAATAGAACCGTCTTATCTACCAATGATTTGGTTATGTCTCTCATAATAGATATTTAAATGCGCCTTTAAACTAGCGCGAGCCTGAGTCGGGCGCGGATTCGCGTCGTACTTGACCGAGTGTTTGCTCAGCGCTGGCTGAACTAGTATGAGAATCATGGCATGGTCATTCGCGGCATTGCGCATGGCAAGTGTTACGCATCAGTGGTGAAGTGCTTGACGTGGTAAGTTAGTCGATCACGGAGATGGAGATGATGGTTTGGTAAAGTGTATGAAATTCAGTCGTACAGCTTTAGGTAATGGTTGAACATTGCGCCCCAGAGCGCGCGGGCTTGGCGCTGTTCCCGCACTAGTCATGCGTGCGGAGGAGCGAGAAACCACTACTATCAGCGGGTTGGAATGCTCCGTAGTGAATTACGTTTGGCAGGCGGGAAGCGAGACGAGGAACTTAGGGCAAGCGAGAAACGCGTTCCGTCATCGTGAAAACGATTAGGTGCGCGCTGTTCTGTTCTGCTTGCCCCCATAGAGCACGCTGTTTCCAAATCGGTTCCAAAGCAATTTTGTTGTCGGCATTTGACGTGAATCAGCACATGGAGAAACACCAAACATCTTTTTGAGCTAAATAAATAATCGCGCCTCGGCGCAGGATGGATTCTATTACATACTGTACATATGGTAGCTAGCTACGATTTTTCCGCATCGAAAACGACAAGTGTTTTTCCTCCTTACTACTATGGCCGACGGCAACGTCGCAGCCACGATTTCCTTTTATATTTTTCGGCCACTTGCTCACAAAGTTACAGCTATCTTCATATCGATAGACCAGAATCACTTGACCGCTTTTAAATTTGTTCATGGTTGGATAAAAGCAGCTAGCATCGGTGTTGCTCCAATAAACAAAGGCGTCTATCGATATGTGATGATAAGGGAACTCGCCCGAGGTACATACAGTCTGCAAGACCGCGACGGTACACGATTGAGAACCACACCCTCTAAAGGTTTCTCCAAAGGCTCTATCGTCTGTTTCTTTCTGCCATAATGGATTTGGAGTCCATAATAGACTGCTCTCTATCATCACAAACTCGTTTTTGCAGGTGTCCACGCCACGTTCAGCGTACATTTGTCTTGGTAGTTTTGTAGTCTTGGTTCGTTATATTCCCTTTTATATGCATCTGCTCGTCGCTGCCTTTGTTACTACAATGCTCAGTCCGATGTACAGCTTATTATCTGCTGTAACCTATCTTGTTCCATAGTGATATGATGGTATAGATCTCTTCAGTGATGAAGAGAGTGCGTGCAGAGCATGCTCTCGGAGCTTCGACTTCAGAAGGGTGTTGATGGCGTTTGAATGGTACGAGTCAGGGTAAATCGGCTGAGGAACAAGACATATGTCTAGGAGACGTTGAGAACATGCCATACTATTGTCTATAAGGAAAGCGTACCTCAAGTAAGTTGAGAGCCATGTCCCATCGACCGCCATCGCTACTGAGGTCTCTCGCGAATTGACCAGGCGATCATCGACAAATAGGTCTGCATTCTCGATAGAAAGCTCGGGGTAATGATCGGACTTGTTCAACTTATCCCAGGAGACGAGGTACTGTGTGAGTGAGAGCTGAAATTCCTTAAGCTTTAGCTTCTTCATGACTTCTGGTCTGTGACAGGCGCAGTTTTGAACTCCACCTCGTGATTGAAAACATGAGGTATGGCAACCTGGGCCGGACGACTGACAAGGGGTGACCTTGGGTTGTTATGGGCAAGGATTGTGCGTCGGGTAAGCTAGATTTTGGGGTCCACAGCGGCGGCATCGGCATTAGGTAGCGAAATTGAACCATCGGTTGCCAAGGGCGGTGAACCCGCTGTGGGTGACGCGGAGCTCTGCGGGTGAATTCTCGTCGAGCGATCCGGATGAAGATGTCGCGTTCGGGGTGTCCGAAACTTGGGCAGGACAGGAACCTTAGATACAGATGGGCCAAAGACTCGGCAGTGTAAGCAGTAAGCCAGACCAAGTCCTTTGTAGGTCGCTTGGGATTATTAAGTCACATGCCGTTGGGCATGATAAGATTCGGAACACGCTGTCCCTTCCCTGGTCAGTGATTGGTTGCGTTGGCATCACCGTTACGTGAACCGTTTCCGAGTCAGGAAGGGCCTGTGTCAGTACTAGAGAACAGTGTCACACTTATCTACCAATCGTCCCTCATACTAAATATTTGAACGCGCCTTTTGAGTGTATAGGGTCTCTATCTCTTGCCAAGGCCTTGGCTGTGTTTGCATCGTACTCCTTAGCGATCAGACTCGACCGAGTGTTTACTCAGCACTAGCCGAATCATGGGATTCATGGCAGGGTCTTGCACGGCATTGCTGCACGTGGTGAGCTTAAGCGTATCGCTAATAAATACTTGGTGAGCCTGGATTATCTCGGACAGTCTCCATCCACACTTTTTATTCTTATTGCATTCACCACTTCTCCAAAGGTTCCTCCGAAGGCTCTATCACCCGTTTCTTTCCGTAATAATGGATTTGGAGTTACTGCAAGTCCGTAATGCTGTGAACTACTCTCTATCATCACAAACTCGTTTTTGCAGGTGTCCGCGCCAGGATTGGCGTACATCTGTCTTGGTGGTTTTGTAGTCTTGGTTTGTTATATTTCCTTTAAAACATATTTACTCGTAGTGTCTTAATATGCTGATTCTCGATTGCAGTTCTCGATAGTATCCCTCCTGGTAAAAGAGAAGGTTCGATAGATTATATCTATGTGTCCTCTTAATAATGATCCATACCTTTCGCAGTTTTATATCAACGAAGTCGTCCTCGGAACTGGCTTTGGGATCATCATAGGCCCTCACGTCGCCAATGTATTCACACCCCGCACATGGGGTCCCTTGGAAAATACCATAACATTGGAGGTAATGCGCATCGTCCTCGCCACCGGCTTGTTCGCGGTTGGTGTCGAATTACCATGTGCATATATGAAAGAACATGCAAAGAGCTTGCTCATAATGGTCGTACCCACCATGGCCTTTGGCTGGGTCGTTGTCGCCGGCATGTATATCCTCGCCAAGTTAAATTTCATCCGCTGATCGTCATGACAGGCATCATACAAGCGCTGTTTCCGGAGCTCAATTATGTCTCATCTCTTTGCATTGCTGCTTGTTTGACCCCTACGGACCCAGTCACATGTGCTGCCATAACTCGTTAGTCCCATCAACCACGATGTCAAATTAATTGATGTTTAAATATGTTCTACAGGCGGTAAATTTGCTACTAAACATGTCCCTGTGAATATTCGTCAGATACTATCTGCGGAATCCGCAGCGAATGATGGTCTTGCGTACCCGTTCCTTGCGATATCCATTTACCTCACCGTAGAGACATCCGTTCGAACCGCTCTCGGCAAGTGGTTCTTGGTGGGATGGCTATGTTTGTGCTCTCTTTTATTCAATGCTTCATAAGGTATTCATCATGTCCTACGATAGACCAGGTCATACTTGGCACTGTTTTAGGTGCCGTTCTAGGTCAGCGAAGTTGCTTGATCATCTCTGTGCATTGAGCTGATTGCATTTATATTTGTGGTTCAGGCCTTCTATTCTCGAAGCTCATGAAGATATCCCACAAGAGGGGCTTTATTGATCGTGAATCATATGTGGCACAGTATCTGGCTCTGGCCATCTTCACTATGGGAATCGCGAGCACCATCGGTGCTGATGATCTTCTTGCAGCATTCGCGGCAGGTCTGAGTCCAGTTTACATGCATGATCACTAGGGTCTGACATCCATTTAGGTTCTGCGATTTCCTGGGACGGTCACTTCAATGTACAGACAGAAGATGATGTATTCTCTTCTGTGATAGACTATGTCTTGAACTGCGGCTGTTTCATCTACATCGGTGCTTGGCTACCTTTTGACGCCTACAATTCTGCTGAATATGGCATCACCCCTTGGAAGCTCGTTCTCCTTATGATCACTATTTTGGTTCTGAGGCGAATTCCACCCTTATTGGCACTCTACAAGCTTGTCCCAGAGATTACTTCCTGGAAGGAAGCGTTATTCTCTGGCCATTTTGGTGAGTAGTTCTCTTAGTCATGCTGTCGCTTTCATCTAAATCCTGTATACAGGTCCAGTAAGTCAGTTGAATACCATTTCTCATCATTCATTAATTCGTCCTAGATGGGAGTCAGCGCAGTTTTCGTGTCTGCCTTAGCTCTTACGCGTTTACCCACTCCGGAAGACCCGCCTGCAAATCAAGCCCAGTATCTCGCAGCAGTTATCCAGCCTATTGTTTCCTTTATCGTCCTCGGTTCTATTATCGTTCGTAAGTACTGTCATGGGAGTGTTCTCGTATTTGTCGCTAACTTACAAGGTATATGTACAGATGGCTTATCTATTCCATTCTTCAACATGGGTCGTGGCGTACACTCTCACACGGTCTCGTTAACCATGACGTGGACCAGCCGCAATCGTGTTACGGTCCCGGATTGGGTTCTTTGGGCCCGCCGTGCTCCGGATGTTGTGGAGCCAGCTGTGGATGAAGATGTAGAGCAAGGTTCTACCAGGACTCCTAAAGACACCGATGAATCTGCTGTAGATATTCCAGACACCGGTCCCCCGGATGTCCTAACCTTTGAGGATGTTTCTGGGGATGTCGCGTCAGTCGTGACTAGACGTCATAGTCGTGGTATAGATGACTCTTCTCCAGAACTGGTGCAGGTTAGTGTGTCATTTTCTATACAGTCTACTTAGCTAAAACTGGCTGCAGGTTGAGGCTATCGACAACCACACTGGGCCAGGGAATTTGGGTAATGGCGCTCCGGATGATAATCAGATTAAGAATGTGCGCTTCCCGACTGCTCAATAACAACTACCGAGTGTCCGTGGACTGGCATGTATAAATTGTACTGACTTGTGCGGTCGCGACTCGTCATGTTACATACAATATTACGCTTACCACGTTGAAACTCTTCTTTCCCCCTTTGCATTCCTTGCTTCCTCTATCCTTTCACACTCCACTTTCCTTAGTGGTAGGAATAATGGCAAGCACGCGTTCCTAAGATGTTACCCCTCGAGTTACAAATGTCGGTGCAAAAAATAGTCAAGGATTAATAAACACCAGCGAATATGCAGCGGGTATGTATGCGGCGAATGGTCCAAACACTATGAAACCTCTAGACTATGAGATACATATGCAATGGCGCAGGTTAGCCCTGGATGTGAACTATTGGTATGGTACGTGTATGCGGGGGTGTCCACGGAAGTGTATATGGGGAGGATGAAATCGACTGGAGTGGATCATTCAAAAGGATTCGTACGTCCAGCCTGAAGTAAATCTGTCAGTACAGTCAACAACCTGAGTTAGAATCTTTCCCACCTGGTTATCCCCTCCCCGGTCTGGTCCTTCGCTGCATCCACATAACCAGTCGTGCCACCATCTCACCTCCTGCTCGGGTTCTATGGGTTCCTGACGTAACATAGGTGGAGGTGTGGATTTCATGGGAGTCATGCGGGGTCTAGCCCCTTTAGGTGGTGGTGTTAAAGGCGGCGGTAAGCCTAGCTGCTGTGGGGGAGGAACAAGCGTTGGCGTAGGAGCAAGCGTGGCTGCCTGCAATGAGTGGGTATTCGAGTCCAAGTCAAAAGTTTCAGTCATCACGCTAGACCGCTTCTTCGAATCGACGAGAGGGAGCAATGTCGGGGAGATTAACCCCGGTCCTGTTTCAGATGGATGTAAGAACGGATTCGCAGTTGCGGGCGGGCTCTCGATATCATCGAGTGGCACTACGTCGATAGAGTCTCTAGATTGAAGAGCTCGGTGGTTCCCCAGCCCTCCTGCAGATGATCTGGTTGACGGCCGCTTCGACAGGAGCACGCTTGCTCTGCGTGTTACTTCTCCGAGTAAAGATGGACCGCCCCCGCCTCTATTGAGGTTCGGAGATTCTCGTGCGGCTCTCCGTCGTTCGCGTTCAGCCAACTCCCATTGGCGCAGGTTCTATCAGGATAGAAGCAACGTTTTAATGGCCCGGACACTTATGAGAGGGAACGAAAATAGCGCACCTCTTCTACGCGTCGCGTCTCGGCTGCATCGTCATTCATAGGAGGGTATGACTCTGAGCTAGGGTTCTCTATGATATCTTCGTCTAGTTGTTTGGCCTTTCCCTTCTCTGTGCTCGTACTTGAACGTGGTGGTGAAATGTCTTGCGAGTCTCGCTGGTTATTATTCTGTGACCTTGAATGAGTATGACTGAGATCATCTTCAACGGTTGGAGGTGAATTAGAGGATATGTTGTCGAATGTAATTGAAGATACCATGGCACCCGGGTCGCTTTGTTCGTGGTGGTCCCCAAAGCCCAGAAACGACAATTACACAATATTAATGACGTTTACTCAAAAACTGTAAAATTCTCACAAACAAAGAGCTTAGCCTATGTACATAATTTAGCCGTCAAGAGCACATCATACATCATCAATCGCAACGTTATCAACGTCTCAACGCTCGGCCGCTTAACTTAGAAGCAGAGCTACGGTTGCTCAGCACTTGGGCCTCAGCGCTCAGGCCTCAGGGTCCAGGGGTCCTGGCGCTTACCCGTCACATAGATAAACCGCTTGAATGTCTGACACTTATTGTTATTCATCCTGACAGCCAAGAATACTAATTAAGGTCCATTCTAAGTATACCTATATATAAGAGGATATGATCAGTCAGTCCGTGGTGAAAAATAGTCCCCGGTTGACATGTAAGACTCAAAAAGCTCAAGGCGTCTGTACACAATACCCACACCTACCGATGATCCGCTTGCATCATCATCTCATCGTATGCACTCCCGTTGTCATCTGACAGGTACTGCTGTCTCAACCCGCTCGACTTGTGAACCGAGTGCTGGACCATCGGTGTGAACGACTCTTCTGATCCAGCGCGACTGCAGACTGTGCTCCGGTTGCTATTGCCGGTGCCGCCAGGGAGAGACAAGATGGAGGTACGAGCAATTTCCTTCATTTGCATGATGCTCTGGCGGAAGGCATTCTGCATGATACACATTAGAGAGACGGCATCAGAAATGCATGATGCGGAACACTTACCTGTTCACACCAGTACTGGAGACGCTTTTCACGTTCCTGGTCACGTTGACGGCGGTGAATCAGGAACAGAGCAATCAGAGTGGCAAACATGCCTAACATCCCGACCCTCGGGTCAGATGTCGTTCAAATTTTCAAAGTAATGGGGCTGACCTCCGAAGATACCAGCTCCGACCACGGCATATACCCAGGTCTTGAAGTATTTTGGCGAGTCGGAACCTAGACCACAAACGCCTTTGTCCAAGCAGTTAAATGACGAACATCTAGGCGTCCAATCAATATCACGATGCATCCTAGATCGAACTTAAGACATACTCCTTGTCTGCATCACAGGTCTCCCAAAGCTCTTTCGCCTGAATGCAAACCAACGACTGCGAATCACAATACGACCCAATTTGACAGTTGCCTCTGAAAAAGGAGATGAGCACCGCGCTTGGAAGGCCTGGGGAACACTGCAACCCTACTCACCGTGACACGATATCAATGAACTCGTTATTTCCCGCATAGGCGATGTAGGCGGTGTTCTCGACTTCACAAGACTGGCCAACTGTGACATTTGCCCACCTGTATCAAACAGTCAACACGCAGTCATCCGATACCAGTTTCAAACTCACATGCAGACATTGTTCAGACAGATGGAACCATTTACGTTACGGCCGTACTTTGAGGGATCAGCTAATTGTTGCCAGTTTGGAGGCGGCTGGCATTGGTCTGCGGAGTTAACACGGAGTTAGCAACCACATCATGGAGCTCCGTCGTGGCGTACCATCACGGTTCAGCTGGCATGCGCTGCCAACAGGTAGCCAAGGCTGGCATGCATCACTTTCGTCGGGACAAAACTGCCCGGGAGGACACAGTGGTGGCACCCAGTCGCCTGGTGTATACCCAAATGGATATTGGTCTTTTCTGCAGCCTTTCAGTTCACAAGTGCCCTGCGACGACGAGCAGTATGTTTGTACGTCGCAATCGCTATGGAATTGGAATGTGCCGAATTCGAGGCGGTTGTTCGTGATAGTGCAGTTGTCGCCCTTGGTTTGACTACCAGCGTAAACGAAAGTGTTCCAAGAAGAAAAAAAGAGTGTAAGAGATAGCAACAACATCACGGGGGAGGGTATCGAGAACAAAGAAGAAGAGACACAAGGGCCATTGAATTTGTGCTGGCATCACATTACGTCAACCAGAGTTGGCTACCGATCTAGTTCCGAACTGTGCCAGCTAGTAGCGAACTGTATATGTAGTAATAATAAAGTCTTGTGCATCGTACTATACTATTTGCCACATCCTGGGCAGCAATGGATAACATCGTGAACAAATACATCGCACTCTGCACAGAAATCGTTGTGACAATCGGGGCAGCGGTACCGACCCCAAGGACTCATACCCTCCGAAGTTGCTGCCGTTGACACTGAGGTCGAAAATATCCTTGCACATGCGTGGCAAGCCGCCTGTGGCATGGACTCGCCTTCCATTGATGTTCTGGGATCAACTGCATCAATGATACAGACATAAATCCACTAAGATATCACTTACACAGCTTCATACGGTTTCACCGGGAATAAATGATGGTAGCTCCGTGCCAAGTGAGGTGAGCTCACGATCATGAGTCCACAGATATCGCAGTCGGTCGGGACATCGCACACTTTCGCCATACATCTCGGACACAAGAAGCCTTCGCTCTTCATGTCTGAATGACAGGCACATAAGCTTGGTGGTGAGGAATCAGGAAGTCGAGTAGGAAATCCCATCATCATCAAGTCGGCAGCTGGGTTTGCTCCTGGCCCTCCTGCGCGAGCGACAGCTCGTTGTGCGGGAGGTGGAACGAGCTCAAATAAGATGTCTTTGAAGTGCCCCTCGTTCATGGCCACGCCAAATTGACCTGCCCTATGGATGAATCAACGTATGTTATATGAAACATCCTACTTACCACCAGTCTTGTCACATAAATCTCTGGATATCTTCATTTCCGCAGCCAGTGCTACGACCGATATGCGTATTTTATTCTTTACGCAGGCATCCAGAGTGTCGTGAATATTTCCAGGGTCGCATGTCGTCAGAGAGCCAAAGATGATAAGGATCTCTCGTGAAGAGTGGGTTGGCAAGTGACTGCATAGATCAAAAATAAGTTCCAAGTGCTAAGGAACTGATGTACCTCATGCTGCTCCGTGCCATCTCGATGGCATTTTGAAGGCTTGGTTCACCCGTGGGCTCAAGTCGAGTTCTCTCGCTCAGACATTTCAGGACATCTTGCGGATTGCCTGGTAGACTGAGTATGTTACCTGATAAATCATTTCACAAAAACTTACCAGACATCTCCCCGATCCTTTCGCCAATACCCGCACGCATACCAACGACACCAATCTGTCCCAGAGGATTCTGGTCAAACCACTCTACCACAAATTCCCTTGCGTACTGAAGCATGAGATCAAAACGAGTCGGACGCATGTCGCGGTCCATCATCGCCGCTGAAAGGTCGAGGAGGAGAACCAGATGTCGGATGATCGTACGGCGGATAGCAGCGGCGGGTGCAAGCAACCTGACTCACTAGGTCAGTGAAAATACAATGATGGGAAACGTGAAATGGATAGACCTCCTCCGCCTCCCCCGCGCCATAAGATCCTCCACTGCGCCCTGCAGACTTCCAGCCTCATCTTCCTGCACAGTGTCCCATGAACGCGTATAGGATGCCTCCCAGGTGTACGCTTGCTGTAAAAATATGAGTATAGCTCCGTGATGAATACCGCCTTGCTGACCTCCTTCGCTTTTGCCTTGCCTTTGTCCTTTTTGCGTTTGTCAGTGGTTTTGCTCTTTCCCTTTCCTTTCCCGCGGTGTTCAACATCACCGAGCAAGGAAATGTCTGAATCAGAATCTACGTCCATGAAATTATCATCTCGATTCCTGGGTGCCATGGCTGAAGCTGAGGCTTTTCGTGAAGTGAGGAAATGAAGCCTTCAAGCCTTGCAGAAATGACTCGTTCGTCGGAAACATATGCATCTTTGCGGCTCGGTGGCAATGAGTCACTCTCAAAATACTGTGCAATTATATATATCGATTATTACTAGTACTAGACTATAGTTTGTTCACATTTCTATCGTGACAATATTTATCTCGCGAATCGTACTAGCGGGCGCACGGTGTGCATATCGGCTCGGCCTCGTTCATCAGTCACGACAAGAAGCAGCCTGCCAAGAGTTCAGTGCTTTTCGGCATGACCAACACTCGAAAGATAACAGAAATTAATGGGACAGAGCCTCCCACTTGAGTGGGTGTCGAGGAAAAAAATAAATTCAGCACCAATTGAGGACTCGCTACTACACCAATAATACAACATTATTCATCGATACAGACTAAACAGATACCCTGATCAAATGCTGCAAGGCCGTGATATCCATATCCGCATTCCTCGGAGTGATACTGCAAGGGAATGGCAAAGGGCGCCTAACACAAATCGATAAGCTATCTCTCCAGAGACATCCTATTAAACCCCACGCACACAGTAAGCCCTGGATTCCAGCGTGGCTCAATCTCAATCGCTTTACCAGTCTCGTCTTTGGCCCTGGAAAAATTGAAAACTGCAAGCAAACAGACCATGCCAGACCATATAGAAGCTTCGGCGAGATGACGACCAGGGCATATCCGTCGCCCAAATCCCCACACGAAACCCACAGTATCGTCTGTCAGAGTGCCATCTGGGTTCAGGAAACGGTCAGGATTGAATTCGGACGCATTTGCATATTTATCTTCGTTGTGGCACATTGCCCTGAGAAACATTGAGTTACAAACCACAAAATAATCGATCTTCGTACCAAACATTCGGGGTGACTGTAGCACCTGTACTGCGAATGAACGTGGACTCCAGGATGGGAAGAACCTCGCACACCTTTGGGTATGTAATAACCTTCGTAAATGTCGCTTTCGACAGCAGCATGCATGATTGCTGTAATAAATCAATAATCCAATTCCGTTGTGCTGAAGTGTACGACGCACCAAGAGGGAAAACTGGGTGCCACCGCAAGCACTCCCGTAAAATGGCGTCAATGTAGGGCAAGGATGGACGATCGTGGAATGTGGGTAGTCTCTTTGGGCCAACCACACTATCAACAAGTTTTTGCGCTTTCTGTTGTACATCTGGGTGGAGAATCATGACCAGCATGAAATTCATCAACACAGCAGCTGTCTAGTGCTTGTCAGTGTTGGACCGAATCACTGGCTGCCGCTTTTGGCCTACCGTCTCAGTGCCAGCTGGCGAGACAATCTCATTCAGCCTGACAAATTTACACTGAAACACATTTGCTCACCTCCAAAAGCGGTTGCTGCGGATTCCTGTATTGCTTTCTTCTGCCAGGCAGAATCGACGTGGCCGTCATCAAGTTCCGCCAAATGTTTAGCGACCATGCAAGGAGAAACGGATCCCATAGCCTGGAAAGAACGTGAGAAAAAAAGAATTTCACAAAATGTTGCATTTACCAGACCACGCTCTGTGTGCGCAAATGGCCTTTCCAAGTTTTCCACGGCCAATTCCTTGGCTAAAGGTGAAATTCTCTTGAGACGCATGCCAGGCAGCCAAGAGGGGAGGCGGAGAACTGCAAATTAGAGGGTAAGAAATTGGTGTATGTGAGAAACGAACGAGCATACGGAAAGGATAAGCACTAAAAACGGCAGCTACCTCTGGTCTCAACTCTTTCAACATGAGATCCAGAGCCATGGTTGCGCGCTCAATCATGTGATCATGACGTCGTGCTGCATTATACGAATACACGGCGGACATGATGACTGAACCTGAATGGCTGGAGAACTGTTTCAATACCACGGTACTCGGTAGATGGGCATAAAATCTACCCACGCTTCAAGATGTTCCGGGTAGTTCAAAGGATCCTCGAGGAGGTTTAATAAAAGGTCATGGCTTTTGGCTACTTGCATGGGCTGAAAAGTGGGGACTGCGTCTTGTCGGAAGGACTGATGTAAAATTTTCCGCTGAAGGCGCCATCTACTACCATATCGCATAAAGGCGGTAGTATAGTCGACGCCAAATCTAATTCATGGCTAATTAACAAGAATACTGGAGAATTCGACTAATTCATACAATTCATTGGTTGCGATTTCTGGTCGGTCGGAGTAATTATGTGAGCGATGCTCAAGGAGGTCTCTTGCAACCCGCTCAGAGTTGATAATGATATTGTCCTGACCAAAAAGCCGAGTATATACCACGTCACCTGAGACATTGATTACTAATGGTGATCTGCATTCTAGGGGACAACTTACCGTATTGATTGCCCCATGCCTTGTAGGTTAGCCAAGGGGCGGTCACATCAACTGCCAGTGCACTACCTAGGAATGGGAGTAAAGCTGGACCAGGCGGTAATTTACCTACTGTGAGGCAGCTTCGGTTTGGCAAAGTAACTTCTGAGTACCAAGCTGATGGCAAAGGCGGCAGAAACTAGTCCAAGCGCACTGTGACTCGTGAGAAGGTCTAACATAGCAAGTGTTAATGACACAAAGTGAGCGCTGTTGTACGTGGAGCTTTTGGGTCTTTTATATTCAGAAGTGCAAGACAATTTACCTTAAACGAGCGTTCCGTTTGAGGTACGTGATGACCGGTGACTTGGAACGCGTGATGTATGACGGAGCAAGGACACCATCATGAGGGTGACAACGCTCGATAAGAGGGCATAGCACTCTGTTAGCAGTCGAAAATAGAGCTGATCGTGGTGTAGGTCCGAGTAGATCGAGGTAGAAAACACTAATCCCAGAACGCGTCCATTGCATCCGAAGTGGAAAGACCTCGACCACCGCTCGGTAAACGTCATCACATGAACAAAAAGTCCAAGTTCACCGGTGCACCGCCGGTACCTAGGGCAGAACTATTTCTGCTGGCAGAATGCAGGAGTTCTGCCACATTGTGTCCCTGCCCTGCCAACTGGTGGCATAATGGCAGAATTCTGCCATTCGCCGTGGCAAAACAAAGCATGCGTGAGATGAATCTATTCGATATTATACCAGTTCAATCCTGATTGTATCCACCCAGTGTTTGCCAACCGGCACCTGTTGTAATTACATAAGACGATAACAGCATCGTGCCTTTCTCCAACACAGTTTGCGGGGTCTAGTATGGTCCCTGACATGGACAGATAGGCTCAAAGTTGGGGGCGCTCAGGTCGCCTACGACCCCCCCCCCCCTTGACTTATTACAACACCATCCCATTTTGTACATATCCAAAGACCCGGAGTGAGCTATTAAGTGTTTATTTTTCATCTTTAATATTGAGCAATCGTTTTAAGTAGGACCAAACACAACCAAACAAGGACCGAAGGTGTCATAGGCGTGGGCGGTAGGCATAGGCGACCCAGGCTGAATGCCCCCAACTTTGAGCGTCCTTAATTGACAGGACATCACTCAAATTCTAGTTGTCCCAAGTTCTGATGGCATGTCGACACGATGCCACGGTTGGGCGCAAAGCGATCGAGGAAACACAAAGGTCTGAGCCAGTGCAGGAAAGTGGAAAGGCACTTGTCACTCACAGGCAGGACGCGTGAAAGTTGGCTTGGATGACTTGAGGGTAAATCATTTCACCCTCCTCGAAGCTGATGAATCCTCGACGGTCAAAGACTTGACTTGGAGCTGACGAGTCAGACAACTTGAACCTATGAAAAATAAGATACGGGTTCATGTATCATGGGTTCGATTGCGAAGGACTGTCCCCTAGCCTCCTAGTCAGATCATACAGGAGGAAGACAGTCGTTCCGCTTCTTGATTACTATGCAGTGGACGTCTCGAATGGCATTGCACGAGCTTACCACAGATCTAGCCTATCTATCGGCGGCATAGCTTTCCTGCAGTGCGCGTACACCAAGACGGGTCGGTAACGTCGAAGCTTGAAGCCAAAGGGTGAAATCTCCAACATGTCCAACTTACAAGCCAAGCAGTGCAACCCCTTAGACTTGTAACCAGTCTGACGCACCCCCTGGGATTATCTATTTCCAGATCGTCATCCTGCTCGGGAGTGCTAGTGAACCTTACGCTCGACTCTAAACTATCAATATATTCTACAAACCTAGACAAGCGTACTCACGGTCGACAGCCCCTAACTGAAGTACATCCTGCCAAACACCTTCCACCCACCTGACACACTCATCTACTTTTACAAACACTTCTTCTGCAACCTTCCTCAAGTACTCATCTTCGAAACCTTGCACCCTACCAATCGTCAATTGACGGTGTCTCTGCATCATGAGCCGCATCAAATTCTTCTGGATTTAAGACTATCGCTATCCGAGCTCGCTTCTCAGTACGCTTGCCATGCTGCCCTGTCTGCATTCTGGGTGGTCCCGTATGCGCTCCAGCTTGTTTAGATTCCGACCGTTGATGCCTGAGTGCATCAGCCAACGCTTTCAGTATCCGTTTCTGTAGTAGCATAAACACAGGATCATTATGGTTGAGTGTGCGAGCAACAGCCGCGCGAAGCCTGGTCTCTTCCTCTCCAGAGAGCGTGGCGCCATCCAGCTGGCGTGCACGAACGACTTCATCTGCAAGATTCACAAGCTTTGTGTCGCCTGAACCTGGTTCTTCTATGATTTCGGCATTGAGAAGGATCCACAGCCGCTCCATGAAGCTCATCGCGTCGTTCCCTTGTGCACCTTGAGGCACACGAATTAAGGTGCGTAGAGAAGCAGCTATCACGAGTGCTTGTAGGTAATTCTGAATTTCGAGTAGCGCGGGAGTAGAGAAGAAAAAAATCGGTGGAAGGGAGTTCTCATGGGATTGTGGCTCTCTGGTTGGTAATTGACAGGATATGGGAGTCGATGATCCTAGCGCCAGTACAAGTCGCATGATCCATTTGAATTGTGGCTCAGCAGCGACGCCGTTGACCTGAAAAGACGGTTGATAGTCCCCAAGCCATACCGGCCAAATACACTCTATCCGCCAGCACTTCCAAATATCCAAGATGTCTTTGCGTTCTTTGGTTTTTGCCTGTTTAGATATCATAGACTTTAGCTGCTGCTCAGTCATGCTTCCCAACACGAACTGGGAGAGCTGTTCTCTCATAATGTCCGAGATCCTGAGTATGGACTTTACCGTGTCTACCACTAGCATGGCTAATGAGATAGGACGCGATGACCGGAGGGGAGGTTCGTCCAGTGAACGAAGAAGGTCATCGAGTTCTTCGTCCTGGACTGGCGCGCAACGCTTGCGCAGAGAAGTTACAACCTCACGCAGATGCATGACAGCTGAATCTAGTGGGGAAGACGTCGGAGGTAACGGTGAGGAAAGTGTGGTAATGACAGGACTCTGAGATGGGAGAAGAGGTGTCAGTGCAATGAGAAGGTCTTGGTACAGCGATTTAATGCGCGGTAGCTGGCAAGAAGGCTCTGGATTTGAGAGTGATTCCACAGCCTAGAGAGCCCTCAGATGGTAGAATATTCGAAGCACATGAAGCCGCACCTCATCCCAGAAAGCTTTATGCACGAGATCCTCAACCTTGTCGCGCAATGTAGGTTTTGCAGCGTCGCCTTCTTTGGGTGAGCCAGACAGCATTGAAATGAGGGACTTTCCTGGAGGGACAACGCGCTTTGGATCTGTGGCAAGCAAGTGATGGAAGTATGTGCGGTTGAGAATTTCTACCAGCTCTAGGGGAAGTAATATTGGATCAGATGTCGGAATGAGGGGGGACGGTGCAGATTCAGAATCAGGATAAATGATTGAAAAAGATTCTTTGCTCGCTGGATGAGAAGGTGCTAATATATTGCCAGTGGCGGGTGTACGGTCTGATCCCTTGGACGGTCGAGTAGTCAATAAACTGCGCAGCGTATGCAAAAGTTTTTCGTTATCTTCGGATATGTCCCATAGCCCTTGATCCTGTAGCCGTTGGAAATCCCGGATAAGACTGTCCCAAGTGACGCGCTGAGTAATTGCTTCGTTGTGGTGCAAGTCTGTTAACAATGAGATGGTGTCTCGAAGTAAAGCATTATCTGGAGCAATATCTGCTTTGGCCTTAAGCTTGGATAGAATGGCCTCCATATTGGTCGATGACGAGCTCGACACCTTGCACGACTTAGAATGTGGTGGTCAATGCAAGGTCGATGACAAGTAATTACATCAGTGCCCGAAAGGAGACCATTTTAGGATCACACGGCTTATATTTTTGTACGTCACTGGAGCGCTCAGTTGACTGTCAGCCAAATTCCAATAGCTATATACAAGGACTACAATTTTAACGAACTCTACGACGACCGCAGCAACGGTGTGCTTGACTTAATTTCCAGCGCCTGATGTCACAGTCAGCAGCAACTTCATTGACGACCTCAGTTCCCACTCTCACCAGTACTATCGCTCAGGCCACAGCAGAACCATCCGCCACCGACCTGGTTTCTGCTCATCATGCCAGTCCAGTAGTAGGCGTTCATAATTGGACTGGCGATCATTCTGCTTGCGTCTATTCTGAATGCTGCTGGTCTAAATATCACAAAGTTGGATCATGTGAGTTTCTACGACGTGTCACGACTCAATCAATGATTATGTTTTGATACGCCCAATTTACAGGTGCGGACGAGCACCATTCCAAAGTCAGCCCGCAGGCGAGACTGGCTACGACCGCTATGGCTTCTAGGCATCGTTTTATATATTCTATCCCAGCTCATAGGAAGCACGCTTGCCTTGGATTATATGAGGGCAGGCACGTTGACTTGTTTTCTCAGACCATCCCTTCCTGATGATTAGCTCTTCAGAATATGTCGCCCCTCTCGGATCTACATCTCTCATATTTAATTTCCTATTCGCTAGATTTTTAATTGGGACCCCAGTCACACAAACAGACATCTATGTGAGCTCCTTCTCACTCTATTTGCACGCTTCGCTAACCAGACTCAGGGTACGCTGATCGTGGTACTCGGCGTAATCGGTATCGTTGCCTTTGGAGGTGTCAACAGTGGTCTGTCAACAGAAACGGATGTCAACCATCTCACAGCTCTATGGCAGCGTGGTGGTTGGCTTGGATTCTTTTTCTGCATGTCCGTGGCCCTCATTCTCGTCCTCATTTTCACCAGTTCCCTGGATGATGTTCTCGCTGCACGGTCAGACTTGGACTCGGAACCTTTTGCGGGCATGAGCACACGGAGGTCGCACGAATCAAGCACTACTTACCTTGGAAAAGTCAAGAACAACTGGAATGCATGGATGTTATGGGTCAAGGAAAAGTTAGAAACTTGGACTGCGCCTCAGGATGATACGCAAGTCGCATGGGTGCTTGGAATTGGTTGGGCGTGCTGTGGGGGTGGACTTGCTGGAGGATGTCTGGTTTTCGCCAAAGCCACGTGGGTTCCCTTTGTCTCTTTCCTGGTTTTGCGTTTCTCTGACTTAGAATTAGCGTGAAGTTACTCACAGGAAGCCTGTCGCACGAGAACCCAGGAAACCAATTTGGCCATCTAGCTCCCATATTCACAATCATTCTACTCGTAATCACGGCTGTACTTCAGATCATCTGTCTAAACCGTGGACTTAAGGTTTATGACTCCACTCTCGTTGTCCCAGTTTTCTACGGCGTTTATACTGCAACTGGGTATGTTCATTCTTCCTGCCTGTTTTCCCTGTTTCAATTACACCTATTCTTATCTGTGACCCAGTTTTCTGGACTCGTTAGTGTTCAACAACGCAGTTGATGCCTACAAGCCATGGGTACTCTTCCTGATCTTCGCCTCAATAATGATCCTTATCTCCGGCGTGGTCCTTCTAACACATAAAAAACCCGAACGATCGACTCGTGCGCCTGCTGCCACTGCGCTGTCTGGCTTGTCATCTCGCAAGGCTGCTCGGTCCTCTTCAAAAGTCAATCGTATAGATGAAGACGATGACGATGACGAAGAGCAAGCTTTGAGAAAAACAGAAGAAGGTGAGGAGGATCGGGCAGTGCTATGGCAAGTGGGAGATATTAGCGAGGATGAGGATGACCAAGTTGGCAAAGGACATACGCCAAGAGGTGTGCACGTAGCTGGAAACACGACACGTGTCACTGGAGAAGGATCCATGCTGATGCGAGGTGAGGAAGTGAACTTCGAACAATCACACGAACACAGTCACTCGATTTCCTCAGATACGACACTGGCTCAGAATCCGCAGGATCCATTCCACGATGATGACGACGAGGAGTTTGGGCAGTGGAAATGATGGATACTGTTCATGATACAACCTTATACCCCAAAGTTGGACTGCACATATATGCAATGTGTTCATAATTGCTTCACCGTAGATACATTACTATTTACCGGAACACTACATTCGCACGCGTCTAATACTTGCTTCGCGAACTTCGCAAGATTGGTTCCGTTGATCGGGTTTGGTTGAATCGCGTATGTATTTGCTCAATGAATTATTAAGTAGTTAGCGTGTAGTTGGTCGACTTTGTCATCTTCTTTCTCAAACACCATGGTCGAGTTAAACTCAGCACAAGAAAAAGAACTCGACGAACTCGACGACGATTATCAGTCAGACGACGACGACCCTAACGTGTTCAAAGTCAGAGATGCATTAACACCGCCGTCCGCAATGAGCTACTCTGCGCAGGATTTACACAGTGCGTCGGTTAACACACAACTCGTGGCACATTCTCTTACATACTGTCGACTTCAGGATATATACACGAAGGCTTTATTGACCTGAACCCCATTTATCAACGAGGCGAGTTAACAGAACCTTACGCACTTGACGCATATTGAACAATCACTGCACGCAGACGTTGTTTGGTCAGAGACAAAGCAAATTGGTCTCATCGACTCCATCTTTCGAAACTTCTACATCCCCCCTGTGATATTTGCCGTGGCCAAAGATGACGATGGGGAGCCCGTTCGTATTTGCGTGGATGGGAAACAAAGGCTCACATCAATACAAAAGTTTCTTGACGGCCTGGTGAGTGCTTCATTGTAGTCACGCGACGTTTACTGGTATCTTATGCTACGCGAGCGTTAACAGATACCTCGTGAGTGTGATATTTGACGATATTTGGTCTTCATGTTGAACATTCAACTACAAAGATCGAGACGTGCATACAAAGAAGAGCTATTGGTTCGTTCGTTCAGCGAAGCAGAAGAATACACGCCTAGAAATACCAGAAGAGTGGAAACGACGGTTTGCAGAAACCAGGATTACGTGTGGTTCGTGTTTTGACTGTATCACCCCTCTGAGCTACTTACCTTTGTTTCTCTGTAGTTGAGTATCATCACTTGACTCCTGAAATCGAGCGCGAAATCTTCCAGCGGGTGCAGCTTGGTGTGCAATTGACTGCTGCAGGTGCTGTACTTCTTTTAATGACACGATTTGTACTGACGGGCGTGTGCAGAGAAACTTCAAGCAATTTCGTCGCCATGGGCTGACTGGATCGCGGACCTCGAGCTGCGTCATGTGAATGTAGACAATAAGGGACTAGCCAGTGTCCTCGAGTGGGACACCACACGCGGAAGAGACTTCCAATGCATTGCACAGTTAATCTATTGCTGTGATGGCCTCCCAGACCACCTGCTTCCCACAGCTCAAAAACTAGAAAAATGGCTGAAGCGGGTGGATAAACCACCAACGAAGTTCATGGGATTGATCAACGATGTACTGTCGGAGTTTTGGCACATCGCGACAGATTCTGACCTCAACGCCGCTTTCACCGAAGTCGACAAGCGCGTTGCGCCCGTCGAATTTGTATTCGTCGGTATGTATCATATTTTTAGAAGTGAATAATTTGTTTAGCATATGCTCTACTTATGCCCCACAGGCGTCATCCTTTTCCTTCTTCGGGACGACCACACAAGTGAAGAAAAAGCGAATGCCGTCCTACATATGCGTTTACGGATACGAGAACAATTCCGCGACGTTCGAAACAATGGTCTTGTAGGAAAGGCCTTGTGGAGTTTCGTTGATAGCATAACTGGTCAATCTGGGTTGAGAGTGTTGGACGCGAGCGCTCCAATGCTGGCGATTGCGTCCACTTCCACGGGCACGAAGCGGAAGAGGAAAGGTTCGGATGCCGATGATGACTATCATCCTTCGCCAATCAAGAGTCTAGGTTCGAAGGCAAAAACGCGCGCATCAGGCAAGAAGTGATTGTCTCGTGGTGTTGTGAACTATACAACAGGGATATTAACTGCAGAGGCATATAGTAGATGATCGTATACATGCCTCCTGTAGATAAGGCTATTGTAAATTTCAGTTGTTGTAACTTACTCTCGCAGTGTACCATACCCCCTCAGTATCAGTCAGAGCTCTGGCATGTTTGAGCAGTAGTTTGTCTCTTTCCTTGGAGTTAACGGCAATGTCAAGTAGGAAATGCTGGATCTCCTCATGTTTCCATCGTTGGCGAGTCAGAAATAGCTCAACGAATCTTGCAGCTGGGTCAACCGGTAATGCAGAAGATGGAAAGTAGGTCAATGTCGCTTCCTCCCCGATTGAGGACAGATTTCGAAGGTAGTCTCCCTACAAATCATGTCGTTGTAGTTCAGCCAAGAGTTAGCATAGCAACGCACCGAAAGAAGGGATAGCTTCACAGAACACTCGAAAGTGTCCCCTACTACGTTTTTCCATTTCTTGAGGAATTCGTTCTCAGAGATAGGGTTATGCTAAGTCTGGTGTCAGATATCGGCGAGTAGAGTCAGAAAAGAACAAACAAACCCTATGATGGCGGAGAATTCCTACTCCAAGCTCTCGAATCACCGCATCGACGTCCATTTTCCAGAGGCCTTCTTTTACATCCCCAAACCAGGACATAACCTGCTTCGATACTGCGCGGGGTATTTCATGTTCATCGGCAAGTACAGGACACCAGCTCCTCGATCGGAGCAGCTTGGTGTGAGAGGGACAGTGATATCAAGTAGTTTAACAGCAGCTCGAGAATAGTGCTAAGATGCGCTGGGGCTATAGGCCGTAGCTGCCCTAAAATAATATTAATATAACGACTCGAACAACCATCACAGGGGGTCTTGCTCTTACCTTCAAGGACGAGGATGCGTCTCTCTTTCAGACCGCGGGCGAACTCAGCTTCGCTGGCCTGTATTTCGCTACGAGCCTGCTCGTAGCTATATTTTGGCATGGTTGCCTTGTGAACATGGATGAGACGATATGCCCCGTACACACTGCATGCTGGCCCACCTGCCTGTCCTCATCTCCTTCATCATATTCCATGTCCCTCAGCAGGATGGAAAGCTTATGCAACTTCGGTACTACAGGCACCAGCTCCAAGATCTCATGCAATTGGTCTCGGATGTGCACAGTCCCACCTGGATCCGATCTGGAGGGTGTCACAACCAGCACGGTATTAGACAGCACGACAGAACGGACAGCATATGTCTTTTCTAATGTACATAGTACCGCATCCTCAGTCGGGTGCCCTTTGATGAAGAGGCTGGGTGTTACAGTCTTAAATCAGATAGTAGTTGACGGTCGAGAGGAAAATCCACCTAGCAGTTTTCTCAGAAGCAGATTCAATTATTTGGCACAGCTCTGGAGGAAGCTCCAAAAGCCTATAAGAACCTGTGTCCTGAGCAGTAGCTGTAGACAATCTAAGATCCAGTTCACTCATTGTGGTACCCGTACGGGTCTTAAACTTGGCATCGGGAGACCTTAACGCGTTTGTCACACTCGCACGTGTTGCAACGGTCACGCACAGATCACAATAAAACTATGTAGTGTATGGAAAACACAGAACATGCTGATGATACGTCCATTCACATAAATGCGATCAACTCTGATGAGCGTGCGTGTCAACAGGGTGAAATTTCACGCGGACTTCCGAGATCTCCTTCCGCGCCTCCTTTAACGTCTGCGAGATCTTTACTTCCAACTTTGATGTGGCCAAGACTGACATATTGCTCGGCACCTCAGCTGTAAGGTCCACATAAATCATGGAGCCTGCACGCTTAGCTCGGAGATGTCGGACAGCAAGCAATTCAGCAGTGTCATGGAAACCGTTGCCGATGACAGAGGATGGCGGTGATGATGATGAGGAGGACGAGGAGGACGAGGAGGAGAGAAGAGGGTCCAATGCGTGTGCTAGCTTTTGTTGCGAGTTCGCCGAAATGCCAGCATCTGTAAGCTCAGTGAACGCGCCTCCAAAAAGGTCTAAACCTTGCTTGAGGATGACAAAAGAAACGATGAGCCCTGGTGAAGGCAATAAGCAGTGTAGAAAAAAGGACCTGGTAAAAAATTACTCGCCCCCTATAGGATCCAAGGGTAATGCAGGGAATAGCCACGATCCTATAATTGCGAAAAGGGCAACGAAACTCGAATATGCATCACTGCGATGATGAACAGCATTTGCATAAAGCACTGGGCTATGTTCTTCGTCGGCAACCTTCTTGGTTACTCGATACAACCACTCCTTTGCTACGACGCTGACTGCGGCGAACCAGGCCGCATTAGGGTCGAGAATGCCAGTATGACCATGCGAGTGGCCTATAGCAGGAACATTATAAGCAATAGACGTGACTTGTTGGAGGAGGTTATGAAGCGGGCCGGGTGGGATGGTGGAGACAGTCGTCGCCAGTGCTTCTACGAGGAGGTGATACGAATGGAAGCCGATGGCTAGTGCTCCGCCGATAAGCAACAGTGACACGGTAGTTGTCCCGAGAGTCTCGAATTTGGCGAATCCGTATGGATAACGTGCTGAAGGTGGCTTCCTTGATAGTTTCCAGCAAAACAGGACAACAACATCACCGAGCAGATCTAGAAACAATCATGTTAGTGCAAAAGCCAAGCTATTGGTTGGAATCACGGACCACTCATGGAGTGACCGGCATCTGCCAGCAACGAGGCAGAGTGCATATACCAGCCCGCGAATCCCTTAGCGCCAGTCAAAGCCACGTTGGCAAATAGCCCTATAAGGGTTATTCGGCTCCCTCTGTCACCTAATGAATAATTAGCTAGGCTTCGACTAAGCAGGGGGATCACAGCTTACCAGCAGTTTGAAGCGCCTGTACTATCTGCTCTGCATCATGTCCGTGGTCATGTTCATCATGCGAATGTGAGTGAAAGATCGAATGCGAATGTTTGTCATGGGCGTCATTGTGACGATTTATGCCTTCCTGCGTCATTTCTTCACGTTGTGAACCTCGCTGCGTCGAGTTTACTCGTCGGATTGCCATTCCAAGGCACGTTGTAGGCGGATACGTAAATGACCTGGCAACACGTCAGTACTCCTCAGGTCCGGGACTCTGGATGTGCCTTGTTTAGTCTCCACTCACCTGACACTATCTGAAAGCACGAGAGTAGGGACCCTATAACGACGCTGTAGGTCCGAATGATATACTCTACTTTGCAAAGACCCCCTTGGAAATAGATACCGGGAGACAACAGGCAAAATGAATGGAAATGATGCCAAGGACCCCGTTATCCGAGTCGAGCCCACCGCGGTGTAAGGAGCGGTGTGAACAGCCCTGATCAAGCAGCGCTCAAGGTTCGCTGCAGCCTTCATGGCTGGGCTTGTCACAAATGAGACAATAGAGATATGGTCTAATGATACACATAAGGATGTGGACCAGGCATAGTCAGAAACACTACAGCCTTGACAGTGACGGTGTGACTTCCCCGCGATGTAGGTTTGATATATGTTCGACCGGATTGGCAGACGGAGTTTAGAACTAAAATTAACTACATATGCCAGTCGCATCTTGAGAAGGTACTCTCTACCTTCCAGGTTCACCGTCACAACTCAATTGTTGTTATGATGATACAAAAAATAAAAGAAATAGTCTCTTTCTTGTCGCCGCATCTGCACCAAACCAAGATCATGGTTACTCAGACCAATACCCCTTATATCGGGTCCTTGGAATTGTATTGATAGGTTGACTTCTTTCCGATGATCTTTCACAGCACCAATCACAGTTTAAAATATGTAGAAAACGGGTCCCTGCTGACTACTCTAGACCAATCCATCGGTACCGTCAGACTCGAATAGTATTACCACGGACTCACAAGCATAAGAAAATGATCACGACCGCCACCTGCCCCAGGGAAATCTCCGCATCTGCTACGGAGTACAAACATTGACAATAGGAAGCATGATCTCGTCCCATATCGTCCGCAGCAGTGCTATCAGTGCTGTCCTTGGCTCCTTTCTTCTGCATCTGAATCGCGCAACAAAAGGTTATCATGAGGGAATGGCTAAGGAGAAGAAGAGGAGATGGTACATAAATCCAGTACTACATATGTGCGAGGCATGTATCAATAATCATCAAAAGAACGCTCTAAGATGCAATCGGCCAAGGGACACGGCAGATAAAAATATTTTCAGCGAGACTTCTTGACATTCCGGGTGGAACGAGGTTTCGAAGGTCCTGCCTCGGGAATTGGAGGATGATCTATGGAAGCGGACCCTGCTGAGGGTTAGTAGTAGGTGCGGTTTCAACATAGGTGTCGATAAACGCGGTCAAAATCTCGAGAACCTTCTCGTGAGTGGTCTCTATTCTCTCTCTCTCCTCGGGCTTGTTCGCGAGGCAAACCAAAGTCTGCCATTGTTGGACGAGAGGCCTAAACGCTGCGAAGTAATCCGAGGTCATCTTCACCATAAAAGTTGGGTTCATGACGACCCCCACTTTCGTGAAACAGCAGGTGCTCAGAAGCCCTCTGAGATCGGCCTTGCCCAAGGCCTCATAGGCACTCGCCCATGGCAGCGAGTCTCGAGTCCAGGATGGTGACAATTCACCGCGCGGCCCCCCATACTTCGCAACAAACTCAAAAAATATATAAAACAATGACTCCAGGTCATCAGAGGGCTTGTGTTCAATCAGCCGTTGAACATCATTGGTGTCCTTGCCCGGATCAATGTCACCCAGGTTGGTGTGGGCGTCCGGGAGGGTCATGTCCATCATGCTCTCGAGAATACGGATGGAAATGTATGGCATAGTACCCTGTAACAATAAAATTGACAGCACGCACGGCAAATTTCGGAAAAAAAACTTACAGTACCAGGTGAATAAGTGCTGGTCGTATCCACTGGCAAAATTGCAGCATGGTCGAGGTCGATGAAGTAGCCAGTACCTTCATAGATAACAAAATTGTTGGGACTGAGGTCACCGTGTAGGACTCGTCTCTCAATCATTGCACCGTGAGCTAAAAAAATAATCATGAGCGTGTTTATGTTCTGCGCATTCGATGACTCACCGATTACAAATTGACGAAAAGCCGTGATCAGCTCCATTCTAGAGTTGAATTGAGAGAGAGGCTCTCCGCAAGGGCTCAAGAGAAGACGCCGGTGCAATCTATTGCAGAATGCGGTGTCGTCTCGTTGATCCTGGTTATATTCCTTGCGAATACGCGCTGTACAATCAGGCTGCCCCTCGTAATAGACATCCCAGTCGTCAATAAGTTCGACGACATTAGGAATACCCTTGAGCGTCTTCAGGATGGTTGGTTCGTGCATTTTTTTCGACTCCTCCACCCAACAATCTTTTAGAGCGTACTCTACTCCTTCCTTGTTTCTAACCCGATAGCAGACCGTTCCTCTGCAGAAAAATCCACGACTCTTCCACAGCAGAGCCATGATTGAATAGACGTTGTGCTTGTTGTCTTGCACCCAGCCTATCGCCCCATCTGCAAGATTGTCATGGATGCCATTACACGCAGCATGACACACGTGAATAGTGGGATCAAGGCCCAGGTGGCGGCTATCCAGAAGTGTGAGGGCAGCTAATGCATCACAGAGGCGTATAGAGCCGGGGTGCTTGTGGATATAGAAAGGAAGGGATATGATGGCGCCGGAGCGGTCGAAATAATGTGTGCGGAGCATATCGGCGCTGATTGAGTAGGCAAGTGTGAATCGACGCCATGGTTGCTCTCGCATGATTAGATATGCTTTGATTGCTACCCCCCAATATATTGGTAAGTCTGGATGCTTAGAAAGATCAGAAGAGGTATGCTCCACGAAGGTCAGGACATTTGCCCATGATTTCTGTTCCTTCAGGAGTGCGAAGTCGAACAGGGATAAATCGGGCTTCTGTGCGTTGAATTCGTCTTGAATGGCAGTGGTAGAGAACTCTGCAGTCCAGTACCGGGAACCCATCGCAAATTTGTAGGGGATGTCGTCCTTCAGCGTGTTGCGCAAGTGATACTGTATAGTATAAAAGAGACGCTGCAGGTCTGTCTCAGTGGTGTGCACCCGTCGTCGTTTTTTCTTCGACCCGTCTTGAAATTCAAGGTCATCCCAACTCTCTTCAGCTAGTTTATCTCCTCTGAGGATCGCCGATCCGAGTGAACCCTCATAATTGAGCTTCGCGCCACCGCCATCATCTGCACCTGACTCTTCGTCGTCCTCTGAGTCTATGTCCGCGTCGATCTCTGTGTCCGAGCCTTCATCGTCCTGCGGTACGTCGGTATCTGAATCAAGGTCTTCACTCCGTTTGACTCGTTTGCTGCGATTGAATACCCATCCCTTGCTAGAGTATGCAGGTGGTCCAACAAGTCTATCGTACTTGATTAGTTCAAGGCTCTCTGCCTCAATACTGGTTCGAGGAACGATTTGGTTGAAAATGGAGCGCTCGAAATCCAATCGAACTGCGTTGCCGACACCTTCATGAATAATGCGGAATTCCAACTCACGCTTGAGGAGGGGTTTGATGGTGTCCAAGGTGCACGGCAATCCACCAACAGGGACGCCAGCAGAGCTGATTCTATCACTTAGAAGCTGGTCAATGTCAACGAGGGATGAGACTGTGGTATTTTCCAGCATTTTGTCGTCGTGGCGATCAACCAGAACTCAAGTTGGCTTACATTGCGGTGTTTGTTGCTTGGTGTTGATTCTCCTTATAACAATATCACGATAAGTATTGATTCAACGTATACTGATATGTACTGATCTCGCCATCCAATACTATCATGAACCAGGGTATGAAGCCCGAGTTTCTGTTCCTTGCTGATCTCCATGCTTACATTCTGTCCTTCCTTCCTTACCAAGATATCCTTCGATGTACATCCGTGAGTTGCTGATACCCCTATGTACTGACAGTTGTCTTGCAGGTATGTAGAGACCTTCACCAGACGTACCTGTCATCTTCTGAGCTCCAATATATTGTTGAACTCAGTGGTCAACAACTGCTTCCTGTTGATCTCCCTCTCGATAGCCACACTCCTACTATCTCAGAGTGTCTACAACTCCTGAGGGACAAAGTTCATGCATGGTTCAAGTTGAACACTCAATCTATTGAACACGTCGATGTCTCAAACAAGTACATTATGAAACTGACATTCATGTCAAATGGGCATTTCTGCCTCATGGACGACCCAACCCTGCATCATCATGACTATCTACGGGGTCCGACCATCTCCAAGATCTTTCCAATACTACAAGACCCCTCACAGCGAGTGTTTGACTGTGTATGGCGTTCAGATACACTGTCCTCAGTTCCCAATGCACAGCTAAATGATATTCTCATGGACCCGACGCAAAATCTGCTCGCTGCTGCATGCCACATTCTTGATGGGCCGGATGTCTATATCGACATTTTACCTTTGGATGGAGATGGTGCTCACCCCCAAGCTGCTGGAACTACGCTGTGTATGTTACCAGAGCTGCGTGGACCCCAGAACATTCTCCCAAAAGCTGAGCGTTGGAGGATTCGGAGTCTGGGGAGGCTTATGGCTCTCTCGCACTCCCTGAGACTCAATGATCCAGTAAGGATTCTGTGGTGGTTGCAGATTTGGGACTGGCAGCACTCGACGACGTCAAATGTGAGCGAGCCTTGTCGATTGAAAGACTCGATGACTGATGGATTATTTAGAGTGTCCTCAGCGACGCTATGTCTGGAAGTCAAATCTCAATCGATTATTATTTTCTTGGAACTAGTAGATTGCTTGCGATTGTCGACATCAATTTGAAGGTCTATTCCATCGAGGATATGTCTCAGGCGCCGCAGTTGCTCGCATGCTTCTTGTTGCCTGCACCTGTACGCGGTGCACATTTCCTCTCCCAACTTAAAGGACGATGGTGCACAAAGTAGGCCGCCACCAGAGATGCCACAAAAAATGTGGAAATCAGATCCTACTCATCGAATCATATCCCTGAACATGTTGCCTTCCCTCCATTTTGTCATTTCTACCAGGATTTTCTTCGAGCCCGACTTCATTAAAGGGGGGTCAACGGCGATACCTTGGAAACATTGGGGCTCGTTGAATACTCGTATTTTCCAGCACTGTCCAGACATTTTTTACTCTGCTACTGGGAGTCGAGTCTTGAAGGTGGAACATGCAATTGACGCAACAGGCGGTAATGATTTCTTGGAGTACAGTTTGCGTGTGATGGACTTTCGCCCATTAGCTATCAAGTATGGGCAGGGCCTAGGACGGTTGGTGAGAGAGCCATCTACAATAGACTTGGATGGACAGTCGTTAACGACGTCCTTGCCTTATGTTGAGGTTGTGTCGAGCAAGATATCCAATTCTAAAGATGAGCTGCTGTTGACATCGATTGATGAAAACAGAATTTACGCGTTCCATGTCGATGGTCGCTTTGTAAGCTCTTCCCTGTCTCAAGGAAGCCTGATCTGATTTTAAACCTACAGGTCAAGGTCATTAAGATTTGGGAAGGGGTTTGAAGCGTGCTCTATTCAGGGCATAACATAAGCTCTACATGTAGTGGGAGTAATTTGTTAATGTCGAGGATGCAATTGAACAGAAACACGTATAAAGAAAGCGGAATTTTAATGGCCCAGTGAGAATGAGAAGCGTATGTCGAGTGCTTGCGAGACGCGTGAAGCACTTGGCGAGGATCGCGAAGCATCGTATATCCAGAGCCTGTTTAGCGCATGGCAGGGGGAGAGGACTGCCAGTTGCAGCCAGCGCACTGGTGCTTGGAGCCTGAAAGGTGACTCTTGCGATATTGAACGTCTCCGCTGGTAGCACGCTACTGCGTGAGGCACCAGCGGCATTCGAGACCCTGGCGGTAGAAGTATGGGCTTGCTGGCGATGATGACGTTCAGCACGGGAGTCCTGTGTGGGTAGTTAGATACTATGGCTCTGGAGGGCAGAGGGTGAGAAAAAGATGGTTGATCACGTTCTTTGTCATAGGACGTGATGGTAGCGGTGCGGTTGTTGTGTCAAGGTGGGGAATGTCTGTTGAACTGGTCAGAGGTGCATCGAATCTGCTGCGACATGAAGACTTACATCGTCGAAGAACCCGTGGCGAGTCCAGCGAGCTGTGACCGAGGCTTTGGGCCTGGAATCGTCTGCTGGAGGAGTGAAGTTGAGGTAATTGCAAGATGACTGTAAAAGCTTTACTTCAAGACGCTCAGCGTGACATGTCAGCGTGAGAACATGATAAGAGAATGTTGCAATTGACACCCCCTCTCGAGCTCGTCTCCGCTTTGCTCTGAAGAAATGTCCGTGTGCAAACTACATACAAGCTTCTAGGTCGACTTGATCAATTGTTATGCTGATACAAAAAAATAAAAGAAATAGTCTCTTCCTTGCCGCCGCATCTGCACCAAACCAAGATCGTCATATTGCCAACTCATGGTTACTTGATCAGACCAATATTCCCCCTTATATTGGGTCCTTGGAATTGTATTGATAAGTTGAGTTCTTTCCGATGATCTTTCACACTAAACACAGTTCAAAATATGTAGAAAACGGGTCTAACCTTTTCCCCCCCTGCTGACTACTCTAGACCAATCTATCGGTACCGTCATCGTATGCTGGACTTGAATAGTATTACCACCCCTTGGCGCCCGCCTTTCCTTGTAATCTTTGCCAGGTCTTCCCGTATCTTGTAAACTGGAATCATGAAAACGAGCCCATCGGCTGAGTAGTCCTACCACTATCGTTGATGCACTTCAATCACGCACCACTGGCGCACCTTTGCATTTCCTTCGACGGATGGACATGATGCTGTCCGAACCACCAAAATAAACAGAAAAACCACCCACTTTAATTTCCTCAACTTGTTCGGGGCCGGCATCGCGAAAAATAGTGGAGTAAGGCTTGTGCATATATTTACATCGGTGTCATCCACCACTCAATAACGAGCAGGACTTGAATCAGTAAATGCTCTCCAAAATAATCTTGACCTTTGAAAGCAACTCTTCATCCTCTTGACCAACTGCACGGACCGCGATCTGTTCAATGTCGGCCGTTGGTACCCCATATTGGCTCAACGTCCTCTGCAGTCCGAGCTCTTGCACAAGGCTATGGAAACTGAGAATTTATTCTGAGTGTATGGCAAAAGATACTTGCCTAGCGATCATGTACGATAGTTTCTTGACATCTCCGTCAACAGTCCCAGTTGATGGCTCTCTGAGATATAGTAAGGCTTCAGCAAGGTACTCCTTATCTTCTTGACTTGCTATTTCCGCTTGTAGGTTGACGACCGGTGCAAGTGTCAAGCACTAGAAATAGATCGTGATCAAGAAACTACACGCGGGTTCCGGGTGTACTGACTGAGGTGATGCCATGCGGTATCCCATATGTTGCTCCGAGCTTATGACCAAGCGTGTGAGATAATCCTAACGAGCTTCACAAGAAATGATTGAATGTATGCCACCACCCGCGTGAAACAACTTACCTAGGCTTTTCGATCCTCCGCGGCCATAAACTCATCCATGACGCAACTTGCAGCCTCTGCCTGGCAACGAGATCTTCGCTGTCTTTCTTTGATAATACAAGAAAATGAAAAAGATCAGCGATGGCAGCATGGCATAGCCTTTTCATTGGTAAGGGCACTCCAGGTCTGTATAGACTCTCTGTTTCCAGATATTGAGAAGCATAAAGCATCGTATATTATCCTCTTACCGACTGCATGGTCCAGCGCACGCACGCCAGTAGAAAGCCTTTGGAACGAAGTGAGCATACACCGGGGTCACTGAATTGATTATCTACCATAATTGTTCAGGTGTTGAAAGAGTCAACTCGGCGTCCAGGATGATCCCCGCTGGAGTAAGCTGTTGATGACTGATAGCTACCTTGTCACCCTGTTTATTGGTATAACCTGCGCTACACTAGAATATCTAAATGAGAAAGTGAGTTATTTATATCACTTCGAGATCTTACCGTGTACTCGGCCGCACTCAGGGTTGTTGGTATTGCGATTTGCCGCAAGAACTCCAGCTCTTTGCCAGATGTTTCTTGTGCTCTTTGCTGCTGCAGCCTGAAAATAATAGCCTTTGATGCATCGACGGGAGAACCTCCACCAACGGACACTATAATATCGGCGTCGACTTCACGAAACTTGGAAACGCCGTTCTCGATACCAGCCTCAGGAGTATGCTCCCCGATTTCCGAGAAAGTAGCACCAAATGCATTGTATTTCTTCAAGATGTTCTCGATTTCCTCCACAATACCAGTCTACGCTCCGAGTCAATTATATTGATTGACAAATCTGAAGTGGTTCAAGCATCAACTCACCTTGTTGCGGAGAGACTTTCCTGTTACGATAAGCGCTCGTTTGGCTCCAAGAGTGTCCAAAAGTTTTGGGAGTGCGGTTTCAACGCACTTGGGCCCGTAGTAAATGCCCTCAAGTGTGTTAGTATATGCGTAAGACCCAGCTGGCACTGTGTCATTGACAGTCGTCATGGTAGATAAGAGGTATTAATAATGTTTATTTCCTATGAGTGAGTGAGTAGTAACCGCGGTGGAGTTTAGTCCGTATAAATAATCGCCATATCATAACTGTCATTGCGACAATTGCCACTATCGATATCGGTACTCACTGAGTCGGCAGCCCGCCGCGGCGCATGTGAAACGAGTCCGAGTCCACTGGCAAGTCGTGCACTCGCAGCTCGCTGGCACGAGAATCGATTTGCACAAGGTTAGTTGTGTCAACCTTTAGTTGTTGATATGGCCGAACCGTCCCCGTTAATTGACATAACGTGCCGCTTGGCGAAAACCACTATCTGACAAGTTCCTGCCGGGTGAAACGGTACCGCGGACATGGCCTGCGACTTGCTCGGCCCGGTAACAGTCTATTTTTATAACAATTTTCCATCGAGTGGACTTAAATCCTCACGACAGTGAACGACCGTATGCATATGCGCATGCAACTTAAGTACTGGTGGTAGCAATTATTTAAATAATGCAACCATGAGCTACCTGCACAAGTTTCGTCGACTACCCACATTGACCCCACTGCGTCCGACGGCCAGGAGACTTAGTACTTTCTACAATAGAGATAGCGCCTCCAGGATCCAGCTATTCTCATCTATGTCAGACAGAAGCGACGAACCCACCCAGAACTCTGGACAGCCGTTTAACTCTGCCCCCTCATTCCGCGAGACTGGCCCACCAAACCCCAATTGGCAACTGAGACAGGGCCTCCCAGACCATGTCGAACCTGGAAAGTCGTGGAAAGCAGAAGAAGAGAAAGGCTGGAAGACTTGGAACCTCTCAGACATATCGCCAAGGTACGCGACCTCGTGTAGTGTTGTACAAACAGTGGTAGCAGAAGTTCTTGCTTCTCAAACCTAACCTTATCGTTCGCATGTCACTGACTTGAACTGCTGACAGGGAGATATATCCTTTATTGACTTCATGCATCGTGCCTCGCCCCATCGCGCTTGTGTCCAGCACGTCTTCCGATGGGATACCTAACCTTGCTCCGTTCAGGGGAGTTTTTTTCAGCACATTTTAGCCGACCAGTCTGACCTAACTTCATTGTACAGCTACTTTTCCATGGTGCGTCGGACATCTTTTTGAATGCCTTGAAATTGATTTGGTTGTGCTGCTGGCACCTGAAAGGTCGCGCACAATCCGCCGTTATTGAGCATTTCCTTCTCTCATTCTCCGCGGACTGGGAAGTCAAAAGATACCAAAGAAAATATACTCGCGACAAAACAATTTACCGTAAGCATTGTCAGCGAACCATTCATAGAAGCAGCAAATATCACAACTGTCGACGCCCCTGCTGATATCGACGAGTGGGACATCAGTGGTCTAACCAGATCTGCCAGCGTAAGTCCATTCCGTTTAGCAGCCGCAGCGGTTGTTGACCATGTGTCGTTCGCGTACGTATTGACCGCAATGCTTGCCCTTACATAGATAGACGTGAGGCCCCCATGGGTCAAAGAAAGTGCCATCAGTTTTGAATGCGAGGTAGGCATGCACTTCGTTGTTTTATTTGCCATGCTAGCTTATTAATGACATCGGCTTCACAGTTGTTCCATTCCTACGAGATTCGTCCGCCCAATTCGGACGAGGTCACAAACACATTGGTCTTGGGCCTCATAAAGCGGACACATATCAGAGAGTCCGTTTTGACTGCAAGCGGTACCGTTGATCCCGCTAAGCTTCGGGCCGTGTCACGCTTAGGTGGTGATATGTACGCGAGGATCGGTGAAGGTTTCGAACTTTCCAGGCCACCTTGGACAGTGATACGAGGTCAAGTCACGTCTGAAACAGAGTAGGGAGTCTGTTGCACTATAGCGGATACGAGCTCGCATTGATAGAAGGGTCCGCATGTTCATATCAGTTTGCATTTGGAAGGTTTCAGGTCGAGGGATGCGAACGTTCCGAAGATGCCGAGACAACGTTCCTTTGCGTAAGCATCAACTACTGAGAAGGCCACGGATATGGAATGCGTGTCAATGGACCTGATCTTTGTAGCGAACTTGGTCCGAATAAACGACGATGTATTTCTCACCGCATGGAACAAGCTGCACTTCCCCATGGTACCAGGTTGAAATGAAGCAAAGCTTACCCCAGGAGGCGCATGCCTTGAAAAAGATTAACTAAAAGTTATAAACACAAGGCATAAACGTGGAGGAATGCACTGCTACATGCTTTAGAAGATGAAGCCACGATGCAGAACACGATGCGCGTGCCTTATCGACGATAATTGTTTTGACAAAGAATGATCTTCCGGTGCAGATCAACGCCCCATCAACTGGGAATAGCACACGAATAGCCCACGAACAGGTGACGATTTTGACAGGGACGACATGTGTTAGCGAAAATTACGAACGATGATGGTCCACCATTCGCCGCGTTAACCTAACTAACTGTTTGAAGAAGCGCAGTCAACAGTCGCCGTGACTCCTCGAGGCAGCTAATGCTCCTTTGTATAGATAGTTGAGACAGATGGCCACTCCAACACTTATGTGTCCGTATATTATTCCACAGCCTTGTCTCCGGAAGCTTTTATTAGTCACGTGTATACAAGTACTTCCGCCACATTCGGTCTCTCGCAGTTTAGAGCCTTTCTCTTCGTTTGTTCTTCCTCAACATTCAGCGCTCAGCGCTCAGCTCAAGTATTAGGTGTGTTTCAGTGTTTTTTTTTTCGTTAATAATACCCATGATAATTTTCAAAGACTGTCATTTGCAACAGATATTCTTGCTACTGAGGCGTACCCTAACCTTCCGGGTCGGATACGGCCAACAAACTACGTGAGTCGCTTCTAAAATCACATAAACATAAAAATTTAAGTGCACCGATGGTTTGTTATGCTCTAGGGTTCTTCCCGGGCATGGAGAATGATCCAGGGTCGGTTGCTGAACAACGCGCCAATGCGGTTGCAAAGCTCAAACGCGCTGCATCTTTACCACGACTGAAAAATGGAAGGCGACCCCAGATGCACAATGAAGTTGTTAGCGAAGGCGAGAAAACCCTGCATGATGATGTCCAGGATCCATCGCAGGACACACCCCCCGAGTGCGTTTCCAATAGCGACTACAAGCCGATCGTACAGCCCGAAGAGAACCCAGGCTCGCCTGAGCCGTCGAGTGTAAACCGCAAACGCCGCTCACGTTCTCGTTCACGTTCTAGGGGCTCCAAGGATCTCAGAAAATTCAAACCTCCTCAGTCTCCTTTGCCAACGTCTGTTACGCCCAGCAATGATTCTTCTCCTGACGATTCACCACCCTCGCGAGCTGAATACCTTCCACATTCAATTCTCGCACCAATACCCTCCCATCTTAATCCGTTACCCAATTCTCCGTTCATTTTACCTGGTTTCTTAACGGCAGAGAACCCTTTTCTACCTTCTGGTGCTTCTTCTCCTATTCCAAGATTTCCCACATTGGAGGCTCTGGTGTCACGTCAAGGGCTTCAACGATCGAATAGTGCAGGTGCAGCCCGCATGCTAACTTTACAGAGCACATTACAAAAGCTCACGGGTGGCACGGAATTAATGGATTCAACATTTCCATCTCCAGCAATGTCGCCTCCGCCTTCTGGCACTAAACTCGGTCGGAACAATACTGTATCTGGTGGGGAAAGCAGCGAACGTAGCACTGCTCGGAAGCTTATGATGGCTCAACTGAACAAGAGGATGATAAAGGAGACGGATATAGAAGAGGAAGATCCTCGACCATTCAGTCCTTCAAAGCGACGCCAGAGACGACGTTCAAAACGTCAGTCCGCTAATCGCCCTGTGGTGTCGACCACAGATGAATCCGATCTTGTTTCGACCAACGATGCCACGCCAAACCGTTCCAACACCCCTCAAACTCAACCCGATGAATTAGCTCCCAACGTCCAGCGCACATCTTCCAACACTCCCATACCCCCGATACCAATATATCCTCTTGCAACCCCAAGCATCAACCTCAACGAAACCATCAACTCCAGCCGTCAATCCACTCCTGTGCGAGCTGTGCCACCCACTCACTTTGATCACGCTGCCAAAAAAAGACGGGAGAGTGTTCTGATAGAGGATCCAGATGACGAAGACCGAATTCCTCCACAGTCGACGTATTATGGATTACCAGGTGCTCCGAGTCGGCCGCATCCAAGCCTTTCTCCTCGCCTTCCCCATTCATCAGACATCTCCACTGACTCACCACTTCTTGATGTAACGAATGTACCGATATTCCTGGCCCCCCATCTTGAGAGGACTCCGTCTCGGCAAGCCAGATTCCCTTCTAGTCCCTTCGCTAGACCTCATAAGGAGATATCGTTATCATCTGACCAGGAGGAGGAACGCGATCAGGAGGAGGAGGAATTTTTCCCAACAGAAGCTTTTCGACGGTCTCCATATCATGATGGTCTTAACCGAGAAATCAGTTGGGTGGCAGAGCCAGGTGAGTTCTAGCTGTGTTGGTTGATCAGGATACCTCTCAGCCGTTTCGCGGTAGTGCCGGAAACCCCCATGCCTGTGCACGAAGAGACAGAAGAGGAAGAGGACGACGAACTGCTGCAGGATGAGCCGGCCCAGCAAATCACCGAAGATGAAGATGACCATCCGCCTCCGGATTCGCCAAGAGAAGGGTTTAATACTCAGATCGGGGAACCATCATCTCGCGCATCATCGGATTCAAAGGAACTTGTTGTGGAATTGGAGACGTCTCCCTTGCCTACTCCCGCACTCACTTCGCCGACACCCTCCTCATTTGCCAACCTGTCTAACACCGCTTCCATGCTCCGTAACAGTGATGAATCGGATTCTCAACAGTACCCTCAGCGGCTTTCGGTAGCTATTCGCATGCACAGCGATAAATCTCCGGTTGTAACTGAGCCTGAGTCGACCGATCCTCAAACAGTCCGGGCAGAGACTCCCTCCAGGCGCGAAGGTAGCACATGGAGCAAGATCGTCCACTCCTTGACGAGGAGTGCTTCAAGTAGTGGGCGCCGGTCTCGGACGAACTCGATTGCGACAAGGGAGAGAAGACAGCACACTGACTCCAGCATCAGCCGGGAGAGTGGAGTGAGTCTTCCAAGTCCAAAAATTGATAAGAACGACAGCATCAGTTCGACTACATACCCACACGGCCAGCCATCCTCGGCGTCGACTTCGGTACATTCATTGATCCAAACCGCTCCTCCCAGCAGCGGGGTATCCCCCGTTCCCATGACTCCCTCCACTGATCCTCTGGCGAAGTATACGCACGAAAAACTCATGCCTTTCCCCGGGATCAAGAAGCTGCAAGAGCAATGGAACCGTCAACCTCACTTTTCGTCTACTCCTGATATCATTCTGTCGCATCATGTTGAGGCTGATATACCGCTGCCATCGAGTTCTTCCAGTAACACCCCTTCTAATTCTCCCGAGATAAATGGGGACAGGAAGCTAACACACCAGGCATCAGATACCCACCTGTTGCATATCTACAAGGCTCAAGCACCACCGCTTTCTGCCTCTGCATCCACATCCTCTCATGACCACTACCAGCATGGCAGTCCCCACTTACCATCCTCCATTATGCTGAAATCCCTTCCAACTAACCGAGATGGGGTCCGGAGATGGCTCAGTGCCAGGAAGTTGTTCCCCCAGCCTTCACAGTCGCCGGTAGGCAATTCGCCTCCGACGTCTAGTCCTGAACCGAAACCCGCAGTAGCGTCGAAGAAGCCATCACTCTCTGACCTATTCCGATTGCGGAAGGAGAATGATTTGTCCGCTGAGCTCCAAGATGAATGGGTAGATGTTGATCGTGATAAAACACGTAGCTCTGTTGGCAATGGGCAGCTAAAGAAGGCAAATGGTGAATTCTCTCCGACCAGTCCAAACGACAGCTTCATCCGTGACGAGCTTCAAAAGACGCCGCGAGCGAGTAAAATCGCTAGGCCTAACGGTCAGCCATACTCTGCCACAGATATCTCCCTAATACCTCTCACTCCGGCAACCCCTTCTCCCCCTGAATTTCCATCTACCACACCTGAGCCTTGGTCTTCACTATCCGACTACCCCCATCTCACAACATCCGAGTCTTCTTCGTCCAACACTTCCTCGCATTATTCAAATTACCCTGCGAAAGGCGGCGTACTGTTAGAACGCTTGAATGACATGCTGGGCCGAGGTTCAAGAAGCCCGGTATGGCTATCTGCCATTGATGAGCCTCCGCGAAGATTTCTACGATGTTCTCCAGTCTTCCAGGTCGTGAATTCCTAATATCTGCAAGGATCGCTTCCTCTTCCTGTTCAACGACATTCTCGTCATTGCCAAACCTCGTGCTGAGGATTCCGATACGTTCCTCGAGGTGACAAAGCCTAATCCTGCTGATCGGAAGTTCACCGTCAAGAATGTGGTATTGCTGCGACAACTCTGCTTCACCAGCGAGCGTGAGGAGCCGTGTTCGAGAGCCATCCCAAGAACTCCTGCAGTACAAGCCTTTGTCGAACAGTTCTCCATAGACCCGGATAATGCAGTCACATTGCTCTTCAGCAGCTTGGATCATCGTGACGATCCTGCTGCACTTGCGCAACTCCTGTTCAGAACCCCACATATTGACAGGGTGCAGCTCGGTGATTTTTTATCGCGGCGTACAAGCCGCGTTGTGCTCAAGCATTATCTTGACGCCTTTGGGTTTATGGGAATGAGGGTGGACAAAGCCCTCCGGTTGTTCCTTCAGTCTATTCACATCCCGGAACGGGGCAGCCACGGTATCACTCCTCTCGACATTCTTCTCGAGCCGTTCGCGAATCGGTGGTATGAGGCAAACGCAATCCACATTTCTTACGACAAAGATTTGGCCTACCGCTTCACGAGAGCCATCGTGCAGCTGAACGACGTCCTGCATGGTGCTATCTCTCATGAGCCGGGTCAGATGGGGCATCCTAAAAGGAATATTACTGCAAGAGACTTCCTTGAGGCTTTCCGACGTCATGACAATCGCTTGTCGGATGAGTTATTGGGAGATGTCTATGATTCCATCCGGCGTGAGCGCCTGTGCCAGGCGCGCAACTCAACGTCTGGCGGCCCACCAGAGATCACTGTCACCTTCAAACGCACACTTCCTCCGCGGCTCACCTACCGGGTTCAGTCAGAGCCAGTCGTCATCCGTATCCCACAACCAGATCCGCAGTTCAGTATTGAGTTGTTTGGGCACGATTTGGTGTTTGACCCACCTGTATTGTCATTTGCGAAGTCGGCAGAAGCTTCCTTCCGGGTGACGGGGCGCGCTTTTGGACTGAAAACAATGTCCATGCTGCGGTCAGGTCCGAATGCCCTATTATATGCTGGCCTAGCCCAGAGTTACACTATAGCAGTGGAGCGCGCTTTCATGCGTAACACCTTTCAGGTGGCATTTTTGGATCACAATGGGGCCAAGCGCAAATATATGTTCAGTGTCACCGACCCTGTTGTTCGCCACGAGTGGGCAGTTTCGCTCAAACGGGAAATTGATGCCTCTGTCGTAGCCGCTGACCATCCCTACGGCATAAATTGGCCGTCCCCGCAGACGGCTCGGTTTTATAAAGCATCGTACAACATGTCTTTCAAGGTGTTGCAAGATACCTTACTCAAGCCATCCCTGGGCGACACCAGTCCCTTTCCTTCCAAAGTTGACCACGCACTAGCGCGCCTCACCTCATCCGGCCTTCATGCCCGCGACCAATCTAAAACATCTGTTCGACTCGGTGTGAACTGTACATCGGAGCCAGTGCGCTCAAAGTCTCGGAGCAAGGTGTACCATCGCCATGGACCTGGAAAGATGGAGTCGGAAGGCAACACCCTTGGCTTCCCTCACGAGAGCAGCGACGATTGCGGAGATGATCCTGACACGCAACTCAGGTCGGATGATCAATACTGGTCAGGAAAAGATTTAGCGATGTACTGCCAGCAAAATAGCTCTATCGCCCTTTTGCTGGCATACCTGCAAGTCAGCACGCCAGATGCTAACGGCTCACAATGACAGTCTTGTTTCGGTGAGACTTTTGCTTTGTCGTATATACCGACCACTAAAACTTTTACCCAGTGTCTCGTGTTTGTTCCCGATCTCCCTTCTGAAATCTGTTCCTCCATATCTGTTCTCTCTATATCTCACGCATCCCGTTCATGTACATTCAATCGTTCCGCTTTTTCCATTCTACACATCACTATTGCTATATCGTCCACTATCATTACCGCATCTTCTCGTCTTTAAGTCACATTTGAATTCATGATACATTCTGGAAGGAAAGCACCACACTAAGCTCGAGTATTACATGCAAAAAATCAATGGTGTTGATGTGTCACAGCCACGAGTCCATCTTCGTAAAGGAACAGCCAAAACAGCCTTTTCCGGCTTCAAAAGCTTCCGAGTCCGTGATCAGGCCAGGCGGCTGTCCAGTGTCCAGTGTTCACCACTTTGAATCTTTTAAGTAGTTACTTGACTAGATGCCCCAGTAGGGCACGACGTATCCACTGCCTCGTGTCAAGTCCCAGTTCTTGTCTTTCCCTTGAGAGACAGGTCATGGCTCGTATCTATGCCGGTGCGAATGCACAACTGGGACGCTCGTGGTATGACTATGGTGAGTAAACTCTGTTTTCCCAGTTCTGCCACCGCATGAATTATACAGACAATTTCCGAATCGAGTGGAGTTCTCCCGACCGCTATGAGATCGTCGATCGTGTAGGAGGCGGGAAGTATAGCGAGGTAAGAATTTTGTGGACATATTCCACGGATTTTCAGCTAACCAGTTCACAGGTGTTCGGAGGGTTGGATACCGCTAACTCCGAGACATGTATCATCAAAGTACTCAAGCCTGTAGCTGCAAAGAAGATCAACCGTGAAATTAAGATTTTACGCAACCTCACTGGAGGTCCAAATGTTGTTGCCCTTCTTGACGTCGTTCAAGATCCTTCATCAAGATACCACAGCTTAATCATGGAATATGTGGATAATGTGGAGTGGAAATCGCTATATCCAATCCTTGGCGAGGTAGATATCAAGTTCTATACTTTCCAGCTCCTTAAGGTATGTTCCGTGACTTCATAAATCACCCCAGGAGCTTCTTTTAAGGCTAATTCACGAGGCCTTGGATTTTGTGCATTCGCGAGGAATCATGCATCGTGATGTGAAACCGGGAAATGTCATGATTGATCACCGACACCGGAAAGTACGTTCCACGTTTGCCCCATGACGATGAGATCGCTGATTACTTGAAATACAGCTACGGGTCATTGACTGGGGGCTTGCTGAATTCTATCATCCTGGGACAGCTTATCATATTCGTGTCGGTTCACGGTACTACAAAGCGCCCGAGCTGCTCGTGGGATATAAGCTGTACGATTACAGCCTTGATCTGTGGAGCATAGGATGCATGCTTGCTTCGATGGTGCGTGACATTTTTGCGTTTCGCTCATATCCTTCTTCTAATTATTCGGTAGCTGTTTCGCAAAGAACATTTCTTCCGTGGTTCGGATAATAATGACCAACTCTTGAAAATCATGAGAGTTCTAGGATCTGACAGTTTCGATGCCTACTTGAAGACATATGATATACCATTTGAAACAGACATGGAAGCCCTTCTGCACTCGTCAGTGGCATGTGCTGGCACGCATTTCAATGCTGATATCTCGTTCCAGTTATCCAAGACAGCCTTGGGCACGTTTTGTTAATGCTGAAAACCAGCAGTTTGTGACGTCAGAGGCACTGGACCTTCTTGACAAATTACTTCGTTATGATCATCAGAAACGGCTAACAGCACGGGAGGCTCAAGCCCATCCATATTTCAGTAAGCACATTTATTTCCGTTGTGCTTCTCTTCTCAAGCTATATACAGATCTGGTCAGACTCGAGGCAGCATCAATTAAAGGAGACTCAGCAGAGTACGTTAACGACTCTGGATTCTGCTCTATGTAAAGGAACTAGGGAGTTATTTATGTAGGTGTACTCCTGGATCTCACGCTTGTAGGGAAGTTGTGTATCGGACGATGTTGTCACTATTAGGGTCAAGACACTTATGCTGGAGAATGTGATCAGAATTCAAGCACGCGGTGACTGCATCAAAACAGGAAAGTCCAATGAAGTGGCAACGTGTTCAGCCCAAACGAAAACGAGGTAAACACACGCTCTCGGATATGTTCAATTACTCCAGGCTTTCTACACGCCCTCACTCGCGTCTATCGTCAGGTCAAGGTGGTAAACTGATATAACGCACCACATTCATCTTTACGTCCTTCCAATCTAACCTGCGTCAGATAATGGACTCAGACTACATACATCACATCCGCCCCAGGGCAATTAGCAGTCCTCACCATCCTAATTCGCTTCCCCAACACAGGTGTGCCAAAGTAGCTGAGCTACCGGTCTCCCCATCACCAGCATCCCGACTACACTTTCCGCGGCATGAAGATCGGAGTTGTCCACATGATTATACCAGCGCTCGTCCTGTCCAATGGAAACGCATAAATCCTCACGCGCTGGCATGCGTCAAGGAGCAGGAGCACTACATGCATAGCAGACATGAGAACCCAACAGAGCAATGGGTGAACGATCAGATCCACTTGGCAAGCCGGCCAACCCATGAGCGCCACTGGATGAAGCCCGCGGAAACGGAGGAACTTCGACATAGAATGCGAGATGAATTCCTATACGAATACGAGGTGGAAGCGCATGGGTGGATGTCATATGAAGAAGATATGAGACGAAGAATGCGGGAGCGCGAGGAGGAGAAGAACCGCCTGATACAAAACGAAGTTAGACGAATCCAAGCCCGCGTTCGCCAGCGGAGAGACAGCGAAAGACATGTTATTGCTGAAGAGCGAAGACGGGAAGCTGAGAGGGCGAAGGAAAGAGTGATGAGGGAGCAGGCGAGGCTGGAACGAGCAACAATGGATGCTTGGAATGTGTACGAGTTGCGATGGGTAGCGCTATCCGCTGCATATGACGGAATCGTTCTAAAATTCCGTGATATCCCGTGGCCACTACTTATTCCTCCGCTGACTCCAAGTGAAATCACTGCGGAGGGAATCGCGGCATTTATTTTGTCGACGGCCCATTCCCCAGAGCAGTCCCCGAAAGAGAGGATACGCGCTGCTCTCCTCCGCTGGCACCCAGATCGATTCTATCGAGTGCTGGGGAGAGTGCGAGAATCGGAGAGGAATGCTGTCGAGGAAGGTGTAGGGATTGTGGTTCGATGCCTGAACGATCTTCTAACAAAGGATAACAAGGCCTCCCATATGGTAAGCACCGTTCCTCATCAGAAGTTCCAAAGCTAGCACTGCAGTCTGCTCACGGCCAGTCCACTGCAGGCTAGACGAGGATCGAGGTTATGAGTGAACCTATTGCACGACGCTGGCGGAGTCGCAACTTGGGGTCAGCTCCTATACCTTGACGCATTCTACACTGTACAACAGCAAAGGGCGTTCAAGTTCCTGTTAATAAAGTGTTTCTTCATAATAGACTCCAACATTAATTTTCTGAGGCAAGGTCTGAATCTGAAGCTTGAAGCCAGGAGCGAAACCCCGATGACATTGCATAATCAAGGAAAACTTAGTTACTCCAGTAGTGGGAAATTTTATTTTTCCTCTATGTAAACAGTACAATATTCTAGTACAAGAGTGCTCCTGCTGCACTTCAAGGGAAAGCGTTACTGCGGAAGGCAGAGCAATGATACAATAGCTAAATAGCGTGAAGCTGGTTATATATGGTGAAGAAACCTTGAGCTCCGAGTCGTCATGGATGCTGTATATATGTATAGACACAGGGGAGTAGTCTGACTACCTAACATACCGGGCCCATAACATAACTATCGTCAGTCGACGTCTTGCTTAACGAAGTCGTGCGAGAGCGCGACACGACCAATCCATTGAAGAACGGAATAGACAAGCCATCTATGTACATTTGAAATCAGCGACAATATATTACTACCTGCCACGATACTTACGAACGATGATAGAACCAAGGACGACAAAGGACACTATAGGCTGGATAGTTGTAGCGAGGTACTGTGCTTGATTTGCAGGCGGGTTCTCTGGGGTAGGCAAACGCGTGAGCGCTAGGGTAGACACGAAGACTGCGCTGACTCCCATCTGCGACGCATTGATAAGTGATAAAAAATGGGATTGGACAGACTTACTGGACCTGTATACAAGATTTAGATATTTGATGTGACAGCGATATCATAGATAAAAGAGCTGCTCACCGAAGTGACCAGAGAATAGAGCTTCCCGCCAGCATGCAATCTCGGGAACAAATTTGTATACCGCCAATAAAGATGGAATTCGCCTGAAGACCATGATAGCGATCACAAGAAGAACAAGCTTCCAAGGGCTGATATCATATTCGGGAGAGTCATAGGCGTTAAAGGGTAGCCAAGCGCCGATGTAGATGAAACAACAACAGTTCAGCACATAATCTATCACAGAAGAGAAATCCTCATGTTCTGTCTGTTCATGGAAGTGCCCATCCCAGGATATTGCACAGCCTGATGGGAATGTCAGACCCTACTGATAGGTGAAGCATACAGACTAGATGCAAACCTGCTGCAAATGCTGCAAGAAGATCATCCGCGCCAATGGTGCTCGCAACTCCCATAGTAAAGATGGAGAGAGCCAAGTACTGCGCAATGTACGATTTACGATCCATAAAGCCTTGATCAAGGGATTTCTTCATGAGTTTGGAGAACAGAAATCCTGAATCACAAATACAATGCAATCAGACCAATGAATTCGGATGAAGCGACATTACCGACCTAGAACGGCTCCTAGAACGGTGCCAAGGATGACCTGGTCTGTGGTAAAGAAAGTTGAGGACTTTACGAGACGCCCAACACATAATAGCACAAACATAACCATCCCACCAAAAACCACTTGCCGATAGCAGTTTGAACGGATGTCTCTATGGTGAGGTATATGGATATCGCAAGAAAAGGGTAGGCAAGGCCGTCGTTGGCTGCGGCCTCAGCCAACAAGATGTGGCGAATATCCTCGCGAACATGTTGGTGGGCAAATTTACCGTCTATAGAGTATATGTAAATATCAGGGGTAGTTCATGATTGGCCGGACTGACGTGTGATGGCAGCACATGTCACCGGGTCCGTAGGGGTCAAACAAGCGGCGATACAAAGGGCTGATATGTAGTCGAGTTTCGGGAACAACACGTACATGACCGCTGACAACGGTGATCAATAGGTACACGGTTGCATCCGCGATGACTTACCAGCCACTACGACCCAGCCAAACGCCATGGTAGGCACAACCATTACCAACAAGCTCTTGGCATGCCTTTTCATATATGCAGGTGGTAATTCGACTCCAGCTGCGAATAAGCCAATTACAAGGACGATACGCATGATCTCTAGTGTTATGGTATTACTCGAGGGACCCCACGAATGGGGTGCGAAGATGCTGGTACCGAAAGGACCTATGATAATCCCGAAGGCGGTTCCTAAAACGACTTCATTGACATAAAGCTGGTGGAAACATGGGTCAATTGTCAAGGGATTGATAGCAATTACACACCTTCTCTTTGATTAGGAGGGACACTAGTGAGAACTGTGGTCAATAGTCAGCATACTGCGGTATATAACGATTCTCATGGAGCCAGGTAGACAGCACCCGAAAACGACCTGCTCGTAGTCAGCAAGAGCAACGACGCGCGTACTGCATACATGCATTCGAAAGGAGCTGGAACGAACCAAGACTGTAAAGCCACCAAGACAGATGTACGAGATCCTCGCCGGCGACACCTGAAAGAAAAATGAGTTGTTGATGACAAAAGAACAGTCGCTGACCGCACGTACTTGTAGTAAATCTAAATCCATGTTGAAGTGTTGTCGCAAAATCTTTCAGAAAACGACGCCTGATTCCAGTAGTATTTATCCAAGCAGACGCCAGATTGCTGCAGTGCAACGGGGCCGGGAATTGACCATGGAGATATATGACAGCTGTTCCACCTTGGCAGACAGCCTGATAGATACAGTGACGGTAATGAATTATCCCTGAAATGCTCATCACGTCAATTACATTTATGTACATTGAGAAAAGGATCCACTTACGACCTTTAACTGCATGGCACTGCCTGCCAGCAGCGGTGGGAACTAATGACATGAAGGAGTCCATGTATGGTCTCTCTCGATCGTGAACCCTTGTGCGAGTGAGCAACTTGGAAGGTATTTCTCTTCTCAAAGTAGGTCAAGCTTTCTGTGATCACCTCCGTGCGCGTGAACTGCAGGGGCCAACGGACGTTGTGATAGGGCTAGTGCTGATACGATGAAGCAACACGACTAGGGCGCCGCGCGGTGGAGTCACTTACCAGGTTTGTGTGCTTGACATGAGATTATAGTTGGAATGAGGAGTTGCGATTGCGGTAAAAAATTAAAGTGGTTGATGAATAATCAGGAGTTCCGGATCCGGACCAATCAGTTCTATTAGAATTTTAGCGGTGGCGCCCAACGCTGGCACTTGGGAGAGTTCGCTGCAGCTGCATCATGTAAGGTGTGGTGCTACTTCCTCGCTGCCAAGTAAATTTACATATATGGAACTTTTCGATAAGATTGTTGTAGTCAATGTGCCAACAAAAGCGCCGTTCCTTGTACAGAAGTGCGCTCGCACCACAGAAAGGTCAGGCAGGCAGTGTTATATACTACGCTCGTGCGCGACATTATTCATCCAATCTAGCCCCACTAGCTTATACAGTGGCCCTGGGCAACGTTAAACGACGCTCGCGCGCCAAACCCCTGATTCTCATCTTTCCTAGAAGTCATCATGGGGTCCCACTGCATGTATCTCCATTCAGCACTTATAATATATACTTTTCAACGCACTTGGCGACACATCGTTCATAACATAACGCGTCCCACGAACCAGAAATGGTGGCACAACAAGAAGGTGTCATTCGGGCATTTGAAGTATGGAATCACAAAGGGGGATGCGAGGACTCGGAGAATGTCCACATGTTGGATTCTCTGCTTAGCATCGCAACGGAACACCAAGAACAAGGTCACAGTGCTCTGATCCTTCAAACAATCAGAGACGATATTGAGCTGCAGACGCTATCACATGGGTGTTCATGCGGTCCGTGTCGAGAGTGTCGAGAGCAAGTCGAGGAGTGGTCGAGCTAGGACAGCTAGCCTGGACAACGAGCATGTGGAACATGGCGTTCACAAAAGAGAACGAGTGGGGATGGGATCTCAAGAGACATTTTCCGTAGTGGAAATGACCATCTGCAGGCAATAAGTTGGATCTAGTTCAATCAGTATCGAATGCAAGAGCGTGATGGATGAAAGATACTCACATCAGCTCACATACATAAGGCCTTGGAGGTCTCAATAGGACTATACGAGATATAAATTGTGGGCGAACGGGTTATACACGGAAGCAAGCACAGCATTGATATTCTTGCACATCTTGTTAGTGATCAAAGTTCGACAAAGCCCTCCCTAATGACGTCAAGGATATACTCTGGTTTGGGATGGATCGAGTACCATCTGTCCACTCTAGAGTCAGAAGAGTGCAACTTATCCTCAAAGTGTCGGGCTGTGGACATGTATATCGCGCCACTATATAGAGCTTCATAATGATATCAAGGGATGCCGCAGCTGGCTCTGGATTCGGGAGCGGACTGCGGATAGCACACAGCGCACGAGTTGATGTTGGGGGCGTTACACCGTGTTCTACGAGGCTGAGCGTTGAGCAAGGGGTCAGGGACTTGACAGTCTGAGCGTAAACAGTTTTGTATTATTCTACCTTTCACAAAAATATTTTGTGGTGAATTATATTTGGCTCGGAACTAGTGAACGTAAACAGGCAAAGCGGGCGCGTCATCACGAGTCCAAATTTTTGGACTTTACTCTCGGATTTTGATTTTTGTCTGCCTCACTATGCTCCGGACTATAACACGACTGCCGCTGCGCAGATGCGTTCATACGAATGCCAGCTCCTCGAGCACCCGTATTTTAAAAGTTATTCGAGCAGGTCTGGACTTGCACTGGGAGCTACCGTCACATTTGCTGCATACATGGCTTGGTCGCTGAGCTCGGATAGTCAGCGGATATCACTTGATGCTCAACCTGTGTCCGGTATGCGTTCATTGAGATCAACAGCAGTGCTATTCTAACACATTCGCAGCTCCCAAAAAGCTTCCGTCCTCCAGAAATCCCCCACTTCCCACTGCAGACTCCCCTCCGCCTCCAATACAGACAGAAGAGACATCATCTGAAACGTCAGTACCCATACTAGAGGAGGACGCGGATAAAACACCACCGGCTGCGACAGTCGAAGCACAGAGTGAAGAGCAGCCGTCTGGGGGTGCTTATAACCCGGTGACAGGCGAAATCAATTGGGACTGCCCGTGCCTCGGTGGAATGGCCCATGGTCCATGTGGTCCAGAATTCAGGGAGGCCTTTTCATGTTTTGTTTACTCTGAACAGGAACCAAAAGGTATTGATTGTGTGGAAAAATTCAAGGCCATGCAAACCTGTTTCCGGGAACACCCCGACGTATATGGGGAGGGTAAGCTTGTTTTCCGATTAGGAAGTCTCTTGTACTGATCCCGTGGCAGAAATTATGGACGATGATGACGAAGAGGAATCCCAGGGTCAAGCTACGCCCGAGGGCGCTAAGCTTACTGAGGTGGAATACGCAACTCTGGATAACGTAGCTCAGGAACCCGCGCAGCCCCAACATCCCCCGTCACCTGTTTCCACATCCTCCGCCTAGAGCATCGTTATCTTAAGAGTATCTTGGTTAATTATCCCTCATATTCACCACTCAATATGGCAGCCTATTATGACCATACATAGCGCATGGAATTCAATGCAAGAAACTATGCTAAAGGTATATGGAATCTCGTGTCAGTTTGAGAACCGCTTCTCTATGACCTGGTCTTTCAATTTATAGCCGTTGGCAGCGAAAAGCTTTGAGCGCAGGAAGGTTGATGTATCATAGATGTCATGCTCCTTCGCCTAGGGAACCAGTGAGTTCATGACAGTTCCAACAAAGGTACGAACCACTCACCCGTTCATCAAGCTCAGACATCTTGACCGTGATGAGCTCAGGTTGCTCGTGTTTCTGTAGTTGGTGGAAACGGGCCTTTTCCTTCACAATCTGGCCAAGAAGGAAAGCCAAGAGTTCTTCATAATCACGAGCTTGTGTCAAGTATTTTCGGAAGCCCTGTCCAAACCATCAGTGCCTTTCCTGATAAAGTCATAACGTACTCACCCTTTCAAGGGTCTTTTTGATTGACATCTTTTGAGTGCTGACGAAGCTCCCTACTGCAACGGAGATCGCCATGTCAATGTCATCAGCGCGAACGTATTCCCGTAGGGACATTTTTGCACTGGCTTCAGCCATCCGAATCATGCTCTCCAGGTGTCGGACGGTGATGGGGTATGAACCTGTTGCCAGTGACTCGCGACGAAGATCAGAAAACAAGCGCGCTAATTTATCCTGGTCCATGTCATAGAGCTTCGGGCGTATCTTCTCCCGGGCGTACATGATGTATTTACGGAGGATATCTTGGGGTATAATCTGTCTGGACTGTTAAGGAGGGCCACAGCTTCAGGGACTGAATAGACTTACATCAGCATCAAGGGTGGTGCCAACATCCATCTCATCTCTGTCAGCTTCAAATTTAGGATGGCTGCGGAGGTGACTTCCAACAACGAATCGGGCTAGCAGCTCATCTTGCACAGGATCTACGTTGTCTTTGACAACACACAGCACGTCAAACCGAGACAGGATGGGTTCTGTCAGCTCGACGTTTTGCTGGAAGGGAATCGTTGGGTTATATCTTCCGCGGATCGGGTTAGCAGCGGCAATTATGGCACATCGAGCTTGCAATGTCGTGACGATCCCAGCTTTCGAGATTGAGATGGTTTGTTGCTCCATTGCTTCATGAATAGACGTCCGATCCGCATCATTCATCTTGTCAAACTCATCGATGAGACATGTTCCTTTGTCGGCAAGGACAAGAGCGCCTCCCTCCAGCGTCCATTCCCGAGTTACGGGATCTTTGCGGACGCTGGCAGTCAGACCAACAGCCGATGCACCCTGACCGGTCGCGAAAACAGACCGGTGAGCTGTCTTCTCTGCGTACTTCAGGAATTGCGACTTCGCCGTTCCAGGGTCGCCCAAGAGCAGTACGTTGATATCACCGCGAAGGCGGTGTTTACGGTTGATGTCTTTCGTAACACCACCGAACAAGGAGAGGGCGAGGGCCGTTTTGATGTCTTCGTGCCCGTAAATCGAAGGTGCAATAGACTTGACGATACGCTTCCGAATACGTTCGTCTCGTGCGAGGGCGCGCATCTCCTTCTCGTCTTCTTCAGTAAGACGGAACGCTGCAAACAGATCTTCCTTTTTGTTGATGTGGTTGGCCTCGATGATTGTGGAGAAGACTGGGAACCCGTTCTTCGAGTTAAGAGAGGCATCAAAGTTGTTCCTGTATATCCCAGTCACTTCCTACGCTAACGTGCTTAGTGCCGGTCATCGAAAGCGCCCACGTTACTTACAATCTCCTCTCCAGGCTTTGCCAAGTCAATGAGGTCCCATAGGAGGATAACTTCACGATGCCTTGGTAGACGCCCCGGAGGGACTGACCCAGGGGACTCCTGCAGCGTCATTTTCTGGTAATTGCGGTACACCGTCTGTCATGAAGCATTTAGCAGGTATCGTCACAAGTTCGAAATGCGACTGACTTGCTCGGAGTTAACAGGAAATGGGCCCTTGCTCTCGCAGTTGGCGCAAAAGCTAACTTTGACCTCCTTTGTTGCATCCTGGTAGAATGGACCGAGAACAGCACCACATTTGCGGCAGTCAAATTTGACGTATTTAAGCTGCGGGAATACACCACTTCGTCGAGTTACAACACCAGTGACTCGGACTAAATTGTTCAGGTTAGAGCGTCGGAGATCACGGAGTGAGGAGCTCAACGGAAGGTCTGCGATGCGAACATGAACTTCCGAGTGGATCCGTTCGTACGACGGGTAATACACGAGAATCGCATTCAGCGCGACCTCGTCGAAGATTGTAAGCATGGCGGCCGGGGAGTTTGTCAAAAAGTAAGCCAAGATAGGCTTAGACATTGCTAGATGAAGATAAGATACTTCCAGTGACTCGGCATTTGCTACAATAGACCATCAGTAACTCTGCAAAAGGTATAGACTAATAATACGGACTTTCTCCAAGATTACGAATGCGTTGACCATAGACCGATGCGCCGTTTTCGTCGACGTAGGTCATCAAAAACTGCCGGAAATGTTTGACAATTGATCGGCGAACACGGTCATTGGCAATCCATTCGACGATAGATTTAGCCTTGATGTCACTCAGTTGCTCAAGAGGTATTTCCTAAAAAAACATGGATGAGTACACATCCGACTGACCGCCAAGATTTTCACCAACATCATCTATACCATCCACATCATCTACATCACGACGCTCGTCATATTGTCGCCTTGTGCGACGCTTCATTCTCGCAACGCCGAGATCATCGCCAAGAGCATCTTCATCGTCCATGTCATCATCCTCCAGGAACTGAGGCGCACGGCCTCTATGAGCTGCTCGGGTGCCTTGCTTTCCTGTGCGTTCAAGGCGATCGCGGCGATTCATCTTGGCTTCAGCCGCTCGTCGAGCCGCTGCTGAAATTTCGTCAAAGTTTCCTTCATCGTCAATGTCTTGGTCGGAGTAGCGATCCAGTAGCTCGTTTGGTGCATAATCTCTATTTTCAGTAGGGTAAAATTGTGATACTCGGAAAAATATGGACTTTGACACGCACTCTTCGAGGGTGTCCGCAAACAAATCTTCGCCTTCACCGTCGTTTTCATCGTCTTCATCTATATCACGTACTCCGTCACGATCATCCAAGCTATCATCTGTATCAGAGAAGGGTGCCGGAGGCGAAGACGGTGGGAGAGACGATTGCGAACCACTCCGTCTTGGAGTAGGACGTGGAGCTGGTGATGAACTGGGAATGGGAGGCGACCTTGGACGCTTCGCACCTCTAGGGGTCTGTGACTATGATGTAGAAATTTAATATACATCAGTCTGATTTCTGTGTCCTCCGTGCTCACCATGGTGAATAGCGATAATGCGGGGAGATGGCAAGAACAAAAACACGCGTCGCGACGCGTTCAATTGTCGGAATTTTAAATTTAAAGCGTGCTTCGGTTCCCACGCAAGGATGTGATCTATCCGTGCCGACCAAATCATTCCTGGAATCCTCTGTGATATGCCTAGCGTCGACCTCGAAACCGCGATCAAGCAAGAGGAAGAGTACCTGCGCAAGGTTCATCCTGCAGTGGACGATATTCCAGGATGCATGACCCTGTTTGATGAATTTTTGCAATGCCATGGTATGCTCTGAAAACGCTTCAAAGTGCTGGTACTCATGAAACTTTCAGTTCTGGGGACTCAAATAAAATCTCTATACAGATACGGTCAAATGTCAGAGTGTGGAGTTAAAAAAGAGGACTTCAAATTTTGTATGAGCTTGAAATTCATGCACCCAGAACAGAAACGGGACGCTTGGATCCGCCGCCGTGCCGAGTGGTGGGCTCACAGACGACTTGGGAAGAGTAGCGAAAACGTGTGGGATATGAGGAAGTAATGTCCACCCTTTGAGGTATCTCTTCGCTTACTGATTTTACTTCAAGGAGTCCTCTCCCAGACTGGCCCCCAGCCCTTTCGGACAATGTTCCAGAGAATGTTGAAACTATCTCGTGAATGATCAGAATGACTTACCCTGCAGACTCTTATAGGGGAATTCGGCAGCCCTGTTATTTTTCTCATCCACATCCACATGTACATGGCGGCGCTTGGTCTGTCTCAGGCGGGACGCAGCCTTTGGCCTTCAAACACACTGCTTCGCGAGGAAACAAGTTTCACTCTATTGAGCTCACATTACACTTACCTCGTTCTCCCTTCTGATACACTTAACTTATTTGCATAATTGTGTGTTCACAGTTGAAGTTCTCATGAACACTGACACCAACGGATGTTAGGAAGACTAGAATATCGCACGTCCTTTGAACTATCCCAGATAAAGAGCTGCTACTTTCTGTTCGCTCTGATTTTCAGATACACCAATATGGTTGTGCGCATCTACTTTGGCAGCACAATCGTATGCACTTTGTGGGAACGTCCCAGGTAGGATTTCTTGTCGCATTTTTTCAAGAAATCGTGAGGACGGTCGGGAGAACTAAGTAGAAGTACCTTTATATGAGCCCACCATCCAGCAATTCCGGCCGGATCATCTGCAAGCGAATGCAATCAGGCCTACAGAGCTATAATATTCACGATGTCTCCGCAGCTGCACTACCATTTTTGGTGAGTGTCCCTAACATAATTTACTCATCGCACCCGTGTTTCGAATACACGGCGGCCTATCTCTCATTCTCTCGTATCCGAATCCAAGTCAGTGCAGGACAACTCCAAGCCTACTCTGTTGTTATTCACTTACCCCTTTGTCCACTCGGATCTCCCACATGCAATTGATTGTCTTGTGTTGCTCGTACACGATCTATTATAGCTCGCGCGTCCTCCCATCACTTTCAATCGGTCTTGGCAATGGCTATGTTTTCATTTTCATGATTGTACCCTTCCATGTCAGTATATATAGCTCAATTTCACAGCAGGATCGGCCAAGTGTGTCTACATCAACGGATCAAGTTGGGAAACGGGCTTCTTGACCGCCCCACGGGCAACGCTGTGAGATCATTTTTTCCGACACAAATCTTCGCTAACATGTTAGTACGGAAGGGACGACCATCTTCCTTCGTCTATAGTCTGCTAGGGAAGGCTTGGCTAACATCTACTTGGCCCAACAAAGTCCATTTTTCAGTAGGTGCCGGTGTGACCCTTGACAACTTGAAAAATTCGTGTCTAGCCCGTGGATGTCGGATCTAGATGCGGCTCTAATACTGACGAGTCAAAAGTTAGTCATGCATATGGCCATCTTTTTACTCCCACCAACATTTACCAAGTATGTATGGATGTACGCAGCAGCTCCTCAAAGGGCTCTTTAGCACGATATCATTGATCATCAGGATGCCTATATGGTTGTTGTGGTACTCGCTGCCTTCTGAACGCTCAAGATCATCTTCGTCCTTGGCCTGGGACATGCAATGCTGGGGTTAGTACGCCACGTTATTTACATCTCACCATCGTGAGTTTCTTCTGTAGGCTGGCAGATTCAAATGCGATCACGGGTTGATGTGACAGTACCGGTGCTATTTTTTCGCGGCCAGACCATCGCGCACTTGCGCCGACCAAAGAAGCTGAAGGTGTCTGGGTCGAGGGAGTGCCTTCTAAATTCATCGAAGATGAGCGGAATATATTGACTTCTATCTCAGAATTTGCACCAGAACGAATTCCAGGTTGTTGGTATGGTCGGTCAGGGCCTCCTCCAAAGCCGAACTAGTCTCCCCAACCTGGACAAGAGGTATTCGACTTCTTTCATGCGGGAGCTCCACCCACATTTCCGCACACCCGTCAGACTTCTCCGCCAGTATTACGCGCGAAGTCTTGTAGAACTTGAGATTTCAGTTCCACAAGCTTTCTCTCTGGAATACCACCGGTCTTCTACACATCCTATCCCCAAACGCTTCTCATTTCCAGATGGACTTACCTGGGTATAATAAGTTGGCGTTGATTCTTTGCCGTTACCTTTTTAAGCACAAAAGTTTGCTCAGAGCGGCGCCCCCAAGCAATTCTTGGATGGGATAACTCGCACGACTGGCCGGGTCCCTCCAGTCTTATGTTCATTAAGGACTTTCCCCGCAATCAAAAACAAGAGATATGCTCTTGTTCCAAAACGGGCCTTTCTCGGCCCCTTATGGTTTTGGATTGCGCGATTCTGAGCTACTACGTTTTTCCTGCATCTGCATCCTTCGGTGCACGCTCATTTCCGGGGTTGTCGCGTGCATTCATCACCGTCGGTATTGCCCATCGATTCTTTAATCGAATACGAACACTAAGGAAGAAGATGTTTTGGGGATGGACAAGGGAGAAGCGATGTTTTTTGAATCACAGGATATGAGTGATTTCATGATGTGAAGCACGCTGTAGATAACGTTGTTTTCTATTTATAAAGTCAATTCAGTTGAAGAGGTTCCTACATCTTCGATGACCGAAGCTGACGTTGATCAACAGATGGTGACGAACATTCTTGGTTAATATTGTTATTACATAGTTACTGGCTGTGACGTTAGAAGTCTTATGATCTTCGGATCCCTGATGTATTACTGACAGCGATATCTATCTTGTGCTCCGATTGGTACAGTCAACATGATAATTCCTGTAGAGTACACAAAACATAATAAAAATCGATGTACCGCAAGCTTAATACTTGCGATACTCGTCCAATACACTATGTTACGATCCCTTCCGTCTGCTCCCCCTACAACTGTGTACAATATGTATGATGTTCATGACACGTAAATCTCCTCTCCCATCGTGTACCGCTCGTAGAGGATTGCCTGAGAATGAACCGAGCGCGTTTCATTCCAGTAGTGTACATCGTAGCTCCAGGGTTCTCCGTTGATCATGTTGCCTGACATGTGTTCGTAGATAGTCGTCCAATGAATAAAAAAGTGATGAGTGTCCCAGTATTGAGCCGCCTATGCGGACTTTTCTGAGTCACTAGGCCCCGAGTCTTTGCGCTCTAGCCGGGCCTCCTCCGCATCACGCATGCCACCGGCATGCCAGTCATCAAGATAGAAATACACAGCTGGTAGGCCCACGAAGAGACCTCCAATAATGTTACCAATCAAAGCCGCAATTAGCGACCTGAGGAAGCGATCAGTAAACGTTGAGATGCACTGAACAAAAGACTCGGTGCCTACTTGCGAATGTACAGGTCGGTCGTAAGCTAGAAAACAATTAGAAATGTACGAAGTGAGGTTAGCATGTAAAAGACGTACCTCAGAGTGAAGCATGATGCTCAACGGGAGTGAAAACATATTTGCGATAACTGGTAAAAAGTATTGGTGAAAGTTTGAAACCGAATGTTCTGCAACTTACCGTGGTCGAAGCCGCAAGCCACAAAGACCTAGAGAACATAGATGAGTAAGGATCACCACCTTTGTCGATTTTACGAACCCAGACGGGGAACCAGATAGCTATGATTTTCGACAAAGTTTCTTTGGCCCCCATTCCTTGCTAAATACCGCCCGTGAGTAATGACTCGGAGCAACACGGCGAAATACGTACCCAAACGGCTATGCAAACAAGCCAGTTACAACCAATGCCGCGAAGGAGAATCTGATACCAGGCAGGTGTAATGGCTTTCGTACTAACACAGGGGTTGAGACAATGGGATTTCCAGATTAGGATGAAGTGAACTCACATGGCGAATGACCTCACGTACGAGGCATAGGGATCAGCCACCATTAGCCCATCGTCTGTATGAACATGTTAAGTCATACGATAATCCAAGCCAATGAATGTGAACTGACATTTCGAAAGGATTGCTGCAAAGAACAGACTGCCAACGAGATTTCCGAAAAAGACTGACGCAATAGTATACTCAGCATCTGAATGAGATCTGGCTTCGGCCGGCACTTACCAACAATCCAGTTGAGAGGAACGCCCCACCAGGGAATCGCTCTCTTCAATGCAGCCATGGGGAAGGTCTATAAGTTGCGTATCAATGAGTGAGAAGTGGTTCTACACCAGCGCTAAACTGCCTACCATAAGATTACTCGTGAGCAGGTCAAAACCCTGGAGCACGATCCTGCGGAGGGTTATAACAGTTAAGCCATGATACGATGGTACTGAAGCTGTCGGTACCTACATAACGAGCCCGACAGGGAATACGAGACCACCAAGGACCTTGACAATTCCGGGGTTCGAAGTTGTCAGACCTGGAGAGCCACCACTAATAATAAGATCAAGGAGACCGCCGAAGGACAACATAACACCCGCAAGGACCTAATAGCAATATTAAGATGATAGACCACACATGCATGCACTTGTTACTTACCGCCTTGAAGAAGGTCTTGTCCAACCGCGTGTTGTGCTTGGCCACAGCTTGCTCGACCAGAGCAACCGCAACTTCAGCTGGGGTGAGAGTGAGAGCGCTTGAAATGGACATTGTAGTAGTGGTAGTATGCGATCCGCTGAGGTCCAAGGGGGATGCAAGATTCGAAATGGTGGCATAGCCTAGCATTTATATGTTCACAAGGACACCGGTTCGTGCGGTTCCTGACAAGCGAGATACCAAAATAACTGGATTTCGTGTGCAGTTACTACTAGTGGGCCCTGGGATCCCGATCCCTGACCAAATGGATCTGCACATTGGATTAAGGGCCGAAATTCAAAGTTGGGTACACATGGATACCCAAATGATCCCTTCGCCAAAGTATTACCATCTTCCCGCCGATTACTAAAAATGGTAACAAACTATTACATAAACATTAGCAGTCCTGTCAAGCTGTCAGTACATGTCAGTCCCGTATGCGATTCAGTACTTTTGATATATACATATCACATGATTAAATAAAATCATCAAGACTGATGGAACATGTAGATTGATACTCTGTGGGTGAAGGACTGATATTAATCTAAAGTCCGATGAATATCTGGGGTTACTACTATGTTTAGCATATGCCCTGTGTCGTTTAGCATTTGAAATTTAAAATGTGCGCGGGAAGAAGGGTCACGGGCGTGGGGCGGTGCCGGTGAGGGGCGGTTGATGTGTGCGCCCAACGTTACTGAATGATCAAGGGCTTACCAGGGCAGTAGCCCGGATTCACGGCAGACACTTGTCCGCCGTGATAGCTAGCCTTATTAGCCCTACTGCATTGCATTACTGACAGCGCGACTTTTCCCTGAAAATAACGGGCCCAAATATATTAGGCCTGTCTTGTCAACCGTCGTTAATGACTAAGCCTTCTTTCCGACCTATTTCGGTTTCCCGTAGGCCCATCACAAATCATCACAATCAACGTTCCACCATTCAATAATAATTCAATTGCACCACTATGCAACATGTAATGGACTGATGACGGACTAATAGAGGCTAGTGGCACTATCATTAATAGCTGTCGTTGTACTTATATTGAATCATACTGAATATAGAGGCCAAAGTTCAAATCACACGACCATTGATATCTATACTGCAGAAAGGCCCATCAGAACTTCAGAAGAACCAACTTCAGGTCGGCTCTGACTTACTACTAGTTCATGAATTGGCGACGCATTCTAATCGGATGTATTACTGTTGGTAGCCAGGCTGTACGAGAACGTGAAGAATTTTGTTTATCGCAAACCGATTCTCTGCCTTGGGGATATATTGTGGGCCTTCAGGGTCCCAGTGGTTATCTTCATTGCATATTCTGTTCGCGGGCCGAGCCAGACCGCCTGCGTACCCGAGGCTCGTTCAATAATGTTGACCTGTCCAATGGAGTCGTCTAAAGTTATGTTCAAGCAGTGCATGTTTCTCCACTTGCTGACCTGATGCAGAAGCTCCGGTATGTTCTTGCAGTTGATTGGCAGATCAATTATCTGCGCACTCTGCCTTGATCACGATAACGTGTGGTTACGAGCGGTTACAATTCATTTACAAATCCCGATTCGGTACCCGGACTCTCACATGACGATAGGAGACTTGGCATTGATGGGACCAGTTATCCGTGTGTGTGTGCGAATACCAGTAATTTTGGAAGCAGTTTGATGCTTGTCTGACCTTGGTCCGGCGCAATCAGATTCAAAATCACCTCCTGAGAAAGAAATCAGGCGTATCGTTGCTACTTTTCTGACGACGCTAACCGAGTCAAACAAGTCCACGTCCCACAATCGAAGGGCATCTGGCGGCGCCCATCGGAGCCCGCTTGGACACCGGCTCATGTGATGAAGAGTGGCCTAACCAAATATCCCATCGCATCTAGAAAAACCTTGCACACGGTTCGCAGTTGTCATTCTTGTCCGGAATGTTTGACAAGATTTTGTCCACTGATGAAATTCTAGCTCCGTGTGTGTGATGGTCGCCCATCGACACAAACCAATCCAATCAAGGTGATCAATTCAAAAATTCATATGAGGGTATCTATTAGATGCGCACGATGCACGCTTCCATGCATGCATATTTTGACGTACTAGGCATCAGTGTGGTCTCACTTCTCTCCAGATCGGTGTTATAGCTTGGGCAACTGTATTAGCGGCAACCTCGAGGCAGCTGCGTTCTACATCATCCCGAATAGCTGACCACAGCTTACGGGCACGCCATCTATCCGGGTGGAAACGCCGATGACTTCTTTCTACGAAATCTTTGTAATCTTGAGATCGCATGGAGGTCTTGACAGTTGCAAAAAATCTCTCCACCGCAGACCAGTCGACATCCTCGACTGTTAGATAGGAAGGATGATGGAGCACAGGCCACGGGATGTCAAGAAAAGCGATCGGCTGATCAGGCGTGAACTTCGCAGCGTCAAACTCTTCACTGAGAACCCTGTATCGTTCCAGGGCTCGATGACTCGTCCACGTACCAGACTCCCAGCGTTGGCGCTGTTTAAACCGTCGCTGTTCTTGCCGTCGCCTTGCTTCTTCTGCATCACGTCGTTCAGCTTCCGCTCGGAGCTGGCGTGCCTGACGTTCGGCCTCCTCACGTTGCTGCCATTGTCTTTCTGCCTCAGCTCTTCTCCGCTGTTCAGCTTTGGCCTGGCGCTCTTGTTCTTCAGCACGCTCAAGCGCCTCACGCTTTCTTCGCTGTTCTTCCCAAAGAGGTCTATCCCGGTCAAGTTCTCGCATTTTGCGAATGGACTCTGCAAGCTCGGCTTGGCGCGTTGCCTCTTCGTCCGACTCTTCACTCTTACGAGACTCGGACTGCTCTTGCGAGTCCGCGGGCTGAGGATATGTCGATTGCACATTATGATCACTCACTGAAGAAGAAAAAATATGAACCGTTGAAAGGGCAGAGTGGGAACGGTAACATACGCAGTTCGTCGATATCGATCGGGTAATAATCGGCAAATACTTTTTTGAATCCCTTTTGATGGCGTTCGTCCATTGCCCTAACTTTTGCTTGTTTTCGTGTTTCCCGTTTCATCTTTGAGTGATTGAAAGCCTGCTTGGCCTTACTTGGTGATACGGTCCGCTGACGCTTTCGCACATGGCCATTGGTAGGAGTATGATTTTGTGGCAGTTCGTCGTCCGTGTCAGCGGTAAATCCGTTTTCTATCACCTTCGTCAGACAACTATACAGAGTAGAGATTGCAACAAACTTTTTCGTTTGGCATTCTCTTCAGCTTGCGGGCCAGCAGGCCCAGTATTGCTCTGAGATGCAAATTGTTCCGCGTCCATGGCCATCGGTTGTCCGTCAGCCTGAGACTCTTGGCTATATTTCGCTTGTGCTCCCTTAATCTTCTGCCATCGATTGTCTCGCTCCTTTTTCAACTCTTCTCTTCCAGATCGTACGGCATTCGACAGGGGCTTGGTTCTTGGACGAAGAAGGCCATCAACAATCATTTGTTCCACTTCTTCTTCGTCCCCGTCAGATTCACTGTCGTTGCTGTGATCACTGTCTACACGAGCGCGCTGCGAACGCGCTCTTTTTCTCGGAAGTAGGTTATCCGCTTCAGGGGTAGGCGTGCGTGCGCGTGCGCGTTTTGGGCCTGGCAGTGAAGGAGCTCTAGAGCGCTGAGCCTTGGGGTCAACCCTCACAACAGATGTAAATTTAAAGCCAAAGTGAACAGTGCACCGATATTCCGGGTCCAGCTTGTAAATCTCCCATTGCTCTTGGTAGCAAAACACGTGTTGCCTGAAAGTACAGCATTACAAACAACTGCAAGGACATGGATCGACGATATCGCTCACCCGCATATTTCGATTACTCGTGGCCAAAAGCCCTCATCGCGCACATCTGCATCCAAGCGTGCTTTTGGCACAAACCTCCAGAAGCTCGTACCTTTGGGTGTTGTTTCGATGACAATACGTTTGGGAGGGGGAAGATCCTCGCCGATAGATAGTTTATGCAGGTCTGGGATATCTTCGCCAGCAAGAGCGGTACGAGGATCGAAGGACGCGAAGGAGAGCGTGGAATCTGGAGCACGCAATAGACGGGAGGGTTGGGTCGGGTCAAGGAGACCAGGTTCAGTGCCACGAATGGTCCGTGGTGCATGTAACGGTCCCGCAGTAGCCGGCTGGGAGCCCATTAGACGAAGCTAGACTGCTTGAAAAAGGCTACAGAAAGAGGTTGGAAAGATGAAAGAAAACTATGTACCTTGCTTGTAGCATTCGATAAATTTAAGGGTAGGTTTAAGTCATAGCGTTCAGCGTCACGTGAGAGTACAATAGTTTATAGGTGGCCAGATATAGTATTCATTCATTCACTGCAGTGACCAGTCAAGACTTTTTTTGTCCAATGCGATCCTTCGTATGATACATTGTTTTCAAATAGAGCGTATGTGACGGTCGCGTGCCGCGACAGGCATGGAAATTGGACTGCGGCATGTTCGTAACAAGGTAACCAATCCATGGTCATGAGATTCGTGTAATGATGCATATATGTATTTTACAAGTTGAAGGTCGCAATGCTAAGTGTGAAGGAAGATATGTATATATAAAAGATAAAAGTGATGAGATAAAAGAACAATAATGATAATGCCAAATTCCAAATGCAATGGTAATGCTGATGTCGATGATGATAATGTATAGGTAATGGCGACAAGATAAAATGTAATAGTCAAGATTTCAATAGACGTCATAGCAAACGTGGGCTAGGACATGGAATATGTTGCACTGTCCGGGTACTCACAGCGGCCTTCAAAGTACCCCGAGCCATATGTCTGTAAAAACTCGTCTAGTCCAGCTGATGCGGAGTTCAGATCGTTCCCAGAGACAGGCTGGTATTGAAAGTCCACGTCGAAGGCGGGAATGGACTGCTGAGAGTTGACATCGGGATCCAGCTTCGGGTCGAACTGCGGCATGTGGGAGGCGGAGAGATCGACAGGGACAGTTGATGGCTGGAAGTGGTTGAAGGTGGGGGTGGGGAACTGAGAGGGCTGTTCGTAAACAGAGGTGGAGCTCTCGGCAGGGAAATTGGGGAAGAGTCGCTCCCAGGAGAGTTCGGTGAACTCGCTCGAGAACTGAGGGATGCCGGAGTTGCTGGACTCAGCGGGTGAGAGCGCATCGCAGGGAATGAGGCCTGCGAGCTCGGGAAATGTGAGGTCATTCAGATCCAGCGATGCAGGAATATCTTCCTCAGGCTTCATAAACCTAGTAGATGGGTAAGGTGCGGCGGAGGACCGTCGAGCAAATTTGCCCCCGAGGTTGCAACGCGCCTTGGGCTCGTAGTTGTGTAGGTGCTTGCGGTGACGCGTCAAGCTTGCTGGATCGGTAGTGGCAAACGTGCACCCAGGATGGGGGCACGTCTTCGAGCGTTCACGGGTGTGGGTCCTGATGTGCGTCTGCACGTTGGACTTTTGGAGGGTCTTGAAATTGCAGTCAGGGAATGGACATGCGTGCATACTGATCAAGATAGCAAATGGGTCAGGAACCATCTGGTGCAATAGGGTACGAGTACGTACAGAGCCTCCTTGTTTTCATCGTGCGTACGCATGTGTCTAGGAAGATCTGCCTTGCGGCTTATGGTCTTGTGGCAGATATGGCAGTCAACAGATTTCTGTAGAGAAAGTGTCATCAGTAAAAGACGCATGATGTGAGGTACGCTGAAAACATACCATGTTACGTCCTGCAGCAGGCATCTCGTGATAGTGTTTGGGTGGGGAGAAGCGGTTGTTGTAAATGATCTGCGGGGTGAAATTAAACCCTTGAGGTGAATGAATAGCGAGTGCGTTGTGGCAAATTCACACATCCTGCGCATTGCTTTTAAAGTACCAGGCGTGCTATGGACATCGAGTATGATTGCTTTTCTGCGGCGCGCGTTTCTGCCTTTAAAGGCAAAAAGCGGGAAGCAATCGTGTGCGATGGTCTGAGCGTAAGGGACGAGCCACTCGGTTAGCAGGGAAGGTAAAAGAGCTGGCAGAGGGTCCGATTGCGTCTCAACATTTTTCGTTTTTTTGCCTTGTAAGGTAATTTCTGGTTACCTGCGACGAGTGGCTCAGTGAGTCAGTGCTCAGTGCTCCTAGTCAAGCCTGATGCACATGAATGAAGGGAAGTAGAGGCTTACAGATGCTTCCTAAAAGATTACCACCTCGAGGCGCGTCCAAAGGTATTGAGTTTCATTCCGGTGAGTACTAGTCTCTGGGATAGTGTTCGCAGTCACCAATGAAGTTGGGGAAGAATTAAACAAGGACCCTTGAAGTCACAAGTGTTAGCATCACGTGAGAGCGTATAAGCAATTCATTTAATCATTCAAGAAGCAACACGGAGTCACTGCGGCTTGCGTCGTGAAACAAGCTTCCTGCAGCTTCCTAAGAGACGTCAACCACTAGTGTGTGGGCAGAACCACTTTTCTGTGTTATCATATTTAAATCTCCGTAAGTCTCGGATATCCTGGAGTTCTGCCAGCCTTGCACCCGAGTTCTGCCGTGGGCCAGGTACCGCCAGCTCTGCCAACAACACTATCAACAGCCTTTAAATGGTCGTTTGAAACTGCTCTTCCGGATGATTTTTTGAGCGGTTTTATGTTCCCATTGGCAGGCTACCCCCTGTGTGACGGCATCGAGGGTGACGTGACTCACTGGCTGGTCATTCTGACTCAACATACACCCCATTGAAAGAGCTGCTAGAACTAGTATTGCTCACAATACTTATCTGCTCGTTAACCCATACTAGTAATGTCTCTAAAGAGCTTTCAATCCGAAATTCAGGAGATTTATGCACGGGAACTCGCCCGCCAGCGTGGCCAAGCCAGTGGAACTCCTGCTCCTCGTAATATACATTCCAAGAAAACACAGATACTCGAGGAATCTAATATCGTGGGTGAGCCACCTCCATCCAGGGATGCCGGCATCGAGGGTGAGGTTGAAGCAGTCCTGGTACTCCTCCTTCCATTATCATGTTGTGCATTCGCTCAAATCTTCTCAGGCATTACTATCTATCCATGACTATGACCGAGCACGCACCTCAGTAGCACAACTTATCACTGGACGCAAAGGCGAATACATATTTCGCATTGGCTGTCAACCATCCCATGCATCACTCTTTGCCGGAGAGAGCGTGGACGACGCAACAGGATGGTCGGGGGTCCCGCGAACAGACGTTGAAGTCGCTTCATTGCAATCATCAGTCAAAAGGGTTGTGGAAGAGCTGGGGGGGAAGGTGTGTTATTTATTTATGTACAGGAAGCATGAACTTATCTCCAATAGGTATCCGTTCTTTTTGAGACTACTGACGGCCACCATCCACGTGCAACTCTACTACTACGATTACCTCCGCCCAGCATTGAATTAGTTCCCGAGGTTCGCTGTGCTGTCGTCGGGAACGTTGATTCGGGAAAGTCTACAACACTAGGAGTTCTAACACGTGGTATGATACACACATGCATGCATGTCTGTTTCAATCATCTAATTTTTTCTCAGGTCCTCTGGATGACGGGAGAGGCCGAGCTCGTGTAGCTTTATTTCGGCATAAACACGAGATTGAAACCGGACGAACATCTAGTGTAGGGATGGAAGTAAGTTCATGTTCCCACCAGCCTACACTATCCTACATCTTTTTACCCAGATCCTTGGTTTTTCGACAGCTGGAACCCCGGTACTCCCAAATATACTGCCGTCTGCTGACGCAAACGTGATTCGACGCGATAAACTGGGCTGGGACGAAATTTCAGCACAGTCAGCCAAGATAGTTTCATTCAGCGGTAAGTCCGTTCGACGTGACTCTGTTTCGTATACATACCTCCATTTTGTAGACCTTGCAGGCCACGAGCGATATTTGAAAACTACTTTGTATGGGTTGACGTCCGGGGCGCCATCATGTGTGATTCTTATGGTCGGTGCCAACGCTGGGCTTATTGGAATGTCGAAGGAGCATCTGGCAATAGCTTTGGCTTTAAGCGTGCCTGTCGTTGTCTGTATTACCAAGGTAAAAAGTGGCCCATAACTATCCGGCTAAGCTAATTTTCACATAGATTGATATGACCCCACCTAATATTCTTAATGAGACTACGAAACAAGTGGTAAAGATCTTGAAGAGTCCTGGATGCAGGTAAATCATATCCTTTACTCTGCTCTGAATCCACATAAGATTACTTTGAAGGAAAACGCCAGTTTTTGTGAACTCGATGGAAGTCGCGGTTGAATCGTCGCAGACATTTGCGCAATACAAGTATGCCTATTCAGCTTCGATCGTGAGTTTCTGATGCTTATGGAACATAGACTATGTCCTATTTTCCGTGTCTCCAATGTCACTGGAGAAGGCCTTGACTATGTCGGTGTTATGCACTTTCACATTTGCTATGGTTCTGACTTGACTGAAGTTTCGCACGTTTTTGAATCTCCTTCCATCCAGCGAAGCGGACACCGAGACGTTTACAGTCGATCAGCCACTTGAAGTAGGATCGGCTCTTGGCATACATTCAAGCGTGCAACTGATATCTTTTCGCTACAGTATTCAGTTACTGATGTCTGGTCTGTCCCATACGTGGGGACAGTCGTCAATGGCATTCTCAACAGTGGAAGTGTCAAGACAGGTGACTCCGTTCTCTTTGGGCCAGACTCCAATGGACATTTCCAGTCGACCGTTGTGAGGAGCATGCAACGAAAACGGTATTTTCAGTTCCTGTTAGCATTTTCTGTGGGTACTGAACTTTCATAGAGCTGATGTCGCGACAGCCGAGGCTGGCCAATGCGTTGCTCTCGCTCTTAAGCGAGTGAAACGTGCAGCCGTCCGAAAGGGTATGGTCATAGTGCACAAGGCCGATACTCCCCCGAAAGGTTAACATCTCATTTATTGCCATCATGTTTGCGATAACTCATCAGGACTCACAGCAACACGCCAGTTCGAAGGGCAGGTCCTTATATTATAGTGAGCTTAAGCATACCTCTCGCACGATGTAACAATTTGAGCAGAATTTGCAGTCACAATACTACCATGCAACGAAACTATCAGGTATGTTCAATGACTCGCTGTTCTCGCCGCGTATGCTGATGCAGTGTGCGCATAGGCCATGCTTCATTGTGGAGTGAGTAGGATCTTCTGATGCCTATTGTAGTTCTCATCAATCCTAGGCTGTCCGCCAAACTGTTCGTATCATATCGATGGACAACCCTGAGGGGGTCCTACGGACCGGTGATCGAGCCACCGTTCAGTTTGAGTTCATTACACAGCCAGAGTTTGTCAAGGTCGGGATGAAGCTATTGTTCCGTGAGGGTAAGACCAAGGTATGTTGACGACTGCACCGTGCTTACCACTGCATCTCTGACTGTCAACACTTCCAGGGACTTGGTGTTATTACTCGTCTGCTATGACAGAATTATGGTGCGGTGACCGGCTGGTCTTCCTAGGTTTCCTCACTCGAGAGGTCGTCCATGTCCTTCTCACTCGCTAGCCACCCTTGTTGCACTCAATTTTTCTTCAGTGTTGGGCGTGTTTGGTTTTTGTTTGGTTGTAATGATTCTTCGAGTGTGATATGAAGAATCGGCGCGGCCGAGCGCCGTTACGATCATGTATTCATGTATATGAGTGATAGTTTATTGGTAATTTGAAGCAATAGATCTACAGCGTCTCATCTGTCAGTCACAGAAATCTATTCTTCACCTTGATCTACCTTCTAAGTAGGTGGGATTATAAAAAATATTGTAGATCTTTAAAGACACAACACAGTAAGTGTTCGACTATGTAGTGAAGGTATCAATTCTGAGAGCTTGCGGAGGCCCGAGAATACAGTTTTCGTCGACTTCGAGTAGCCGACATGCGAAGGTTCTTCCGCGCAGCCGGCGAGTCTGAACCCAGGCGTGCTTTCACCCCGTCCTCCATGTCAGAAAAGTCATCTTTGTCACTACCAGGCGGGGTAGGTTGCAATTCGTCGTCACCGTCACTTTCAGATGACACCTCCTTCCGGCGCTCGCTTCCTTTCGCCCTTTTTGCAGAGGGTTTCTTAACCCCCGAGCTCGCTTTCTTCTTCCTTTTCTGCGATTTCGGCGCTTTTGGGTGCGCCTGGTAATGCAAGAACTGCTCGAACCATTCCGTACGGTACCCAACACATTTCATGACGGTGAAGTTAATCACAAGCCTACCATCATTGAGTGCCTCCCGAAGACCGTCTTCCGTAAACTCGACAAGGCGAATTTCACCCCCCTTTTCTACAAGTTCAGCATTCGTTCTTTCGACCCAACTCCTTCCCCATAGGGTCGATAGGGCTCCAGACACCCAACGTTGAATGACCAGAGGTTGGAGTAGGTCAAGTTGGTTGGGCGAAATTTCACCCCACCGGGAGGTCTCATACGAACCAAGGTATATCCATTGATTTGGCTTGTCAGAAGCGATGAGGTCGATTGGCCCTTCAATGACTGAGCCGTCATTGAAACGCTTTACCCCACAAAATACGACACCATGACCGCCAGGAACGAGTGGGAGGTGTGGATTGTAAGAACGCGTCATGGCCAAGCTGTGAAGCTTCAACTTTAGTAGCAGTATATTGGGTAGAGTTGAGATACGCACTATGGGAATTTATCCGTTTTTGTACGACCTTTCCAGTTGTTCGACGTGGTTTGGTGACCTCCGCCAAGAGCCTGAAGTAAGGTTAGCTTGATTTGATAGATAGGAAAACCCCGAGCTCACGTCGCTGATCACGGAACGC